CCCCACGACACCTGGATCCACTGATAACCCGTTTGACCGGACGAATCGACGAGAACTTTGTCGAAGCATTTTTGTTGATGCCGTGACCCATAGACTCTGTATCGCCGCCGCTTTTCATGTGAAGTTGACGTGTCCAATGCGTGCTCGCAGCCAGCCGAAGTGCATGCAGAACCATGAATGCCAGGTCGGCATGTCACTAGCAGCGGCTGGTTCTTTGGAGATAGCGGCGGGCCAGGCTCGGAGTTGGAAAAACAAGTAGCGCTGTTGCCCAGCAACTACAGCTGATCCTGTCTTTGCCACTCTACTAACAAGTGACGTATACTAGCAGACGCCGCAACCGTTAGCGTGGCAATTGTAGGCTTCGAGTTTCAACAGCGTTGTAGGTTGATTCCTTAGCCAACCTGACCAACTGACTCTAACTGCCTCCAACCTGCCCCCCGGGTTTCGAGGCCTCGGAATGGTGTCGTCAGGTGTTCTAGACCGTTGGCGACGACTCCCTGATTGCCGCCCCGGTAGTTGGATGAATGATTGATTCGTGCAAGGACGCTCCCACGTCCCATCCATGGCTGGCTGGTTGGTATCACCGTGCCAAGCGCATGTAGGCACTCATCACAGAGCGAGAGCGAATGACAGACCAAGTCTTACGAGATGGAATCCTGGGTGGCGGTGTGATGGCATATTCTTGGTTCACGTGCTGGATTTAACCAGCCACGCCGTGACAGCGACAGCACGAGTCGACCTGTCTAAAAAGGACTGGCTGGACTAAGTCCTTGTGCCAGACTCGGGGCTCAACAAAACGGCCGACTAGAACGTCGCCGTATTCGTATTGGTGATATTGCTTCGAGATCCCATCAACACATGCGCACAACAACCGAATCAACTCAGCTTCGTGTTAGCATATCTACCTTTTCAGCAACGCGCCTCATAATAGTAACGGTATTGCGTAAATTGGAATTTATCGTTACAGCTAATATCATAGCGATTGACCATGTTAACCCCATTGCCAATGCCAAAAGCAGGTTGCGCCCCCGAAGCCTCAAGCCCCCTCCCGAAAGATCAAACAAAAAAAGTACATGATGCATGATGGTGAATGTTTTTCAACGTCTCGCTCGCTCGCTCCGTATGTCGTGTCTTCCCGCATTAATAAAGCAATAATCAAGAAAGGAGGTTTATGCCGGCTTCCCACCCAAAGAAAGAATCACAATGACCAACTCCCATACCCAAGCCAAAACGTTAAATAGCGTCTGGAAAACCCAGAGCCAATAAGCCAAAAACCTCATTGCCAGCATCAATGCTTCAAAGGGAGCCATTGTGGCAATGAGTCACATCTTCTTAATGCGCCTGTTAGCGACCCTGACTTTGCCATCGACCCGATCGACGTCCTCGTCGAGCGAGTCCAAAAGCTCCGTCTGTCGCTCTACTTCCTCATTGATTTGAATGCCCATCTCTTTCTGCCTCCGTATAATGGCGGCGAGCTGGTCGATTGCCTGGTCTTGGGATTGCATCTCCTGCTTCTGTAGCAGCAGCACGCCCTGGTTGTCGAGCTCCCTCGTCCGGTCTGTTTCGGGCAATGGGGCGCCCAGTACTCGACTCGATGTCGCAGGCTTGGCTGCCGCCAAGAGATTCGATCTATTGGAAGAGGACGCTTGCACTTGGCCCAGACTACCACCTCGACTGGGGGTCACCGACGAGCCAGGCATGGTGCTGGCAAGCTTATCCAGTCCGTCTCGCTCCATCTTGGCGGCCGAGACGAGGTCGCGTCTTCTCCGTATCTCGCCTTCGCCCAGTCTTCCCGATTCTTGCATCTTGCGGAGGCCGTCCGAAAGGTTGTTAACCAGCCCGGAGGCCTTGACCAGCACTCTCTTGGCTGCCGCTGCCGCCTCCGCCGCCGCCGTGAAATTGCCGCTGTCGGCCGCTCCGTCTCGTTTCGAAAGGCATTGTCTCGCTTCATGCAAACACTGCTTCACTTCCCTGTGAACATCCAGCCAGGCTCCCGGGTCCGCCACTCCTGAAGCTGTGCCAACCATACCTGCCGCCGACACTGTAGAGTTGCTCGTGCTAGAACTCGGCAGATTCAAGAACGTTCTCCAGGCCGAGGTGTCTCGCCATCTTCGGTCCGGCGATTCCGCAATCACTCGCAGGTACTTTTCGAGGCCAAGCTGCCGCTCTCGCGTGAGCTCGGGCGAGTTGATGGTCGACCTGAGCCAATGCTTGCCGGGCAGGGGCAACGGCGGTGGAGCGCCAACTTGGCTGACCAAGGCGCTGTGGAGGGCGTCGAATTCGGAATATCGCTTCTGGACGATGAAGGAACGCAGCGGTAGGCGAAGACTGATGTTGTATAGCGTGTAGGGCTTCGATGAGCCTTCGTCAGAGACGCTCGTCGACGGTATCGCAATCTCGGGCGGTGGCGCCATGGCTTCTGTCGTTTCAAGGATCCGGCGACTTTTCCTGGTCTGCCTCGATGCTAGGCCGGGGTGGTTCAGGTGATGGTGCTTTCTTTAGAGAATGAAGAGACAAGTGTGTTTCTCTCTCCTTGTTATAGCCAGCGTGTCGAGAATCTCTGGGCTCCCGATGTCGTGGCAGCCTGTGACTAGAGTTTCGTGTACGGAGTAGGTAAGGTATGATGACGATGCAAGTGTCGAGACAAGGAGTGACGGCTCTGTGCTCGTACAAGTACTTCACTCATACGCGCACAAAGTGTGTGCTAACTGCACGGAACATGTATGGATCTTTGGGGGACTTTCAGTGGAACCGGCCCAGCTTTTAGTGCTTGCCAGCTGACGGCAGCCCCCGTAATACCGCTCAATCTGTCTTTGCTCAGGGCGAGCACTAACCGGTGGATACGCGACCCCTGCCTAGCAGCCGTGGGAAGTTTAATTGACGGCCTGCCTGGTGTCTTTCCTACGCTGTCCGAGTACGAGTGTTAGTTGGAGATGCAAACGAGTACGTCTGTGCAATATCGGACATCAGATGAGAGAGACAAAAAGGTCATGAATACGGTGCACCTCGAAATCAACAGATGCGTGAAATTCAATAGCCCTAGGGCTAGGGATCATTTGGGACAAGTGCCCCCCAGATGGCGATGGCAATGCTGGAATGCTACTGGATACCGGGTAAGGACCACGTGCAGCTTCATGGCCAGGCACAGAGTCGGCATGCCACGAATCTTGCTGTACCTTGCCGATGCAATGTGTCGCGTGCTTGTTGGCGGACCACATGCAATCCAAAAAGAGGCTGGAGTGCCGAACGTGAGCGGAAAGGGACGAGAATCCCTTTGCGAGTGCAACTGTGGATACGGCGTCGCATCTGGTGGCCGTGGTGCACTTGACCGCCTCTATAATTGGACATCCTCAGCGCTTCGTGGTCGAAGGATGCGAGGGATGTTCCTCGCTGACTGTGTTTTGATCAGGGCAAATAGGTATAACACCAACCAACACAAAGACGTATTAATAGTAGTATTGTCCAAACAGTTGTACTAGTTTGCTCTATAGGATTCACACCCTAAGTCCTCTAACAAAAAAAAAAAAGAAAGGTGTAAATTGCGGCACCCATGAATGCTTCCATCACGCATGAATGGCCATATGCTTTGAATCAACAACCCAAACCCTTCCAAATGCTCCTCCCCATCCCCTTCTAAGCGATCAAATATCACGGTCCAATAGCTTCGTTTTAAAAAGTCTCCTGGTCATCCAAACCCTCGGCCTCGGCTGGGATCTCGAAGCCCTCCTCCGTAGAGTACAGGATGTTCTGAATGTGCTTGACCAGGCCATCCTCTTGCTTCTCCAGTTCAGGGTCCTCCTCCACAGCTTGCTGGATCAGCAATTCAATATCACGAAGCTTGCTAAAGTAGAAGTCTCGTTCGCGCTCCAGGCCGCCCACGCTCTCCTTCAAAGTCGCTATCTCCGCCTGCAGAGCTGCGGTGCCCGGGCCTGGTGCTGCCTTGGCGAGACGAGGGCCGGTGCTTGGGGTGGTGCCGCCAACTCGTCGGGCAGCGGCGCTAGAGACAGCAGCCCTGGGCGCCGCCGCTCCGGAACTAGCTGCGGGCATACCGCCACCCTTTCTTCGTGCAACAGCGTCGTAATCGTGGTCGGGGAAGTTGAGGTCCCAGAACTTCTTCGTCCATTGCAGGAACTCCAGGTTGTCCTGCATCTTACATTTCACCAACGATTCGACGGGGATGGGCTTATCGACCTGGTGCTTGAGGAACGTGTCTATGTGGGCCGTTAGGACCTGGTCTGCGCGAAAAGGGGGCAACCAATCCAGGGGGGAGTTGGGCAAAGACACATACTCTGCAAAACTTTGAAGTTTTGGATGTAGGCGTAATCGCCGCTGACGTTGAACTTGACCTTGGACATAGGCACGTCCATGTATATGCTGTCAAAGACCTGGCAGAGCGCGGCGCTGGAGAAGCTCGTGTCAGCCGTTTGTTTATATCGTAGCGGGGTTGTTCATCAGGCGGGGTGCCAAAAGAACACACTCACCCAGTTCCGCACTGCTCGACCTTGGTCATGTTAAGCTGAAGGAGGCTGTTCAGCCAATTGAGGAGCTCTTGTCTGTTGTCTGCGGTTAGCCAATAGACCCCCCTCTTGGCTCCTGAGAGCCTCGGCGCGCGGAGAGAGGGCGACATACCTGGATTCACCCATTTTGTCAGGTTATGTGATGCAAATAGAAAGTTAGGGCAACCGCTGGAATAGCTATCGCGACGAGAATGCGAGTTTCAAAGGAGGGAATATAAAAAGGGCAGAGTGCAGATGCTGGGTATCGCCTAGAAAAGGGACTGCAGCAGCCGGTGTCGTGGCGCAGGGCAGCGAAATGAGGATGACAGGAGAAATTTATCCAGCTATTCGTTCGCGTGTTTGGATTGTCAAGGTCGTCCAGAGGCCTGTATTTTGACAGGGTCGTCCAATCAACGGTGGCGGGGTCGCTCGGAGAAACAGCTAGGGAGATAGCCGCTAATCTACCGCTTTTAATAAGTGAGAGCTGCTTCACCGCCAAAATTTTCAAAAAACGGCAGAAAAAACGGCTTGGCGCAGAAAAGTCGTTACTTTGAATTTTTGCTTGGGGCCCCGCCAGCATTGACAAGCTTCTGTAGCAATTGCGTTGCGAGAAATCCTCAAGATGGCGCCGTCACAGAAGAGACCAATTGAGGACGATTTTATCCATACCCTCTCGGATAACGACGACCAAATTGCCGAGGAAGAGGAGGTCGCCGTTCAGCCTCCCAAGAAGAAAGCAAAGACGAACAAGAAGTCGGCTAAGAAGAGCAAAGATGAGGAGCCTCAACCGGAGGAGAGCGAGGGAGTCTGGGGACAGAAGGACGAGAACGATGGCGCCATGGACTCTGATTTCGAATTCATGGTCGACGACGCTGGCGATCTCGGCGAGGATGAGTTTGAAGGATGGGGATTCGAAGGCGCAAAGAAGGGAATGGCCGTCGAGAAGGCCGGCGTCGACCTGGACGAGATTATCCGAAGACGAAGAGAAAAGAAGAACCAGAAAGGTGGCAAGGAAGAGGATGTTTCCCCTGATGGTGGAGCGGACATTGACATGGACGACGACGAGGACGGAGTTCTGGCAGATGATGCATTCGGCATGAACGTGGCCTCGGATGCCGAAGAGTCGGGAGAAGATGCCGACGCTAACGGTGACAAAGAAGATGATGGCGATGAAGACGAGGACGAAGACGACGACGCAGCTTCTGACAATGACTCGGTAGCCACACCCGTCAATCACCCTGACGACATGTCCGACGACGATGAAGAAGATGCTGAAGAAAAAGCTAAACGAGATGCCTTCTTCGCTCCTGAAGAAAAGCCAAAGCCCGGACAAAAGGTCGATGTTTCATCGTTCCAGACCATGTCTCTGTCCAGACCGATTCTGCGCGGTATTACCACTGTTGGCTTCTCAAAGCCAACTCCCATTCAGGCCAAGACCATCCCTATCGCCCTCATGGGCAAAGATGTTGTCGGTGGTGCAGTTACAGGTTCCGGTAAAACAGCAGCGTTTGTGCTTCCTATCTTGGAGCGACTCCTTTATCGACCCAAGAAGATACCCACCACACGTGTTGTTATCCTTACTCCAACCCGTGAGTTGGCAATCCAGTGTCATGCCGTAGCTACAAAGCTGGCAGCGCATACCGACATCAAGTTTACTCTGGCTGTTGGAGGTCTCAGTCTCAAGGCCCAAGAGGTAGAGCTTCGATTGAGACCGGACGTGATTATCGCCACACCTGGTCGATTCATTGACCACATGAGGAACTCGGCTAGTTTTTCTGTCGATACCGTTGAGATCCTGGTGCTTGATGAAGCAGACCGAATGCTCGAGGATGGATTTGCCGACGAACTCAACGAGATTCTCACTACGCTGCCAAAATCACGTCAAACGATGCTCTTCTCCGCTACCATGACTTCCACCGTCGACCGTCTCATCAAGGTCGGACTGAACAAGCCCGTGAGGGTCATGGTGGATTCCCAGAAGAAGACTGCAGGCACGCTGATCCAAGAATTTGTGAGACTTCGTCCAGGACGTGAAGAAAAGCGGATGGGCTATCTGGTACACATCTGCAAGAACCTATACACAGAAAGGGTCATCATCTTCTTCCGCCAAAAGAAGGATGCCCACAGAGCCCGAATCATCTTTGGCCTCCTGGGCTTTTCCTGCGCGGAGCTACACGGTAGTATGAACCAGACACAAGTAAGTAGTGCCATCTAATCTAATCCAGCAACTCGCTAACGTCTATCCCCAATAGCGTATTGCTAGTGTTGAGTCATTCCGAGACGGCAAAGTTTCCTATCTATTGGCAACAGATTTGGCCTCTCGTGGTCTCGATATCAAGGGCGTTGATACGGTCATCAATTACGAGGCTCCCCAGTCAGTAGAGATTTACGTGCACAGAGTTGGTCGAACGGCCCGTGCTGGACGCCATGGTATATCAGTGACCATTGCTGCCGAACCCGACCGCAAAGTCGTCAAGGCTGCCGTCAAGGCTGGCAAGTCTCAGGGATCCAAGATTATCAGCCGCGTCATCGAAGCCAAGGATGCCGACAAATGGCAGGCCGAGATTGATGAGATGGATGATGAGATTGCCGAGATTGAGAAGGAGGAGAAGGAGGAGAGACAGCTTGCTCAAGTTGAGATGCAGATCAAGAAGGGTGAGAACATTATCGCGCATGAGGCCGAGATCAAGTCCAGGCCGAAGCGAACATGGTTCGAGACACAGCAAGACAAAAACAACGCCAAGCAAGCCGGAAGAGATGAGTTGAACGGACCACGAGCCGCAAAGAAGAAGGGCGGCAACGTCAAACTGAGCAATAAAGACAAGAAGCGTCTGGATGCAAAGGCAGACCGAACGGATAGCATGGGCTGGAAGAAGGGCAAAGGGGACGCCGCAAAAGCTGCCCAAGCCGCCAAGGCCAAGGGGGTAAAGAAGGCTCCTGTCAAGGGTAAGGCAAAGGTCCAGGTGAAGAAGCCTCGGGGGAAGAGGTGAGCAGGTGGTTGGATCCAGTTGATCTCAAGTGTTGTAAATATTCTCGTCGCTTTGCAAGTCTTGTTCAATAGAAATCGTTACTTTGTGCACGTTGATTGTACTCGGTACTTATACTCTGCATATGCACCCCGGAATTCTGCCTTTGGCGCGTGCCGTGATGATGACATAATGCAACTAGCTCCATCATTTCTCGACCGCAGGCTTGACGCTGTCATGAACCAAAGCGTGATCACGAGGCCAGCACGAAACTCATTGGCAATTTGCAGCAAATGGCGTGAACCGCTAACTGAAGCTTTGCGCATGTCAGGCGCCCGCCGCATGTGGTGAATCCAGGTAGCGACGGACAGCTGTCAGAAGACTGGCTCGCCTGAGAGGCTTGACGACGCCTGGAGCTTCCTCCCTGCGCTTTTGCCGGCAGCGCATTGATTTTGCTGGCTTCTGGCTCTGCCGTACGGAAAATTATATATATAAAAGGCGGCTCGGATTGGGCAGACCTTGCCTTGTCTGATTAGTCACTACAAACCCCGGATCAAGCTGGCTCCTTTCAGGAAACTCTTCGGCCTTGTTCGACCTCGTACGCTGCATCGCCACAGCCAAAGCTTTATTCGATATCTATTACCACACGCTGTCCGAGATCGCTACCGAGAGCGACTGTTTAATTTCCGCCTCAACACCCTTCCGAAGCTCAAGCATCGTATACAGAGCCGTATATACCGGTACATACTTGGTCGACAGAGCAAACGACGAGCCGTTAATCAATTCGTTCGGCACAGCCAACGGCTGCTGCAGGGGCATTCGGGACGGCGGCCGATCAAACATGTGACAGGGCGACCGACTACATCACCGCTTAGACAACTCAAGATGCCACCGCCGGGGGAGATGGGCTATGGCCCTCGGATCAATGACACGCAAACAGGAGATGGTGCCGAGAGGGGAGAGAGGGGATATCGACGGAAAAGATTCGCTGCTCTAGCCGGAGCTGTGGCTGGTAATATATATCGTACCGGTCAGATCGCCGTCACCGAGATCAGGGAGACTTATGCGCAATCTAAGGCTCGGGGCCTGGATGGCGAGTTTGACTCACCCGGCAGCATGCATATTCCGGGTGCGTTCCCAGATGTGGCCGTGACAGCACAAGGGAGCGGCGAGCAATTGATCATGTTCCCAAGCTATGCGAAACAACATACCAAGAAGGAATGGGCCCGACCCTCGGCGTACGAGTCGGAGGCTGGCAACCTGGAGGACGAGGACTATTGGCGATCAGAATGGGAGAGGCATCAGGACGAGAGAGCAATTGTAGATGTCGATGTTCGTGGCTGGATATACGCGCCCCATACCGGCCCAATCACGCGGCGAAATCGCATCTTGATCGGACTTGCGCGCCAACTTAGTGGCATACCCGTCCCAAGAGCAGATCCGGTCCAAGCTGCTGCGCCTCTTAACCCGAACGATGAACTAAGAGAGCAGGAGAAGATTGCGCAAGAAGCTGCCATGATCGAGCGCAGGGGGCGGGAAGAGAAGCGCATAGCAAACGCTGGCGCCTACAGCGAGCAGCCCCGTGAAGATACCAGTTTTGGAGGGCCTGCATACCCTTTGCCTAAGCCGTTGCCAACTCGAGCAGATAGCCGAACGCCCAACTCGCTCTCAGGGAGTCCCAAACTTCCTCCGACTAGACAGAATTCGGCGTTGGCCAACGAGCTCACAGAGGCTGAGCTGACCACTGCAAACGACAACTTGATGGCCAGGATAGCACCTTTCATGACGAATCCTTTGGTTGCCCTTCCCATCACAATATTCTTTTATAATGAATCGAAATCCCAATCACGAAACGTCCTCACAGATGACGCCGGTCATTTTGCTATTCGAGCACCTCTGGATTTTGTTCCTACACATGTTAGGGTGCTAGTAAAGGAAGGCCTATCGACCACGCAAGAGGTTAATTACATTGAGCCATACGGGGTCAGCCTCATCAGTGACATCGACGACACCGTTAAAATGTCGAATATCTCGGCAGGGGCCAGGGAAATTTTCAGAAACACTTTTGTGCGTGAGTTGGCTGATCTCTCGATTGAAGGAGTCAAAGAGTGGTACAGCCAGATGCAAGGACTGGGTGTGAGCGTGCATTACTGCTCCAACAGCCCGTGGCAGCTGTTCCCCATGCTGGCCACCTTCTTTAAAGTATCTGGGCTTCCGGTTGGGTCTCTACACCTAAAGCAGTATTCTGGCATGTTGCAGGGCATCTTTGAGCCTGTGGCAGAGCGAAAGAAGAATACCCTCGTGCGCCTCTTGCGAGACTTCCCGCAGCGCAAGTTCCTCTTGGTTGGCGACAGTGGAGAGGCCGATCTGGAAGTATACACTGAGCTGGCACTGGCGTATCCTGAGCGAATCCTCGCAGTCTTTATTCGAGACGTAACAACTCCGGAAACCACGGGATACTTTGAGCCATCTTTCGAAATGACTCGACGCACAATGTCTGGCTTGACGTTGAACAACAGCGGGCCTGCGAACAATCGGCCGGCAACACGGCAAAGCTCAGCTGCGGGCTCACTTAGTGATTCAAAGCCTCCCCCCGGACCAGTAATGGGTACCCTGATAGACTTTTCCGATGAGCCTGAAGAAGCAAAACTAGATGAAGCCGCGGCCTTGGAGCAAGTCAGAAAATCAAGGCCGGGTCCGTCAGTCAGCGCAACCGATTTGCTTGCTCGGAAACCGCCGCCGCCGCCTCGCCCAGCCAAGCCTGCGGCTCTAGCCAGCGCCCCCGCAATACCAACCGCCAGGAAACCGTCAGTAGGACTTGGAATATCGGGGGCCGGTACAAGTAATAGCCCTGAACCACCGCCGCCGCCCCCAAGGAAGCCCATCGGCCAAGGCGGCAGCAACCAACCGGCCCACCCGCTGGCACAGATACAGAACTCGTCCCAGCAGACAATAGAGTCCACCAAGGCCGACAAACCGCCTCCCCCTCCGCCGCGTCGAAGCACCAAGAACCTTAGCCCGCGAATGGTCTCGTACCTTCGTGGCCCGTCGTCCAACGCAGACGTCGACTTTGATCCGCTCCCGCCGTCACTCGCACCTGTGCCCGCGGCTACTGGCTTATCATTCTACCGCCCTAGCAGCCGATCGGGAAACACCTCGCCTTCGGGATCGCCTACTATGGGCGCGGTGAACAAGAAGCTCGAGCTCTGGAGACGGCGGTTGGTGAGGGCTCATGACCAGCTTGATCATTTAGGCGTGGCGCTATATACATGGCGCAGGGGACAAGATGTTGAAGCTGAGGCTATAGGGATTATAAAGCGGTATTTGTCCGAGTTGGACAAGGAGAAGAGGATGAGGAGGACATAGACTAATAGAAATTGGGGCGGGTTGGAGGTTGGTTCTCTGTTTCCTTTTTTAATCCTTTGTGTGTGGTCTGGATACGCATGGGTTCTGAGACGATAGACTCTTTGTACTACATGTTCCTTTAATTTCTTTTGTGCGGCACTATAACTGTTCGGAATAGAACTTGAATGTCGAGAGATTAGGGGAAGGGTTTGTATATACCAAACAGACAGATAATATAACAATCAGTACTCTACTAGCCACAATCACATCTCACAAACAGAACCAAATAATATAATAAATGTGCAGTGCAACCTCCATTTCAGACAGTATCACCTCCTAATACTAGTTTTATACGAGAATCCCTACATCCAAGCTCAAATACAGGACAGGACAGGACGGGAATGAATACCACAAGAATAATAAAATGCACCAAATGAAAATTCCCAAACAACTCCTCCAAGTGTATCCTCTTTCCCAATGCTCTTAACGCTCTTTGAGTTCTAAGAAACCAACCTTGTTCTTCTTCAAAGAAAAAAGGCTTGTTCCATCTATAACCCCGACGAAAAGCTGTAAATTCGACTACCGCGGATTATTGTTGTTAAATGCCCCCGTGAGGTTCATGTGCATCATGGTCCCAGTCGTCCAATCCGTTTCATCATTGTCGTCTCCCCAAAAATCGAGACCTTCGCGTCCATCGACACCCGGCAGCCGGATCTGAGGTGGCCCTTGACTAAACCTGTTTCTCCTGGGTGGCGGTGTGTCTGGCACAGGGGAGGATGACGCTGGCTCGGCAACAGATGGAGCATCAGTTCCTCTGGAATCCAATAGTCTTTTCTCCTGCTGTTCATAGAGTTGTGCCGGCTCAAAGTGTTGCTGCCGTGGCTGCGGTGGTGGCGGAGGCGGAGGCTGCGACGGCTGTGCTGGATGTCCCTGTTCAAAGTGATCATAGCCATATCCTTGGTTGTTTGACGCCGGCGGATTCTGGTTGTAGTTGTGCATTGTAGTTTCTTGGCTACGTTCCATGCCGGGGTAATAGGCTGTCGGCGTTTGCGGCTCCTCCTGTGCGGAAGTGGCGTACCCAACAGGTTCCGCATGCGCCATATGATCCATCTGCTGTGTAAACTCCTCCTGTTCCAGAATCTGTGGTGCCTGTCCGACATTTCTCATGTTGGGCGGGACGGCAGCGCCCAAGCTACGGAGACTACCCGTAGATGTTCTGTTGCCTTCTGGTCCCTCACCTGGCTCAAGTACGCTGGCATCGAGATCTCGGATAGCAAACTGGGCCACGGTGCGCATCTTTCGCGTAACCCAGCCGGCAAGGATTTTTCCGCGTTGTTTCTCTCCCAGACGAGATCTTGGGAAGTCGCCCTTGTTTACAAAGGCCACAATATCGGCAACGATTTGATGTTCGCTCAATATGGCGTTGACGATGACAGGCACCATGGAGGCAAGATAGGACTTGCGGTTCACCTCGACCAAGACTACAACCAACCCACCGGCTTGGAACACCGCACTGTACATTAATTCATTAGCCATGATTGTTTTCCTGTTAGATATTAAGGAGACACTTACCAGCCGTTTGATACAATGTTGCGATGGCAGCGTTCTACCGAGAGCTCAATGTCCATGGGGAAATGGCTGAGACCGTTGATCTCAAAAGTCTCACCGATGCTGCCAAGCACAAACAAGACTTGCATTTCCACCAGAGCGCCATTGGGTCCAATGGGCCGGTTGACGTTGTGCAAGAAGCCCAAATCACCAGTTCGCACATATCGCACATTGGGATCGCCGTCTACCGTCCGGCCGTCAAAGCGCTCCACGTCAAACGCATCTTTCGAACCGTAGAACGCCTTTACACATGCCTCTGAGTCAACCCAGATCTCTCCGTACTCTCCATCATAGCAATGCGCGCGGCTCTCGGGGTTGACAATGGCAATCTGAGTGGACACTGGCACCATGCCGGAATCTTGCAGCAGGAGAGCTTGAGGGTCTGTGTCGTGGTCAACCGGAACGATTAGACCGCGTCGAAGAGCCTTGGTGTCAAGCCAGAGTTCAATGGGCTCGATGCACATGTACGACCTCGAGGCAATCATCGGGTTAAGAACATGAGAGTAGACGGTGTTGATGGCCGTTCGATCCAGCCCGGCTCCCGCGAAATGCATCCGGACCTTCTGGAATACATCTACTCGCGGCCGGCCTTCCGCAGAGATCATCATGTTCTTGAGCTCGTGCATTGTAAAGCCCTTGGCTTGCATCGACGACATGGCATGATCAAGCATCTGTGGCGTTGCGTACGTGTCTTTAATCTTATATCTTGACAGCGTAACAAACAAGGATACGGGACTTTGAGCGAATTCAACAGGAGACAGCAAGTACGTAGGAGTGCCGACGTATATGCCCATCAAGCAAGTATGGACGAAACCAAGTCCCGTTGTGCTTCGTACGCACCCAAGAACAGGCCTCGAGCTCGTCATCTGGCAAGTCTCCTTCTGCACTTTGCACATGCCCAAGATTGTGTCGTGTCCAAGCTGGACAGCAATTCTGCGTTGATCCGGTGTCCAGTATGTCCAGATAAGAACGGGATAACCGGGTCGAATCCAAGCAGGATCTATTGTTAATCCAAGCTCTCGAAGACCATTGTTTTGTTTAGGGGGCTTCGAAGTGTTGTAGGTATTTGGCATGGATATTTTCAAGATTTGGGCCGACTGTTTGATGTGGCTCGAGACAACCTTGAGCTTGAGCAGATGGTCCACATCCACGTTGACCAGAACCGCCTTGACCTTGTAGTCGGCGATCAGGTGCAGGAAAGCAGGGACATCTTCATTCAGCCGGTTCTGGTCGAGTGGCGCCATTGGGATGATGACTGCGCCGAGGTTGATTCCTGCATGAACGGCATACACGAATTCCTCCGAGTGCGTATACATGAGGACCAGATGGTCGCCTGGCCGTACCTTGACTTTGTTCTTCAGATACATGGCCACAGCAGCTACCTTGGAGTCGAACTTCTTCCAGGTAATTCCCTTGCCCTCTCTGCCCCTGCCATCAATGGTGCAGTAAGAAAGCTCTTCTGGCTGGCGAGCGACTCGCCATTGGATGAGATCAGTGATGCACGAAAAGTTGTTAAGTGGTGTAGACGTTCTGTCGTCAATGACAACTTCCCTGCGATCAATTCCAGAGTACTGCTTATCAGCGGGAGCCAGGATATTGGTCCTCGACTCGGAGGCGATCGGAGACCAGATACCACCAATGGGATCAACACCAATAGGGAGGTTGAGAACTGCATGCTCAACGCCAAATTTGACATGCACGCAGGGAAGGTTTCCTAGGTCAAACTCGCGCCGACACAGCATGTTACCAATTTCTCGTCTCCCATTCTTGATGACTCGCGGAAGCGCGTTCGGGGCTGTGATCATTACGCAATAAACCCGAAGGTGATGTTCCTGCATAAGAATCTCCATGCACTTTTCTGCCAATGAATCCAACAAGACAGTATCAGGCTGCACAGGTGGGCCACCTGAAGTGAGAGGTGCTGTTGACGCTGCTTCTGACTCGAGAACAACGACAGGTAAGTGCTCGTCATTCACAAACACATCAAATGCGGAGCAGTCATGAATCTTGGGGACATTCTTGACGATGCTCACCACAATGTGCTGAACAAAGTAATACCTATATTCAGCGATACCCGCGTGGCCGTGCTCGACCCATTCAACTTTTTGCCGGATTCGATCCTCGTACAGACCCAGAACATAGATCTTGCCTTCGATCACTGTACCAAGAAGGCCAGTCCGCAGGAACTCTGGCTCTACGGCAGTTGGTGTTGGCTCTCCAGGCTCAAACTTGTAGGGGCGTGCGTGGAAAATAAGCTCCGTGTTCTTGGGTTGCGCCCAAAAGCCTCCAGAGAGAGATGGCGAATCAACCCATATCTCACCAACCGACCGCGGAATTGCCAAAAGGCCGGTCTCGGGGTCCACGACGGCAAGCGTAGCATCTGGAATAGGGTATCCAAAGGCGCCAACTCGGACCATGGTGGATTCCAATGATGTCTTCTTTCGAGCTTCGTTGCCGTGAGCGAGGACAACAACTTCATTGGTCTTTAAAGCCTCCCGATCCAGGATGACCTCTCCTAACTCGATCTTTTCATCCAGTTCCTTGGTGGTTGTTCCTCCACCGCCTAATAGACTGCCGAATCCGTTTGATGGGGCTGGCTTCTCTTCCTCTTCTTTTTCACCATCAGATTCCTTGCCGGAGTCGTCTAGCTTTAGTTGAACTCCCAGCCGCTCTTCGCCGCCGAGCCAATCTCGAACACTGATGATCATTCCACCATGTTCCGGAAGACAAAGCATTGGGGCCACAACTTCACGCGCTCGCGGATTTCTTAGGGGTCGCAGCCATCTATCTGCCAAGACTTCGTGAAACTCGCTATCAATAGTAAGGGTGTCAATCAAGCACAGTTTCACTGCCTGGAAATTCGGCTCCATCCCCTTCTTGAAGTTTCGTGTCGTCATGGGATCTTGCTGGTAGTTGTAGGCGGCCCGTTTGAGCCCTGGGTAGTCCGCAATCATGACGGTTGCTCTGTACTTTGTAATTAGATGCGCATATAGGCCAGGAGACTCAACGGCTTTGTTGTCAAACCAGACGGTTGTGTGGCCGCCGTAAACAGTCAGCAAAATACTAAGTATCATACCAACCCCCTGTCGAGGATCAAGATAAGAGAGCAATATCTCGCTACTTGCTCCACCACCGATGAGCTTTCCGTTTTTGTCTCGTAGGGAAGAGTTGAAAGTATCGCCGGGGCCATTGCCAGGAACAGTAGAGATAATAGCGCTTAGACAGGCCATCTGATGCATAATTGTTCGGTGGCTGAGAACGACGCCCCTCAAGTCACCGGTTGGGGCACGAGAGAACTCAATATAGGCCAAGTCCGGAACAGTTAACGGAGGCACGTCCTCTTTCTTCTTTGGATGGTAACCGCCAAACTCATTAGTTTTCCACCACTCGACTCCTTTAGGCCATGTGAGTTTCTGCGTAGTAATGTCTCTCTGGAAAGTCTTGAGGTTGTTTTCCGTCGTGAGGGCCAGATGGGCTTGCGTAGATGTGAGGATATAGTTTAACCGCTGGTAGTCCTGCAAGTCATTGATTGGAACTGCCACTACTCCAGCAATAAAACAGCCCAATAAAGCGATAGCGAAATCGATGATTTCAGTATCACGATATATGAGAGCTACTCGGTCGCCACGGTACAGCGGGCTTTTATCTCGGATGACCTGTGCCACCTTTTCGGCTCTTGACGCAAGCTTATCCCAGGTGATGGACGCCATCTCCTTGCCCTTGCTATCAAGGACCCAATATGCCGGTCTTTTAGCAGTAGTGCGAGCGCGATGACGGAGCACTGCAGCCATATTGTCGAACGATGACATGGGCGTATTGTTATCGTGAGGGTCCTGAATGGCAAATGGGACTTCTCGTGGCTCAAGCGGAGCCTGGTATTCCAGTATTTCGGGCGGGGGCATATCGTTGGCAGTGAGCATCGGAGGCGCCATAGCGGCGGTTGGAGAGAAAGCGTCACCAGAGTATCTCGGCCCTCCGCCATAGTCACCCATCTGATTCTGTTCATAGTGCTGCTGCCCAGCGAAATCTGAAAAGTATGCCTGGTTATCAAGCAGCGTTCTAGTTCTGCCGTCGTCCGGCTGGTGGTATGATTCGGCGTATGCACCGTGTTGGTCGGGGTTAAAGGCATAGTCTCCAGAAACCATAGTTCCACTCCGCGTGGGAGGATCATTGCCGCCCCCTGGCAAGAAAAGCGAGTCCCGCTGTGGTATAACGGCATTATCGGTCATCGGTCTTCCGGGGCGTAAGAGTTCGGCTGGCGAGGGATTTGAGGGCCCATACGAAGAGCCTGGTGGCGGAGCGGCATAGCTTGAGTCGGGGCGCTGCGTATAATCGCCATAGTTGCTATTCTGGTCGTGATAGCCGCCTCCAGCGCCGTATCCACCTCCATAGCCACCGCTCACAGACGTCGAGGTCATGACAGAGGCTCGTCGGCCATCGCTCGAGGGATGCGTCGAGGTCTCGGGAGAGTGTATGCTCAAGCCGGAGCGAGACTGCGGAGGTACCGGGGCCGGGGCTACTTGATGGTGAGCAAACTGCGAAAGCAGCATTGTCCGCCGCTTCTGATATCTGGAACGTTCTTTGTCAGTTCACGATCCGCCGCCTCCGCTGGTGTCGTCGCCAGCCTCTCTGGAAGCTGTTGCTCACCCCTTCTCAGTAATATCGCCCTCCTGCGCATCATATCGTCAGCCCAATGTTTGGAATTGATGGTGGGAGGGCTGTAGAGGCTTCTGGCGGACAACCTACCTCCAACTCGCGGTCCAGCTCCTCGAGCCTCGCCCGCAGCTCAGGATTGTATTCCGCCATGATGCAAAACAGCGCGCTGCTGGTCAGACACTTGCGCAGCACTTATGCTTGACTGAAGACGAGGGACTGGCGCTTCGCCATGCCCAGACTCACCAATAGCGCGAGTCTCGTGATGTTGAGGTTGCTAGTTTGACGGCTTGCTGCTAACGGCGAGCTTGTGCAGCCATGGTTCAGGAAAACGAGGGGCTGCTCCAGGTCTTTTAGCGGTTAACCAACCGCTATGAAGTAGCGCTCCCTAGCACAGAATTGCCAGGGCAGAGGCTTTGCTAGGCCGAGCTAGGCAAATGTCGAACGCGCGAACACGAGGTCTTATGTAATGCCGGATGAAGATCAAAAATACGAAAGAGATACCGGCTGTTTTGCGCCGTTTGCGGTGTTCCTACAAGTAGATGTTCTCTTTGCGGAGAAATACTCTTCCCGGTAACCCCGAGATCTCCCTATATATCCTATTTGCCTATCTCTGAATTCGGCTGCCTGTAAATGCCCAAACTGTGACATTCCGTGCTGCGCTGTAATGCGGTGAATAGCACCGACAAGTTATACGAGGGAAACAGCTGCAGAGGCTCACATGATGCTCTCGTATTAATGGACAGGGAATTAATAATAGCTAGTGCCATGGATTTATCTCGTTGACGCCTATCTACCAACCCTAGCCGTGCGAAGACCGCATACAAACCCAGAATGGCATTTACAGACAGGAGCCGCTGTCTTACTATCGCGATACTATCGTACATGAGCGAAATACCACATTCAGTCCATGGTCAGAGTAGACGGAGATGCTGGGTTCCATTTTTGCATTTCCAGGAGGATAAGAATAGCACCGCTTTCATATTTCATACTTGCACATTGACAGCACGCTGCCAGCATGAACCTCTGGGTAACTCATTGAAATCTTATACACAAAAATAACCACCAATATCAGTTCAAAGAACATGCAAGTCAAAGGGACTGTCTTCATGATCGCCTTTGGTATTTTTTTCTCCGAAAAGATCCGCCACAAAAATAGAACTCTCCCCCACTCTCTTTCTTCTTCTCTTCTCTTCTTTTCTTCCCCTTCCACTCAGTTGTGGGTTCTCATTCAACATGACAAGCGTTCACCATAGCTGCTGTTCAAGGCGCAAACGCAGAACAAAACTCTGGCATTGTAGTGACAGCTTTCAGTCAATGTTTCATTACAATGAAGGCTTTCATGTTTAGTTTCAGGTCTTGAAACTGTTCGGTCATTCGGCTATTATTATCTCCTGTTCAGTGAATCCGGGGTAAAGGTCCTTTATATGTCAACGTTTTCTTTACCTCTTTGCTCTTTGTCCAGATTTCTTCAGCGGGACCCTTGTTTCATCTGTTCTGCCCTTCTAGAAGAGTTCTGCAACAAATAAACGGTTTATTAAGAACAATGAATTGACTTGTTCACTTGTTCTCATGTTTCAAACCATGATGTTTCAAAGCTCGGTGGTGATCTCGTGCCATGAACTTAAATATGATCTACTTCTCCCCGTATAATATGCTTGATACGAACCCATTCTACATTCAATCTCGACTAACACCAACATCTGACAATTTTTCCTCATCTGAACACGACCTTGAAACTCTTTACCATATTCTTTTCTTCTACGTAACATCAGAAAAAGCATACCGAACATGTCCGACTCAAACGGCTCTCAGCACGCCAAGGCTGAGTTCCTAGACACATGGCACCCTAACATCACAGACACGATCAACTTAGACAACCAAGATTCTACAGGTATACCCTTGCCAATCTTTTTCTCGGAGCAAGTATACGCCGAAGCACAGTCAGGAATGAGTCCAGAAACGTTGGATTTCTTGAATGCTACAGATCCTTTTAACCCCGATGTGCCAATGATAGAGGAACGCAGCCTCGATATTGATCTCACACTTGACTGGATGGCGCCGTAAGTGCAATACACATATCGTATCGTTATTCATTCAATTGCTAATATTTGTTAAAGGGATCCATTCAGCAGTCAATCCTTAAATATCGGGATCACAGAGAATAACGTCCCTCTCGCGCAGAATAACAACCAGCAATTGGTACCATTCGGTCAGCAACCTCCAGTATACAATTTCCCAGGTTCTCCCTTCGACCAATATCCAGAACAAAGCCTTCAAGATAACCAATTATCCTCATATCCTTCCCCCAACTTTGCCACTCGCACCATCTCTCCGCCATATGGCCGCCAAGTTCTTCAACAGTCTAGGCAACTTCTTCATTCGGCCGCCGAAAGCCCTTACAGCAACAACGCTTTTGGCTTCCATCCAAGCCCGCGGGTTACATCTAATTATAACCCTGACGAAAACACTGCTAGCACAAAAGGAAAAAGTCCACCATCCCTTTGTAGCCGAAAGATTAGCCTCAACAGAGCCGCAAAGAAAAGAGGTGATCCAAGCTGCGATCCATCTCTTTGTTATGCGTCAGATTCCACCAAAATCACCCCATGGGGCAGTTTGTCTTGGAACGGACAGCACTTGTTCAGCTACACCTCAAAGGGACAGTGGTTGCGTGACCGTTGCTTCACCAAACAGCAATTCCGAGAGTACGCCGATAACTGCGGGAAAGACATCGTCTTTTGGGTCCAGCAAGCTCCCACGCAGTGCAATCATCGACTGGAGCCCGAGGACAGGATCTGTCGCTGGGCGAATTGCCCCGTCGCCAATAGAACAATCACGGCGGGATGGCTTCGTGTCGCCTTTGACGAGTTCCCTCACCTGACTTCCAGTGGAGTCCGAGATCCGTTGAAGTGCGCTGGCTCGGTCCATCTATGGTGCTTTGAACAGATTTTCAACCCTTTGGAGTTTCATATATCTGGCCGTCTGCGCCCCGAAGACAGACAGTTTCCTTTCGAGGATAAGAGCGTGGTGACGTTGGAAAAGCTGACCGATGCGGGCATCATAAGGGAGGCTTACCAGCCCTGGTTTGAGCAGAGAATGTTCAGCCCCTATCAGCAGCCTCGAGATTATCGCGACTCTCTGTCTTATCGGCTGACCAAGTATCACATAGAGAATCAGACGGCAGCCCGGCAAAAGGCACGATCGAAACGAAACGTTACCAAGTCTGAGGGCGAGCGCAGGACTATTGATGTCCACATGGGCGATCTGAAAATGTTTGTTGAAGCCACAAATAGAGTCAGGAGGACGAAGAAGATCAAAAAACTTGAAAGGACTAAGACCGAAGACGCCGATGGTTTGAGCAATTCTTCTTTACAACAATGGGCAGTTACCAGCACACGCCCAACGACGAACACAGCACAAAGGGGCATTGTGGACTGGCTACCAGAGCTGAATCGAGGAGAGTCGCTCTCGCGCGAATCATATCAACCAAGAGGGAGCTCTTTAGCTGATAGAAATGTGCAAGAGGCTTCAGGTCACAGCTTGGGACGGGTCTCCGCACGGCAGACGCAGTCATACCTAGCACACTTTCCTTCCCCTGATAGCCAGAACCAGGATTCTGATACATATCAGTTCAATCCTCAGCTCGACCCAAGAATGAACAGCAGGCAACCGCCGAGCTATTTTGATCCCTTGAGCACAGCTCCTTATTCAAGGCAATCAGCTACTCGACCCTCGATAACCACGGCGGGCATATTCCCCAACTACTCCCAAGATATTCACATGGACGTTTCTAATCAAAGCTACTCTCAGAATGCTACGAGACAAAGGTTGTCCAACAGGGCAACCCGCTCAGGCCTTAGGCCGATCATAACGCAGCCTCTACAACAACACGCATATTCTTTGAACCGCTCAATAAAGCGTGACGTCTTTACTCAGACAATGGGAGAAACACTGCAGTTGCCTGGACGCGGCAGCAGTACGGGCCTCTTTGACTCACACCAAGGGTTTATCCTGACTCGCGAGGAGCCGGATTTTGATCTTCTCATTGACCCTAGGATATCCGAGGATAAGCTGGAGATTAGCCAATACCAGAAAGAAGCTCGTAGCGAGGCGAATAACGCATTTACTGCTCATAAACCAACGGGTTCAGATGCATCTCGGCTTCCAGGAACCATGGACTGTCCCGTGAGCCCGCAGGCTACAGCTACATCACCACATTGGGATAGCCTCATAGATTTTGGCGGTGCTGATGGTGCTAGTCTTTCTCCTCTGTCCAAATACCTTACAGCCACCAATGGGATTGATGGTGAGAGAGCCACAGCTCTTACTGGCGTCAGTGTACAACATGTAAGCAGTCCCGAAGTGGCCCGCTTTAAGCGGAAGCATCTCAGCCTCAGCGAGACCACGCAAAGCAGGCAAGGCGGCAAAAGACGGCGCACGGAGACCTCATCATTGTAGAGGCACGCCTTTTTGGATCAATACTTGCAGTTCCCCGAGCGGTTTTGGCGAGGGGGCCCTTGCAGCCCCGATAAGGCCCATGAGAGAGAGCTGCATCGGCACTCCCGAGGTGGAGAGCAGTTTGGGCTGGCGTTGACTTGCAGACGCGGGCCTAGCTTGTGGCCAGCTGGCAGGCTAATGGGATGCCCTCCCGCCGAAAAGAGCATATGAGTGCTATTAGCTTCTCCGGGACAAAGAACGTGAGGCCGTTAGCGGTTCTGAAGGTAGCCGGATAAGATGAGGCGAGTATCGATTTTGGCTTGGCGTGAGCCGCAAGAAACCCGGAGCATTCGCAAGTGTTCTCGGCACAGTCTTGTGAGCTGACAACAGAGTCTGCGGGACGATTGTTCCACACAATATTAGGCAGGCGGACGCAGTGTTGTACGTTGTTGTCTGCTCGCCTGACGCTGTATACTGAGGGAGGGGAACCAAAAGGCGTCTCCGATTCGTTCGTCACCCACACGTCTAGACAAGTTAGCAAAGATGTTCTCGTCACAACTTGAAACTTGATAGCCGTATATACTTATACGTAAAGCTCGCCCCGCCTTGCTTTCGAACTATTGGTATATGGGGAGATTCTCGGATTGTCAAAGTCCGATTGGCTTGCCCTTCTCGATGGTGATTACAGCAGGACGCGAACTGAGGGCCTGATGTTGCTTACCATGGGAGCGAGACGCAGTAACGGCAGGGGCCCTTGTCGTCTTATTGCATTGCTTTCTGCCTGTTGCTTGTGTCTATTACTAGTAGCAGCAGAGATTGTCGGCACAGGCCTGTCAATTCACTGGGAAAGCCGCTTGACATTTCTGCTTTGTGGAGGAGGGGTTTGGAAATATACATGTACGTGCAATTGTACAGTAGGGCGCATGGGTGTTAAAGGTGGTGTGGGATCAGCACGTGTCTTGGGATGGAAATAAGCAGCGCTTGCGCTTGCAACTTGTTATGCATGGATTAGATGAGTGGTTAGATGGGGGGGTTTTTTTTTGTATGTAATCGATAGACATTTCCTTATTCATTTTGTTTTCTGGATTATTTATCTCCATAGTAATAGACTGGCATTTTGACAACGGCAAGGGGAGATACTTTAAGAACCAAGTAGGTGAATGCATGTACTTCCTCTGTATCTCGCCATGATACTCAACAATGGCTGTAAGTCGCTTAGAACATTTGACCGAGTGAGAGATTTGTCAATTCCACGGACTACAAAGAAAGAAACCACCGCACGTGCAAGCCATTGGCTCGGGGTTATTCTGGGGTCCCGTCAATGCGTCCTTGTTTGCACATGCAAGCTCCATCAGGCTGAAGCCAACTGCAGGGGGGCCTGTCAACAGATAATACCAGTAATAGCAAGAAGCATCCCATATCAGCTTGCTGCTCGACGGATACAGTGATGGGGAATTGATGCTTGGCCCATGGACCCAACAAAGTCCCTGGGACTCGGCGGACGAACGCCGATGGCCAAAAGAGCAGTGCTGTTTTTAGCTATCTCAAACACATGCATCAGCAAGACATGTTGCAGCTCAGCCTCCCCACAAGAGCCGGGGTGCGAGTGGGTTAATGCACGTACGGCGTAGCTTGAGTCGTTTTACTGGCCGGAGCGGCAAGTTGGAGATCCAACGAGGCCAGATCCATCCGTGCTGATCAAACAACTGATCCCGCAAGACGTCAGTCGACTAAGTTAGTTGCTGTTGGCGCTACTGTACTGCTGATACAGACGTGCTCTCGTATCTACATGCACCTACTATACCTTGACAGCTTACATGTCAGGTCGGCACCTGGCCGTATCTAATTGCTACGGTATGGACGGGCTCCGCGTACGGCGCTTCTTTGCGGCGGGACATGGAGGTCAGAATCAGCAGAGGCGTTTCTAGCCGGATATCGCTACTAATGCACTACGTATAGAGTTCATACCGTGTGCATTTCCGTTAACTGAGGGGGGCCTCGTGCCGTGCTGTAACTGTCAAGTCCCGGATTTTCAGAAGCTAAAAAGCCGCCACGCTTGTCCAACAGGCTTGATCGTTGAAGATCCCGGAGGTCCAAAGGAGGCAGTGTGCTTACCTGATCAGGCCATCGATGCCTCAGCGAAGCCTCTTTGTACGAAGTATTAATCTTACACGTAAAGTTGGATGTTACCTTGCCCGGTAATGAGAGGCCAGGTGCTTCCGTATCGCACAGAGTGCAATGGGGCACCCGTGGTACTTCGGATAGCTGCATTTAGAAGGACGACGAGGAAAATCAATGCCATCCAAGGATCTGCACTTGCACCCAAGTAAAGTCGATGTTATAAGTGAGGTGCAATATATCGAGCGCGCAACTAGCAAGCAAAGCCGCAGTAGCGCCCAAACTTACGGCCCCGAGGCTGGGGGTCCAGCCCGCTGGAATGGCGTCTTTTTTTGCAACATGAGCAAGGGTTACATTCTCAGTTCCAATTGCTAATTTGGGGCAAATGGTGAAGCTGCCTTGATGCGCGTATCACCGAGAATGCCTCACCTTTACCTGTGTGTATCGTCCCTGGGTGTCGTACGGTAAAGTAAAGTGCCTGCCAGGTACTACCGACGCATGCAGCAACTTTGAAGTATTTGGTACCATCAAACTCCCGATAAATCCTGGGGCATTTCAGGTCCTCTGTACGGAGTACAGCTGCCTCCACGTCCTCCACGTCCTCCCAGGCGTCACACATTTTCCTTGTTCTCGCACGCCCCTCCCCTCCACCCCTTGCAACAGCATCGCGGCGACGCCGAAACTAGAGGCGCTACGAGGTGACAATAACGACGCTAACACCATCGAACGGACTGGACGGACAGCCTGTGCTGCGTTGCGCTGCTGCGATGCGATGCCGCTGGCGCAAGCAATCGGAGCCCGTGGGTGGGTTCAAAAGGCGAGCCGTGATCCTGCTCTCGGCCCTCGACGGCCATCTGGGCGAGAGACTGAGCAAACAGTTCAGCACAGGCACGCGACGACGACGCTCATCACGAACCAGTCACAAGCCCGCAGCTCTTCTGCTTGGTGCCGTGCCACGTACCTGTAGAATCGGCGGCTCCGTAAGTCGACGAGCGAGCAGCATAACGAGCCCGTGAAGCGATACAGTGTCTGTGTCTCTGCTGCTGTCTGCCGTGCTGCCGCGGTTGGTCCAGCCCAGCCCCAGGTTCGTGTCTTTGCAGTACTAAGGCACGAGAAAGCAGGATTCCCGGCTAGCCTGCCTGCCACATACGTACGTGCGTACATATCCAACTGCAGAGCGTCATCACGTCTGCCATTGCATTCCCTCGGCGATTTACATATTACATATTGGTATCACGGCACATATCTGCGAACCAAGCAACGCCAGAAAAAAGATCCTTGGCGCCGGGGAGCATCGACTATTTGGGAGCCTGAGATAATTTCCCAATCTTTCCCATAATATTTTAGACTCTTCCCTCCCCCCTCAAGCAGACGAGAGCCTCGGTGCTTCTCCCACACGCCCCTCGGAAAACAACCACCACTGCCTCGCTCCGTCTCCTCACCCACTCTCACATCTCACCTTGATCTTATTTCTTCTTCTTCAGCGAACCGGCTAGTCAGGGCAACAAGCTCAAGTAGCGCCTCGTGGGGGGAACAAGACGAAATCGGTAGTTCCAGCCTCGGTCACGTGGGAGCCTTTACCGTCAGCGCCACTGGACAAGGAGAAGCCGAGATCAAGAACTCCCTCTTTGAATCTTTGCCTTTAAAGAACCGCCGTGGTATTTCTGCCCCTTCTGATTTTCTGGGGTTTGTCTCGTGTTGGGAGGCCCCTTGGAGTTTGGGATTGGAGATCGGCGTCGGCATTGAGCGTTGCGCGCAATCTGCAGACTGACTCGACACTATCGCGGCATCACTTGGCCATCGCGACTCGGCAATCCACCAAATTCTACAGCGCTTGTCGAGCATGACGGAGGGATTGTCATCACCTGCTTTGCAGGTAATCATATTGGTATGCTTCTTACTTCCTTTCTTTCTTTTTTTCCTCCCCTCTATCATTTTGGTTTTGTGCTTGCTTGCTTTTTCTCGTATTACCCGTACGCGGATCCCCATGACTTCTCATAAACCTCATTTCGCATCACCTCCTCATAGAGGCGATGCTCCGTCGGACTCGAAATTGAGAGCGCGCAGATCGGGTAATTTGGCCGTGGCATTTCCGATCGGGATGCGTCTGCCGCCAGGGGGTCAGTGCCCCAGATCAAGGGACAGCCAGCCAAACACCCCTCTGCATGAAACGTCTAGCTAGGTCAGCTATTGTCTGGCCACAGTCGTTACCCCATTGGCACAGCTTATCGTGGGGCAGCTTCTCTATCTGACAGCTCAGCTTACACGCATGCCATGAGACCATGTACCTTGTTCTGCACTCACTGGAAGCTATCACAACCTCTCACAAATGGATGCGCATCAGATATAGCATAATTGCTCACTCTTATACAGGGTTCGGGAGGTGGTCCCCAAGAATCAAATACAACGGCGTTTCTCGTTCGCTCAGTACCCCTCAACTGGCGCAAGGGTTCAATAGTGGCCGTTGACGGAGGCGTTCACTTGTCAGCCATCACTCGTCTCATCGAAGAGGCCTTGCCAGAGTCACCGCCGCCAACACCGACGCCGTCGTCTGTTCCTAGTCGCCAAATATTAACCACCGGTCCCTTTGCTGGCCTGGAACTGCCGTTCACCACGGCTGCGGCAAATGCTGCTCATGTGACACGCACCCTCGTCGACACCTATCTCATCACCCACCCGCACTTAGACCACATCTCTGCCTTTGTCATCAACACGGCAGGCTTGCCCGGTACTCGCCCCAAGAAGCTAGCAGGTCTTCCGGGCACTATCAAGGCTCTCAAGGAACACATATTCAACAATGTCATATGGCCAAATCTTAGTGATGAAAATAATGGAGCCGGTCTCCTGACGTATCTTCGACTGGTCGAGGGCGGAAGTCCTGCGCTGGGTGAAGGGTATTTGGAAGTGTGCGACGGGTTGCTCGTCAAGACATGGAGTGTGAGCCATGGCCACTGCATGGAGAAGCACTCACACCGTGGTTCCTTCTGCCACCCAGCGCCGACTCGTCAAGGTAGCCAGGATGGGTCAAGTATACCGCTTCGACGTGATACATACTACCCGCATGTTCACGACTTTGCAGCTCAATTCGCCCGTCGCGAAACTTTCAACCATCTTTACCCCCCTACATCCTTCTCACGGCGCCAGAGTATGATGCCCCAGGCTGCGCTTGGCATTGCCACGCCCATATATGGAGGAGGGGGAGACTTTGAACCACGGCCATGCGTCAACGACTCAAGTGCGTACTTCATACGGGAAGAAACATACGAGCGCGAGGTGCTCATTTTTGGAGACGTGGAGCCGGATAGCCTTTCTCTCAGCCCGCGGAATCTACTAATCTGGCAAGAGGCGGCGCCCAAGATCGCATCCGGAAAGCTGGCGGCTATCTTTGTCGAGTGCAGCTACACTGACGCACAGCCCGACGAGCGGCTATTCGGTCACTTGAAACCCGCCTATCTCATCGAGGAGATGCAGGTTCTAGCAAACGAAGTAGAGGCCGCACGAAAGGTCCGTGCCCTTGAGTCTAAGAAGCGCAAGCGGGACGCCGAGGAGGACGTCGAAGTTCAGCGGAAGAAGGTGCCGGTTGTGACCATGCAGAGCCCGGGGTCTGATGACCCCGTATCTCCCAAGTCGGCCAATCCGTTCAACATGCCCAACGATTATTATTTCAGCGCCAAAGAATCCGATTCCGAGACACCGCACATCGCCACCCCTACTGGGGAGCTATCACTAGACGAGTTTGCGGTCGACGGCTCGATGATACCTCCGCTCACGCCCGCTATCACTGCTGCCGCCGATTCTGCTATAAAGAAGCCCCTTGAAGGTCTCAAGGTTGTCATCATTCACGTCAAGGAGACGCTAGCAGATGGGCCGCAGGCCGGTGACTCAATATTGCAGCAGCTGATCGAGCATGAGCGGGGAGCACAGCTGGGCTGTGAGTTTATCATTTCCAAACCGGGCCAGAGCTTTTACTTTTGATACCTCACGGGTCATCTGATTTTCTATCTTCCCCTGTTGAATTACTAGCATTTTTATGTTTACTTCATCTGGTTATGGGGAGTCCTTGGTTACTGGACAGTGGTTGGGAGGGGAGTCTTGTTGACGATTTTTGCAATGACCTTTGTTTTGAGGTCATCAGTATGATTGATATGACGAACACGTTTTGTATACCACTGCGTTTGAATAACACGTTGATTGTTTTTTTTTTTTTTTTTTAATTTCTTTATCGTGCGGTGCCTTTGCTCATTTGTGCTCATTAATCCGTGATGCTCCTTTTCTTCGGAAAAGGCCTATACGCAATCAGCGTCTTTTGTTGTTATTTGCTTCCATTCAAGAGCTTCTCATAGCCTTCAGCACCGCCAAGGTCAGCCTCAAACTGCGGCCTTGGTATCTGCAGAAGATCAGTCGTCTTGGAGTAGATGACGCCTCCCATGCGACCAATGGGTTTCAAGATCTCGGGATAGAGCTCATCCTTCTTTTCGCTCAGTGCGTCATTCCTTGCCCAGAACCGAACTCCTTCAAAAATGACCAGCCATGTGGACACTCTCCCTGGATTTGCTCTACTTTCAATCTCCTTGATAGATTCCACCTTGGCTTCGATGCTAAATATCGCCTCCTTCACTCGCGGCGCCTTGACAGTCTCACATGAATAGTCTGCTGTCAAGCCGGAGACACCCCATTCAGACGTCCCGTAAGGAGCGTCTATGCTGGTCGAGTTGGCGGCCTCGATGTAGTGTTCCGAGATGATGTTGATGACACACTCCCCAGAGTCACGCACATTGACAAAGGAATCCCTAGGCCCACTTGGGGGATGCGCAAATCCGACAGCAAAGGTAGGCGGATCGTGGGTGAAGACGTTGAAGTAGCTGAATGGAGCGAGATTGGCTTTGGTACCGTCGGCGGAGAGGGTGCTGATGAAGGCGATGGGGCGCGGGGCGACGGCGGAGATGAGGAGCTTGTAGTTGAGCCATGAGGCTCGATCCTCTGCTTGGGGGTCGATGAGTGTGTGGCTCTGGGCTTTTTCGTCCGGGTTGGAGGATGAGGGCGATGCTGCGTTGAGGTGGTTGCTGCCCTGGCCGAAATTCCAGTCCGGGTTGGGGTTTGGGCCTATACGAACTTGGTTCGGGGTGGTAGCTGAGGGGGCCATTGTTGAAAGATGTCGGGCTTTTTGTTTAATACGAAAGGCTACAAAGAAACGACTACTTCGAGAGAGCATGGCAAAGACGACAAGCGGGTTTCAAAACTATATATACCCAGGTACTAGTATATATATGCAATCGGTCGAGTCAAGGAAATGCCAGGATTCAGCAGTTTGTGGAGTCGTAGGGTTCGGTGTGTGGCGCCCCATGCCATATCAACTTAGCGATGCAGATAGTCGCCATCTTGATTCATAAGCAGAGACATGGGAGTGTCCCCTTTCAGGAGATGCAGATAAGACGCAGATGCAGATGGTATGAGACGATTGGACATTATTTTAACGAGGCAAAAGTTCCCAAACAGGCTGCATGAGTAATCTATCACTAACCAGCCATTTGGTCGATGGCTGATTCATATATTGGGAATACGACGATTGCTAATTTTGGAGAGATCTGGCATAACTAATGGGACCATTTGCCTATATGGGTACCAAGTATGGGGACTGCCTCGGTAAATCTTAAAGAGGGTCAATAGAGGAAAATAGCCCTAGCGAATGCCATGCTTGGATATAGGGCTGCAGGGAGCATTGGCCCAAGCTCATCTACGCAGTGACACGACCGTATGAACTTTGTGAGGCTTAAAACACATGGATGGGTTATTTCAAGCTTGATTGAAGAATATATACTCGTTGGAAACTTGGACGTTTCTACAGCAAAGACGGGAGGGGGTTTATATGGACATCTTCTGTCGTAGCTGTGAATTAAGTGCCATGCCATTAAGTGGGATGCCGAGCAAGATCTTTTACAGTGTACTATACAACCACATTGGAAGTAAGCGCAGCTTCGCTACGAAACACCTACTGGCACCTCTTAGTAAGAGAGTCAGGTATCAGATAGCCCAGATGAAAAAGAACAAATTCCAAATCGAGATTTGAAATAGGGCTTCTGAAAGCAAGATGCAACTTTCGTTATGTAAGCACATGAGCGCTTGTATGAGACATACCTATATATAAAGTTTTAGTGGTCCAGTGTTCAACAAGTTCACAAAGCAATTTGGCGCAGTGGAAGCGCGCCGGGCTCATAACCCGGAGGTCGCACGATCGAAACGTGCAATTGCTACTCGCTTGTTTCTTTTTTTGGTATTTTTACCCCGTTTTATTCTGCTTTCATGTTCCTTTGTTCGTTTTGTTATCCTTTGTATTTCTTTTTCTTTTTGTTCCCCTTTATTACAAAGACACAATTGGGTAGAAAGAAAAGGAATGCAGCTTTTTACCAACTGCTTTGATCCTGTTCTGACTGTCCAGCAGACAATTCACACATCAAAATTCATTTACGTAGTATATCGCCAACATCTAGATTGCGAACAACGGATGTCTTTAGCCGCCCACTGGTTTTTTTTTTTTTTTTTTTTTTTTTTTTTTTTTTTTTTTCTCATCTTCTACTATCTTTAACATTATTGCATTGGCTTAAATATCTCTTCTCGTACTTCATATTACACCGCCTAGTTCTTATGGCCATCCAAATCTAACTCTAGACCGCCAACCTTGGAATACAAAAGCTTCGTCGCGATTGGCAGTTGGGGCGATTTCTTATGAATTGGGGTTTGCGGGCCAGCCACCCCCTGGTCAAACCTTGAATTTCCTCTCACCTTTTTGCAATTGATATGCTCTACATGCACAACGCAGTCAATTGGCACGGGCCAAAGCCGCAGGCCTTATTTATCTAGAAAAAAGAAGAATTAGGGGCTTCCATCCAGGGTAGGGACAAACCAACTGGCCGCTAAAAAGTTCGTTGTACAACCACTTACTACAGACAAGTGCGGTGACTGCATGTGCACAGTACCTCAGACCCCCCTGTCATCTACCTGTGTTTAAGTTTAGGCACGTAAATCTGGCCTTGTTCACCGTCCCACATAAAAGCACGTCGATTCGCCCCCCTTCGAAGCTTTGCGACATCCAAAACACACGACAATTGGGAACTTGGGCTTCATAAATGCAAGGGTAAGCGAGTCGAGCCTTGCAGTCATGAAGATCGAGTATCTGGTTGTCGGGGTTCTATCCCTGCTGACTCCGCTGGCAGCAGCATGGAGCAAAGAAGGTACGGAGCATATTAGCAGGAGATCCCGCGAACGCTGGCCTTTGCAGAACTGACGAATCGGCTTTGTCCAGATCGTGAAATCTTCCGCATCCGCGACGAGATCGCCGCGCACGAAACCGATCCCGCGGCCAACTTCTACGATGTCCTCGGCGTGACCAATTCTGCCTCGCTCGACGACATCAACAAGGCCTACCGCAAGAAGTCACGGCTGCTTCACCCCGACAAGGTCAAGCAGCAGCTCGTCGCCGAAAGGGCCAAGACAGACAAGAAGAAGGGTTCCTCCAAGAAGCCTTCGCAGTCAGAAGTCCGCAAGGCCGTCAAGGAGGCGTCGGAGCGCCAGGCACGTCTCTCGCTCATCGCCAACATCCTCCGTGGCCCTGCCCGCGATCGCTATGACCATTTCCTCGCCAATGGCTTCCCGCTGTGGAAGGGAACCGATTACTACTACAACCGATACAGGCCCGGGTTGGGAACGGTCTTGGTGGGCGTCTTCATGATGGGCGGAGGCGCCATCCACTACCTTGCGCTGTACATGAGCTGGAAGCGACAAAGGGAGTTTGTGGAACGCTACGTCACCTTTGCGCGAAACGCCGCCTGGGGCAACGATGCCGGACTTCCTGGAGTCGATGCTTTGCCTACGCCGCCTCCTGCCCCTGCCCCTGCTCCCGAAGAGGATGAAGCTGCTGCCCCGCCCCAGCCTAGGAACAGGCGCGAGAGACGCATGCAGGAGAAGGAGAACCGAAAGGATGATGGAAAGTCCTCGTCCAGGAAGGCTCGCAAGGCTGTGACCTCAAAGAGCTCGTCGCAAGGAGCATCTGCCTCGCCTACTCCTACTGGTGTTCGTAAGAGAGTCGTTGCTGAAAACGGAAAGATTCTCGTGGTTGATTCTCAGGGAGACGTCTTTCTGGAGGAGGAGGATGAGGAAGGCAATGTCAATGAGTATCTTTTGGACGTAAGTATTCAAAAATACCCCCTTAAATCAGAGACAGAGGAACCCAATTGCTAACGCACATATCCACATAGCCGAACGAGCTTCTTCAGCCTACGTTCAAGGACACCGCTGTGGTTCGTGTGCCTGTCTGGATCTTCCAGTCAACCGCTGGACGTTTCTTGTCTAAGGGCAGTGTGGACGCTGAGACTGACGAGACCGCCGAGGAGGACTCTGACGTTCCCCAGCACACGCCCCCAAGCTCGGAATCAGCTGGTGAGGACTTTGAGATTCTCAGCAAGAGTACGGATTCTCTGAGCAAGGTAAAGACCTCTGGCGCTCAACAAGGAGGAAAGCCCGTTAAACGCAAGACCAACAAGAAGAAATAAATGCGGAGGAAGAGAATTGCAGTGTTGGGCAATGGGTGTTGATAATGGAGTTTTGATGAATGTGAAAATGAGACGATGAGCATTTTGTATTCCTTACGCACTTATCACTCTGTCATGTGAGAAAGGGGCCGGTGGATATGACCTGGTACATGATTCCATGATTCTATGGACTAAATATTTAGGCGAGGACAGGGGAAAAAATAGAGTGAGAATTCAATGACTACGGTGTATTATCGGAACAAGATATGTCGGTTTATGTGAAAATTCGGACCCTTGTGCCATCTATTCAATCATCTTTTTCTTTCATTTCTTGGTCGAGAGATCAATCTATTACATCATCTCGCAAGGAAAACAAGTTCTGCATTACTTCCTCGGCCTTTGCGCGCACAGCGTTGTGGTACATGACGTTTGTCTCAAACGTCTTCACGTTCTTGACCAGTTTCGCCGTGTTCTTGGCAAACTCGTAGTCCACATACATGTCGGGGATGTAAGAGGCCGCATAGACGGGAACTTCATTCTCGCGCAGCTGCTGGATATCGTAGAGTGCCGGCCAGTCAGAGGCAGTGGCAAGTCGCTCAGCAGCAGCCTTCAAGGGAATGAGCTCCGGATAGGTGTCGAAATGGAAAGGGAAGATCATCTCTCCCGAGAAGAGGAGCGGCTGGCCGGGGGCAGTGGACGAGGTGGCGGAAGTGTTGTCTCTGCTGAGCCAGGAGAACTGCGGGAGAGATTGGCCAACGCGGTGGGCAGACCAGTTGGAAACGCTGCCGGGCCCATCGCAGTAGATGGCCTCGTGAAGGATGGCGTAGATGATGTTTGTGTCGAAAGCAGTAAAGGTCTCAAGGGGAGCGAGAGAAGCTCGCGTGAGGAAGCCAAACTGGTCAAGCGAGGCTTTGAGCTGGAGAAGAATGGTGTGGACCTGGTCGACGCCGCCGTGGCCGCCAAAGGCAATGCCAATGGTCAACAGACGGGGCACCGTCAAAAAGCCTCCTCCGGGCAAGGGGAGGCCCTGTTGGCCGCCCTCCTTCTCGATATGTGTGGCGATCTGGCGCAGGGTCTCTGCGTCATCCGGGAACTTTTGGTAGTAGGCGGCATTGCGCTCGATGGTTCTCTGGAAAGTTGCCTCATAGACCTGCTCGGCGGTTTTGCCAACGGGGGCAAGGCCGCCGGTCAGGAAGACCTCGCGCAGGCCTTCAGGGTGGAGAGACAGGTAGGAGATGGCGATGAAGCCACCGTATGACTGGCCAAAGATTGACCACTGGGCCTTGTGATCGGGCAAGCCATCGGTTAAGAGCTTTCGAACAGCTTCGCAGTCGCGGACGGTGTTGTCCTGACGCATGAGCTTCAGGTAGTTTGTCTGGACCTCGACAGCGTTGGGTCCATTTCCTCCAGGCAGCCGGGCAAGCATCGCGGTAGAAACAGGAGTGCTCAAACCGACACCTCGATGATCCAGAAACAGCACCTGGTAGCCTCGAGACAGTGCGGTGCGCGTCAGGGGGTGATCTTGAGGCTCCCGGTTACCAAAGCCTGGGCCGCCCTCGAGATAGACGATCCAGGGCTTGGGAGAGGGAAGCTCGTCGGGAGGAAAGATGGGGACCTCATGCTTGGTTGCGCTGCGGCCGAAGAGGGTGATTGATCCGGCAGATGGGTTGGCATAGTCTAGAGGAACCTGGAAGAAGTGCTCGGTGACGAGAAGCTGGCCAGGGACGATGTGGCTTTTGCTGCGAAGCAGCTTGGCCGCGGGGATGGCGAATCGCTGCAGCATGGTGGCGATGTTGACTTTGAGTTGAGAACAGTGAAGATGAAACTAGGCAACTTTGTGAGCTTGAGCAGATCGAGGGCACAGCTGAGTGCGAGGGGCTTTGGAAGCCATCAACCTCACCCCGCCAAAGCAATGTCCGATGATGTGCATGTACTGACCTACCTTATGTACGACCTCTAGTAGTATAATATGTCTCTGCTTCCCTCACTGCAAGACTATTATGGCTCGTTCTTCCACCCTACTGCGGAATTTTAAGGATAAGATCCGTTTGTATGTATTGACGGACTCTTATCTCCATTCGATGACCGTTGAGATTACGAGGGGGTGGAGAAATTGGGTGTAAGCTGCCGTGTTATGTCATTGGTAGACGGCATGTGGCCACTTTGGGCCGTTGTACCGACACAAACCATCAGCCCGAAAAGCTGGCAGTGAATCCGCTACTATTGATGCATTCTTATCTGTGGATAGGTATGCCGCATGTGTTTGTTACTGCGACTACAGTCTGGCTCATAAAGAACTTTATCGCAGTGAATCATTGTTCCTCTAGCTGTGATTGCTATGCGCGTGGTGCATATTCTGTGGTTGACAACTCGCTGTGCAATGATGTCATGGCCAAGATGATACTATCCCATGAAGATTCTTGTTCAAATTATATCTCGGATGTGTAGCAATAATTACGAAGCTGGTGGTGATCCGGTTTCTTCTTGAAGAAGCCCGCTTACCTACAAAGTAGGCTCAAATATGAACACACTTGGTATCTAGTTCTACAGGCAATGTCCTGTCTTCAAATATCAACCTGAGATGATGAAGTCGAGCTATGATGATATGATGTGTTTGCAGATCGCCCTATCTTGCCAGTCTCCTTCCTTCTCCATCCCATTCCCAACAACAGCCCAAGTGACCTCGTGGACTGTCTAGGTAGCTCCCGTCGAAAGGCAGTGCCTTCGCTCTACCTTCCGAACATAGTCTTCCGCCTCCTGAGGATTCAGTCCAAACGCAAGCTGTGCCATCTCATGTACCAGATCTTCATCAGCTGCAGGCAGACGACCGATGTTCATAAAGCAGGCATATATCCTCGAAGCCGGGCTGTCGACGGTAGTGGTGAACGACCCTCCTAGCTGCCGGCCTTTCCCTTCAAGTTCGCGCTCCGCATCCCGGAACTTTTGGACATAGATTTTTTTGCGCAGCATCCTGGCGGCACACGTTACTGTACGCTATGTGATTCGGATCACGCAGAATTTCCTCAGTCGGGCTCAGTAGTGGGAAAGGCATGGGGTAATGGATGACCTGCCAGGGTGCTGTCTGAGCGAATTCCCAGTCGATGATGGCAACGAAGTCGAAGTGCTCGTCCACCAGGATATTCTGTGTACCAAGGTCCATGTGATTAAAGGGGAAGAATTCCTCAGTGGCGCTCCTCCCAAACAGATCGGTGGTCTCCACGATATCGAGAAAGACAAAGGCTCCTAGACGAGTGGCTGTATTATTTGTTGCGGCAACTCCAAGAGCGGTGAAATAGTCAGACGCCCTTGAGAACGGCCCCAACTTCATAAGTTCTCCGGCAGCCAGCTTCCCGATAATAGGGTCTCCAGTTTCGGAAACAGAGCAGATGGTGCCAATCTGGGGATAGGCCACAGTCGCCAGCTCCGCTTGCACAGTTGTCCACTGGGCAATGATGTGTTCTTGTGTCAAGATCTAGGACCATTTAGAAGCCCAATCTACCCATTGAGTCATCGGAACAGTTTCTCACCGGCAAATCACAAATATCGAATTCGACGTCTTGCAGAGTGTTTCCATAGAATCCCTCTATCAGCATGTACGGAGCTCCAACAATAGCAGCCTGTCGCGATCCCATGCCTTCGCAGGCGTATACACGCGGAAGAGAAACAGCGTTGAGTCTCAGCCGGATAAACTCCATGGCCGCGACCGCACAGCCAATCGAGTATGCCACATCTTCCTCACTAACCGTCACTGGGATGTCAGGGTGACGGGGCAGGCGAACTCTGGCAATGACGATGCTCTTGTCTTCCGCAACCATTTCGAAGCAGATCCAATACTGGCCAGCAGAAAATGGTTCGCTCATAGTGAGCTCCTGGCCCTTGATGCGTTGGGCATGGTGTATGAGCGCACTCTTGTCAATTTTGATCAATGCCGTCTGCAGTCGCTCTTTCATGCCATTGTAATTCCAGACATCAAAAGAAGTCCATCGTTTGCTCGGTAGCTCTCCCGGAGACTTGCTTGCTGCCATAACACAAATCTTATGAGCTCGGGACTTTTATGGGGGGCGGTTGAACATGTGGGATTCAATCTCGAGGCGCTGAAATCAGATTCTGAGGCCCCTACTGGTGGAGGAGGATCATGACCAACAGCCTGAGGCACGTTGGCTGTGATGTATGGAATGACGAGACATTGGATCCAGTGTCTCGGGTTGTTCACTTCCCAAACGATTCATCCTCGCATCGGCGGTGATGTGTTAAAAAACCCATCATGTCTGGGGTGAGGCTGTTCATTTCTTTTCACGTCTGTGACTACCACCGGTTGTGACATCTGATGTCAAGAAGCTGGGCTCAAATCCAGCCCCGCTATATCGTATCGTACGTTGATGTTTGTTACCGGCGAACCGAAGCTCCCGACCTTTGCCTAGCCTTGCCAAAATCATAGTGCTTCCCGGGTTGGATCTTTGATAAAATTGGCTCTAAATAGCAATGTGGTGAGTCCATCTATCATAATTGAGTCGTATTGTCCAGAAAACAGGTATGAGTACTCCGTACATGTACATACATCATCGACAGGTATAATCCTTGCTGACGAATCATTCCCACGAGTTCGTCACGCGCTTTTGCGGCACCGCAACCCGCAATCGGCCAAAGCGCGCCCCGCTTCAGCCAGTTAAAACTCCGGCCTTGCCTCTGAGCCTCTTTTTCTTCTCCCTGTTTTTTCTCTTCCATTTCTGTTTTCTTTCTTCTTCTCGTGGCCAAGTCTCCAAAAAACCTGAGCCATCCGGAATGGCAGATTTTCATCTTACTCAGACCGTAGCGGACGCTTTCAACGCGCTTGCGGATGAGGTTCAGGTTTTGACAGACCGAAAGACAATACTCGAGCATAAGCTGCGTTTTGCGCACGAGCAGGTAAGCCTCAAAAAAGAGCTCTCTTTTTTCTTTTTCTTTTTTCTTCAACATCACTATATGTGCCCCTTGCATACACACAGCCTTTTGGGGACTGCCAACATGATGAGATATCATTAGCTCTAGATCAATAGCAGCCAATGCTGCCGGGATTGACAACCTTTTTATCACTGATCCGCATTGTCCCCCTTTCATTTTTCATTCTAGCCTAGCTAGAGATTCCTCGAGCTCATCTTGCATCTTGATACATTGTCCGTGACTAACACGTCGCCTGCTCTTATAGTTCCAGTATTTGGCCGATAAATATGCGCCCGCTACACCAGAGATAGCAGAGACTTTGGCAAAGCTCCAGCTCCCAGCGCACACCTCTGTCGATGATACTTTGCCCGTGCCCCTTCCTAAGCAAAGCTCTCTGCAGTCCCAGCACCAGATTGCTCTCATCATTCGTGACGGACGCCGCGCTGCAAACAAACTGGTCGCCTCATTGGGTGAAGCCAGTAAAACCACAGCATCATCCAGAGACACGCTATCTCAAACCTCCCACGTAGAAACCTCCATGTCGACTGCTCTGGAACAAGATTTCACCGTTGAGGGGAAGAAAGGCAACCTGCAGTGTCCCTTTGCTAAGGATGCCGCTGCTGGTGCCGACCAAGACCGGGAGCCTGAAACCGGCCCGGACTTGGCCCCAGACCACACTGAAGACCCTATTTGTGTTGCCATGTACGAAGAAGAGACGTCTCAGCAAGGCGCCGTAAACGGAACTCAGGCGAGCAAATGCCCTATCCGATTCTTAGACAAACACTCCCCAGAGGAGATTGCTCATTATGTTGAAACGCACAAGCACGAGCTGCCTCGCAGCCACGAGGTCTGCGTGCGGAGATATCAGCGCAACGAGGATCAGATTAGGAAATTGGATGCAAAGTATGGAAACATTGTGAGCATGATTGAAGACCTGAGCCATCTCCACAAGCCGATGCTACCTGACGAGGAGCACGCACGCCGCCCAAGCGATGCCACGAGAACTTCAGCAGACCGAGTAGAGAGCTGGGCGCACGCCGTCAGCTCAAGCACGGACCCAGAAGCCCCTGCTGAGCCGCCAGCCGACATAGATGAAGACCGACAAAGTCATTTCGATCGGCCGCTGAAGGAGGTTCGAGTAGGAGAATCACCAAGCCGCCCCTGGGGCATTTCCGTGCCCGTCTATCAACAATCTGGCAATGGAGGAGGCCATCCCATGTCGCCGCCCCCCGCGCCCGTGCGAATGCCGAGTCCTGTACAGAGCACCCAAACTCCTGCGAAGCCAGCTGGGAAATGCCCTTTCGGCCATGGAGCTAAGCCACCTGCTTTTACCGGTCTGAACATATCAACTTCACCCAATCCCCAGACTCAGAATGCTCCAGCCCCGAACACCGCCCAGGACCCGGCACCTTACACCCCAACAAAGGCGCCTCATGAGCATAATCCTGTTCAAGAGTACCGTACTTCTATTCCGCAGCCTACCTTTATCAATCCTGATATATCGAAGGCGCCAAACGCTCCTCAAATGGTTTTCACCGGTCCTGTCTTTATTGGGTATCCAATGGAACAAGCCATTCAGTTTATGAATCAGTATCAACAACGTTGATAATTGACTTTCATATTGTTCTCATTTTCGACATTATACTCTGTTACACTTTTTATTCAGCAGCCTTATTCGCAGAGGACCAACCTCAGCATTGCTTGTTTACGATTTTAGTCTATTCGGTCGGTTCTCTATAGCGGCGGCGTTTTGGTTTTTATTCTTCTTGTTCTTTTCTTACTGGGGCAAAGATGGTATTGCCCAGGGGCTTTTCAGGGATTTTGTCTAAATGCTGGGTGAATATTGAGCTTGGGTCTCTTTGATAACATGATTGTGAGCAAGCGACTATTTGATGATTTTACGACACATGGGGTTTGGGTTCGAGCAAGTTATAGTATAACATAGAATGGAACAAGAGCTATCGTATGCTCCGATTTGAATATTGATATTGATTCTTTTATTGATCATCCGATAACCTGCACGCCTTGTGAAACACATCAACGCCAGTGCTCTTATTCTATCACGTAAAAATTCGTTATAAACAAAATCATGACATCTTTTTTTTCATAACCCCTTGTCCGTGTGTAGTCTAGTCTTTATTAAGCTTTGTCAATTTCGTGGTAACGTCTTCTTCATCATCATCATAGGCATCGCCCCAACCATCATCCCCCTGGTTGTCCCACAGCGAAACGTCATCATCACCCATGACATCAGCCGCGTCCTCGGGATCCATGAGGGTATCGTCCGTGTCCTCATAGCCACCGATGCCCTCCTCCGCGGCATTGATGGTGGCCTCCTCGCGGGCGAGCTCCTCGGCACGGGCCATGGTGCGGCGGTAGATGATGAAGCCGGCGGCAGCACCGATTGCGCCGCCGATGATCATGCCGGTGTAGTTGACGATCTTGTCGCGGAGGGGCATAGCGTCGCCCTGTTCAGCGATGATGGCGAGACGGCTGCCAATGAAGATGTGAATGAGGAGTTTCGGCCTAGAAAGACAATGTCAGTTAACTGGTGTTGTGACAAAGATATGAAAAGATTTGAGTCTTACGTTGACAATGCTGTTGAGATGACAAATGATAGAGGTGATATGCTCGGGATCGTTGCAAGGAAGCCGTTGCTCAAGCTAAAAGGCAGCGGGCAGAAACGAATGCCCGTCAAGTAGAGGATCCCGTCCCTACGCAGAACCTGGCCGAGCGCAACAAAGCGGTGGTCGTTTCCAATCAGCTTGTTGACATGGCCGCTCAACACGGTTCGGCAGGCCATAAAGGCAGCCAGACTGCCGATAATGCATGCCGACGCAGCAATGGGCCAGCCGTTGGGGAATCCGTAAACGAAGCCGGCGATGGTATTGGCGGTCGAGTATCCTATAATGGGCGGAACCGAGGTGACGAAGATGAGCATAAAGGCAATCAGCCAGCCACCGGGAATCTCGCGCCACGACTTTGACACCGTCGCCAGCCAAGCAAAGAAGGCCTCCGAGTACAAGATGGACAAGATGATAAACGTCCACCCCAGCAAAATGACGAAAATAACGAGCGACCGCTGCAGCAACGACATCTTCCAGAACGCCGCGTACATCTTCTCGCTCCATCTGAGATACGTCGTCCATTGGTCGCGCACCCAGCCCTGCGCCCCGGACGATATCCGCTGCGACCGCGAAATGCTTCCCGAGAGGCGATGGCTCGCATCCCTGCGAGACCAGCGCTGCGGGTGCGGGAATCGGGTTTCCGACGAGGACAATGGAGGAGTCTCCGACGAGGGAGAGGAGGGTGTTGGAGAGACGCTTTCGGCCCTCGGGGGCTGATATTGATCCGCCATTCTTGTGCTTATAGCTTGGGGTTCTGCCTATTCGGCCTTGTTGTTTCGTGGTCGTCTGAGGGGTAAAGCAGCTCGGTGCAAGGATAGGATCTGTATATCCACGACGTCTTCGTACAACCGAATCGAATAAAGCAGATATCGTCAAAAAGATGCAAAAGAAAGGATGAAGTCGAATATGCGAATATCGAAGGCCCCCAAAATATTATCCTCTATCCACCTAGCTCTCCATTCCGGATCCAACAGAAAGACAAAAATATCGTGTAAAAAAAGTCAATGTTGGTTTTGAGTTGGCTGGCGGATCGCTCGGTCGATATTATCGAGATCGGAAGTGCTCCGACTCGTATTTCTCCCTGTGGCGAGCCAAGTCCGTCGGCGCACAACCAAAGCTTAAGAAGAAGCGAAACAGAAAAGAAAAAAAAAAGGCGATTGATATAATTGCGATGGACCTTTTGCGAGGAAAGAGAACGATGAATCAAAGAGGATCAAAGGGTTTGGCATAAGCTTTGAATTCCTCGTCATCTATCGGTGGCGGTGTCGGTCGATAACAAGGTACCTCGCATGTACTTCTGCGGCCCATCTTTCAAGACCCTGAGTGCTGGTACCTGTGCGTGCACCCGTATCCTGTACCTGAGGCGCTGTATTCCCCCCAATTGGATGTCGATGGGGCGTAGCTCAAGGAACTGTACTTACGTCAGCCCCACTGTCACCTTAAAGGCTTTAAAGGAACGGCCCTTGTTGTATAGTCCACCAATGGGAGCTGCTTCTGTAGAAACGTTGCGATCCGTGAGACTACCTAGTAGGAATTGCTTGATACATTGGCTGTGTCAGCCAAAATCATGCAACCGCCAGTAAGTATGTAGACAGTCAATATGTATGTGATGATGCTGTTAAGCGTGTATCATCACGCTCAGTATTGGCTGGGGAACAATGACCGCTAGCAGTGAATAAATAACACATCATTCACAAAAATCAACGTGCCGGGACAAGAGTATATAGTTCAGTTCTTCATGAGATACGCTCTACCTAACTCTCTTCCTCCAACTAGGTAGTCCTTCACACTGCCTCCTCCTTTTTTTGCATCGGTTTTTAAGTCTTTTACTTCTTTAGTTCTCGCGTTGTCATCGGCGGCTGCTTGGACCCTTGGGAGGGTCCCTGACAAGCAGTCTGACTTTGCCATCGCCAATCTCGACCCCTTGACTGAGAATGTCGACTGCGGCTTTGTCTTCGTCGGCCCCATCTCTCGCTAGTGACTTGTCCCAACTGCTGGCATCCACTCCCAAGATGCCGCCCATGCTGTTGCGATCTCCCGGCACAGAGAACTCGCGGTACGCATATCGCCACTCATTCAAGAATGCGCGGATTGCTTTTCCCACCTTATCCTTGCCGTTCTTGCTGTGGTGGCCAGTTCCGGTGATGGCGTAGACAGGCCTACCTCCCTTTTCGTTCTCTAGGAGGACCTTTTCCAAGTATTCAACGGCTTCCTCTGGATGAAGGCCGTGGAGGTCGACATATACCTCTGACATGCCGTCCAAATTCTTGTTTCGCTCCTCGTAGAGTTCGCGGGCTGCCTCCCTATGGGCCTTTCTCATCAAGTCATTCTCGCTCTGGCCACGGAGACTAAGAGCCTTGGCGGCTCGGGCATCGTTGCGGTTCCATGCTTGAGCAGCGCTGGGATTGTTGTTGTTAGAGCTTCAATCCGGTTTGTTTTCAGAGCTATATAGACATACCTTTGCAAAAACTTATTCCTGAGGCCGCCATGCTTTATAGCATCCTGGCGGGCCTTGAGATATGCTTTGTTGGCGTGCTCTCCGGTTTCCAGCCAAGGAATGTGCTTGGGGCTAGGAATTGCGAGCGCTGCAGCGCTGTTTTCGCCATCTCTGCCGACAGTGCCGTTGCCGTTGCTAACGGGCTTGCGCACCTCCAGCCTTGGGGATGCGGGTGGGTTCATCTTGACAATATCCGCCAAAGAGCTGGGGGTGCCGTTCTCCTTGTGGCCGTGCCCTCCTCGCTTACCGTGATGCTTCTTCCCTTGCTTTGCAATGGCCGATCCAAGAGACGGGAAGGCCTCGTTGTCGTCAAGGGCTGGGGCGACAGCATGGTTTTCTTTCACCTGATGTCGGCTTCCAGGCCTCGATCTAGGTCGCGGGCTCTCGGCTCGCAAGGATCGCAATCCTGGAGATGAGCCGATTCCAAAGGCAAAGTTGGGACTACCAACAAAAGCTCCATGCTGATCGGAGTCACCAGACTGCAGGGAGGGAAACGAGTTCATATCCTGAAGCATCAAGCTGCTATGGCTCCTAGTAGGAGTATTCGTGCCGCTCTCCAGCGACATCTTGCTCACAAGCTTGGTTGGGTCGTGCGAGAAGATGCACGTTTCGCCGGCCAGGCAATTGCCCATGACCCAGTACCTAGGTTGATAAAGTTAGCAGGTTTGGACTTGGAAGTACCCTGTATGATTTTGTGCGCTTTCTGCACTTACTTGCACAAGTGGTTGCTGAGATCATGACTGAACCGGCAATCTGCGCGCAGACACTGGCCAGTCGACATGTAAAATTTGCAAATGACGCCAGCCTTTTGGTTCACCGGGGTGGACGGGCGACCCTCTGCAGATATTGACTTGCCAATGAGAACATTCTTGGGCTCATCAAGTCGTACGCCGCCGTCTTGCGGAACCTCCATCATGGACGTGATGGTTGCACTCAAATCGTAGTTGTGCGCCGCAAGGGCTGATTCGATTTCGTCATCAGTTCTCGTATGCCCCAGGATCGACCTGAGCATATCGTAAGGCGACATGTCAATTTGCTGCGAGGACATGGACGAAAACTCAGGGGCGGCGGCATTGAGGCTCCTGGTAGTGCCCACAGACGAGGAGAGACTGATGGTGTCATCGTTGACCAGCCAGTCGACATTCTCGATCTGATATTCTCCGAGAATCTCGGTAGCGGGGGTGGGGTCACTGGCAAACTCATATGCATTGAGATTTGGGCTATGGGGGATCACGGGGGTCGCAAGGGCCAGGCGAGGAGAGGCCCGTGGCGATCCAAAAGGAGAAGCTGTGACTGATTTGGTCCTGCCAAAAGTAGCGGGGATGTATCCAGGCGGCGCAAGAGGACTAACGGCCAGCCGTGGCGAGCCTGACAACGGAGTGCCACCCCTCCACGAAGCTGGAGATGGTCGTCGCAAGATGGTCTGACGGATGGGAGGCGGTGACGTTGAGGTCCCTCCGCATTCACGCCATCGCCACATGACATCGAGGATGGCGTTATCCAGAGACATGCCAATCAGGTTGGTTTCTTTTTTGAACAGCTCCTCTATTCTATCCGTCTTATCTTCATCTTCGAGCCTTGGGTCCTGCAGGATGGGCAGGCACATCTCGTAGTGCTCGTCTAATACCATGGTTGCGGTTGGTTGGACCTGGCGAGACAGACCAGCTCGAATACTAGAGTATGTATATATATATGTTGCAGGTCGGCGAGGTGTTCTACTCGGTAGAGGATCGTTGTCAAGGCAAGGCTAAAAGATCAACGCTTGCGATCGAAGTGGTCGTAATATATATGGCCGAATGGTGGGGACCAGTGCCGAAGAGTAGAGAGGGAAGCAGGAGCTTCGGAAGTGGTTATAAATAGAAGAAGACAATGAAGCTGAGAATCAAAGCGCGGACCGATTGTAAAGAAAGAACAAAGCACAAGCTCCTAAGAAGAGGTGTTGTCAGTGTTTGCTGAGCAATAGGCAAAGTATGCTTTCATAAAGGTCCGATTATCAAAGCTACCTAGGGGTAGGTAGCCATGTATCAGAGTCACAAGCACTCACAGCTGCGAAACTATTACGAGACAAGGATGACGATGAACAGTGAATCAGAACTGGATTTATTATAGACGGGAGAAGCCGAGAATCGAAGAAAGAATCGAAGAAACAGAGAGGCCAACAAGCGGACACAAAGGCGCGTGGACGGTGAAGAAAGGGCGGAGAAGGGCAGCAACGAAGCTTACATTGCGTCGCAAACTCCGGCCCAGCAAAGACACTTTCGTAGAGAAATCGTGCGCCGCACGAGCTGTGCCGATGGCGAGCTGCTATATCGTCGCTCCCTCCAAAAGGCCCTGCTCCGGTCAAGGCAGAGGATGGCAGAGGATGGACAGACGGCGAGAGAGATGAAGGAAGGGTTGACGCTGACCAGATGGACGAGACTCGCGACAGGTCTATGGTGGAGGCGAAGTTGGTGGCCCGCCCCTTGTAAGGTGGCCCAGTAATAAAGCCACTAGCTGCCCGGGCGGTCCTTCGGGGGGTTTTTGGGTACCTAAAGGCTAAAGCTGGACAAGGTACAGGTGCTTTGGAGGGGGACTGCCGGACACTTCTGGGGTATTTCTTTGTGCTTCTGCCACTTGTTCTTGCGGCCGGGAACTTGTTGGGACAAATCAAGTTGGAGCAACATATCAAGATCGATTGAAACAAAGCTGTGAAGAGCCGCAATGGCGTGCTTATGGCTACCTTGTTGCTGTTGCTACTGCTGCGGTCAACGGATGGTACCTTGAGCGCTAACTTCCTTCACGTACTACACATTCACTGTCTTATTAGCTCCAATGTGCAGTTGGATGGAGGCGTCTCTGGTCTGTTCTCCATGCTCTGTTCTGTGCTATGTTGGCCTTCTCTCCTCTAACTAGGTACTATAAGCCAGCTCCTCCCCCCTTTCTACCAGCAGCGTACTGTAGTCTAGGTAGGTCAAAAATCCATTCAGCAGCACAAAGCACAGGTCCAACAGCTACATCCATGGCCGCGGACGCTAGAGGCTCTTTCGCGGGTGCTCTAGCATGAACAGTCACAGCTAACTTGCGGTGCTAACAACAGTAGTGCCGAGTCAGTGAGGTGCCAGTCCTGGGTTCCGCCAGCGGTGATTGGAGGGAGGCAGATTACATGGATGGACTTGAACGTTGCTTCTGCGGGTGGCTTCTCTTGCTGCAACTCACTCGGAAGCTGTGCTGTGTGGTGACGTGGTCGGCTGTTGCTTTGATGTGGGCATTTCGACGATTTGATTTGCAACCAGACGTGATCCCCCTTAATCCCACCCGCTACTACCACTTGTGCTGCAGGTGGTGCAACTGTTTGATACCCTCTAAAGGTCATCCCCTGGACCCTCTGCCTGAAACTCTCCATCCCATCGAATCTTACGCCTTGACATCTGGGTAAATCGGGTGATTAGCGTCTGCTTCCTTGGAGCCCAAGCGCCAGTTGATTCACCCCAGTCCAGCCAGCACCGGTCCAGCTAATATCAACCCCAACTCGGATATCTAGCCCAGCACCCTCATTCGCATCTCCGTAGTGCTGCCACTTCTAAATCCGCCCGCATGGCAAACGGTCATTCCGAATCTTATCCCCAATTGTGCCTCGCATCAGCTGTCAAGAATCGGGGCAAGGATGCCAGCATTGATTCCATCTTTAGCTCGTGTTCACTATCACCCAATTGGCAATTGCCCGCAATGGCTTGGGCAATTAGTATTCACTGCCAGCGCCACAGGTCTCATGGAAATTAACCTAGGTATATCCCTATTCCGCGGTCAATACTCTGTAGTCAACATGTGTCAGGGATGCCTCGTTGCTTACAAAATAATCACATCACAAACAATAGAGGAGCCATGCAGAATCAACCCTGTAGAGCCCCGCAAAGTTCAAGTTGTCGTGCATACCTACATGCCCAGTGCGTTGTACTCCGTATACCCACACCCACAACGATTCCTCTATCTACATGCCGATACTTGCAATCTACAGATCGCATGTTATATGCGTATACTTGCATGCCAGCTCCCAAGATATTCATTAATCGTAGATATAGTGCCCATCTATACATAGACTGCCATTACGGGATCTCATCATCATCATCGCCTCCAAACCCAAAGCTAAATCCTTCTGCTTGCTCTTCATCTCGTCCCACTGCCGTATCCCACTTTCTCTTTTTGCCATTCTTCTTATCAGCCAGTTCTAGTGCCTTCTCCAGAACGTCTGGGTAGTCTTGCTTGAGTCTGGCTGTGAAAAGGCCAAAGGGATCTTCCACGTCTCGCGAGAAGCCAGAGACTTGTTCCGGCTTGTCCCTTAGGAACGACAAGACTTCGGAAACAAGGTTCAGGCTGGGAGACTGAGGAACAAAATTCTGAGTCAGGGCAATGCCCTTTTCAATGTTCACCACGAGATGCCACCATCCACTCGGAACATGAAGTATCTCTCCAGCATTACAGATGCCCTCAACACACTCAGGCATGTGTCTCGCCTCGTCGTGGAACGTGAGCAACCACTCAGCAATGCTTAGGGGGCTTGTTACTTCGCTGCTGTCTGAAGATACGTAAACTCCGGGTACCTGGGCCGTTGGCGGAAACATGATCCAGTATTTAGCCCCCTGAATCACGGCATTCCACGCACTCGTCCCGTTGGGGTCCTTGTGGAAAGTAGACCCGCTTCGTTCGGGCCCGATAATCAACCACCGGTGAGCCGGCCGCTCGTCTCCCAGAACCTCGAAGAGATCTGGTCCGAAGCAGTCGGGCCGCCAATACGAGGCACCCTCTGAGTGTCCGACCTTGAGCTCCATCTTCTCAGCGAATTTTCGATCGAACAAGTAGAGAGGGCTTTCGTCTCTGTTCCGATTCATATAATCACAATACTGTGAAAATGTCCAGTCCACCGCTTCGGCACGAAACTCAACGTCGGCGAACTTGTCGAGTAGGGAATCAATGGTCCACTGGGAGTAAACTGGCCATTCTTGTATGCATTTCGTCAAGACAAAAGGTTGCTCAGTCCATCTTTCAGCATACTCTTCATATGTGAGATTCTCAAACCGGCGAATCTGATTAGCTTTTGGTATCCCTGTGACATATTTTGCCAGCTCAATATTGCTGCAGGCAAAAGGTCGATGTAGTACATCGGAAAAGACGTTGCTGCAGTCAACTTTTGCTTGCCGATCACTGTCAAGGCCCAAGACGGTCGATCTCCATGATCCCCGCCAATTAATAGATGAGCTGCTCGTCGATTGAGATCTAGAATTTATTCCACGTTAGCTCATGTCATAAATGACCTAACCCTATGGACCACGGATCGCCATTGGAGTTATATGTGGACTGCTGAATATCAGGCACATATAAACAGAGTTACTACGTTGCCATAGAGATAGAGATGAGTTGCTTGGGACGACAGCACTTGTTTCACGAGCACACATATGGGGTAGGTTTATACAAGTAAATCATGGCTAAAACTTACCGAAGATAAAGGGCTTTCCATAGTTCTTCAGAATGGCAGAAGGCATATAAAAACTTGCATGTAGACCCAAGACTCAAAAGTGAACTTTTGTCAGATCCCTCGAGAACAAGGGCAAGGATCTCATCGGGTAGAACTGCCCATGTGCCAATACTTCTTCGGGCATTCGGCCCCGTGGCGAGATACTGGTTTCCCAGGGGTTTGACTCCGAGATGGTGAGTTGGAATTGAATCAGAATGGCTGTCGCCAATTGAGTCGCTGGCTTCGTGTGAAATTGCTGAAGGCATGATGCTATTCGCGACAAAAAAAAATTTGACCGATTTTTGGGCACTGAAAACCCTGTTGTCCAGAATTCGAGCTGAAGAAAGCCAAATAAAGTGTATATTTTAATTTGGTCAAGTAATAAGATGATATTTGCTATTTCCAGCAAAGGAGATCAAGATTTTTTGGCCTGCAAGTACAGCTGGTCGTGCGGTGTTGACAAAAGTTGTTAGTGGGCAGATTCTTTCTTCTCTGCCCAATGGCTGCTGTCGTGCCGAGTAAAATGGGGCCATCACAGCCAGAATACAGGCACAGATAGGAAAGAATCCCGTTTTGGTCACCTCAATTCTGCGATTTGTGATTTAAAAAGGATTTTATTAGAACTTAAGTGGTATATAATTTTACCAATGGTTTATCTAGGCCGCTGCTCAATGATTTAGAACATTTATCGGCATGAACACAGCTGACTTTGTACCCCGTCGTCTTATAAACTGCTTCGCGCGGCATCACGAGCATTGGTACGTACCGCCTAGCACCAGCGTTCAGCCCGTCTGCTTCCCATATCCTTACTAATCCCGATCCCACTACAAATACACAGTCTCTGATTGGTCCAGATAGCCGAGGACCGACACATGCTTTTCCGAAGTCTCCATCGACGAAAACGTGACATACGCTGCCAAACCTCCAAGCATTGCCGAGCTGTCTGTGTAAAGCCATTGCTGCTTCAAATTTTTGCGCGGACGCAACCTGGTGACCCCGGATTTCTTGCTTCGCTCACAATGGCATCTTCTATGGCTTTGAGGAAGTTGGCCTCTGGCTCTTCGGTACGTAACCAGAAAAAAACTTGCGAATCTGCTGCCCCTCCGTTGCTCTGCGCGCAAAACGGATCGCCGGGCGAGCATAGCTTGGAGGAACCAGGAGCTCGATTGGCCTCTTTTCTTTCTTGCAGCTAGTTGATACTGACATTGACTATAGTTTTCGCGATTTGCCAGGAGCCAGCTTAGGAACTTCTCATCTACCCGACCGGCAGGTAGGTCCATTCCGTTCCGAGAGCTACAATTTGCGATTTGGCGACTTCCGATCGAATATCACGAGAAGAAAAGACAGGCATGCGATCAGGTGCTGATATATGTTCTTAAAAATAGCCCGCATTATCACAAATGGACCTTTGAGAGCAAAGGAAGCTTCCCCCTTTGTTAGCACCAAATACCCCGTCATTGTACGTCGGCCCCCTCCCCCACCCCCGGATTGACATCTCCCTGGGTCAGCGAGACAAGATGCAAGAGGACGTTTTCAATTGACCATGTGTCGCGACTATTAGGATCATGAATACGACGCACTTGTTGTCGGTGCCGGCGGTGCAGGTTTGAGAGCAACAATGGGTCTTGCCGAAGCTGGCTTCAAGACCGCCTGTATTTCTAAGCTCTTCCCCACACGAAGTCACACGGTAGCTGCTCAGGGCGGTATCAACGCTGCCCTGGGAAACATGCACGAAGATGACTGGAGATGGCACATGTACGACACCGTCAAGGGCTCCGACTGGCTGGGTGACCAGGATGCCATCCACTACATGACCCGTGAGGCCCCTGCTTCCATTATCGAGCTAGAGCACTACGGCTGCCCTTTCTCCCGAACTGAGGATGGCAAGATGTGAGTTTCTTCAATCATGCCATGATACGAAACACCTTCTTCGGTGCCCCTCCCCCGCATAGTACTAATCCGGATGTTTTTCAATTTAGCTACCAGCGAGCTTTTGGCGGTCAATCCCAGAAGTTTGGCAAGGGTGGTCAGGCCTACCGATGCTGTGCCGCCGCTGACCGAACTGGTCACGCTCTTCTGCACACTCTCTACGGCCAGTCTCTCCGATACAACGCCAACTACTTCATCGAGTACTTCGCCATCGACCTGATTATGCAAGATGGTGAATGCCGTGGTGTCCTCGCCTACAACCAGGAAGACGGCACTCTGCACCGATTCCTAGCCAACAACACCGTCTTGGCAACCGGTGGTTACGGACGTGCTTACTTTAGCTGCACATCTGCCCACACCTGTACCGGTGACGGTATGGCCATGGTGGCCCGAGCTGGTCTGCCCAACCAGGATCTTGAGTTCGTTCAGTTCCACCCCACTGGCATCTATGGCGCTGGCTGCCTGATCACTGAGGGTGCTCGTGGTGAGGGCGGTTATCTCTTGAACAGCGAGGGTGAGCGCTTCATGGAGCGATATGCCCCCACCGCCAAGGATCTCGCCTCTCGAGACGTTGTCTCTCGATCAATGACCATGGAGATCCGCGAGGGTCGTGGTGTTGGTGCTGAGAAGGATCACATCTTCCTGCAGCTCAGCCACCTGCCTGCGGAAATTCTCGCTGAGCGACTTCCTGGTATTTCGGAGACTGCCGGCATCTTCGCTGGTGTCGATGTCACCAAGCAGCCCATTCCCGTCCTGCCTACTGTCCACTACAACATGGGTGGTATCCCTACCCGATACACTGGTGAGGTTCTCACTATTGATGAGAACGGCCAGGACAAGATCGTCCCTGGCCTGTTCGCTTGCGGTGAGGCTGCTTCAGTGTCTGTCCACGGTGCTAACCGACTGGGCGCCAACTCTCTTTTGGATCTGGTCGTCTTTGGTCGTGCCGTTGCCCACACCATCCGTGACAACTTCACCCCTGGCGACAAGCTGAAGCCTCTCGCTGCCGATGCTGGTTCTGACCACATTGAGGTCCTTGACAAGATCCGAACATCTGACGGCCCCAAGAGCACTGCTGAGATCCGTCTGGCCATGCAGAAGACCATGCAGACCGAGGTCAGCGTTTTCCGAACTCAGGAGAGCTTGGACGAGGGTGTCCGCAGGATGAACGAGGTTGATTCAACCTTTGCGGATGTTGGCATCAAGGACCGCAGCATGATCTGGAACTCAGATCTCGTCGAGACCCTTGAGCTGAGAAACTTGTTGACTTGCGCGTAAGTGTTATCTACGACATCCAAATCACATGTGACGAGAACTATGACTAACTTTTGCATGTCACAGTGTTCAAACCGCCACCGCCGCTGCTGCCCGAAAGGAGTCTCGTGGCGCTCACGCCCGTGAGGACTTCCCCGACCGTGACGACGAGAACTGGATGAAACACACTCTCAGCTTCCAGAAGCAGCCTCACGGCAAGGTGGACCTGACATACCGCAAGGTCATTTCCACCACTCTGGACGAGAACGAGTGCAAGCCTGTACCTCCCTTCAAGCGTGTCTATTAAGCAGCTAACTACCCAGCCGTTTTAATAATGGACGTACAACAAGTGTTTGAGTTTATGAGCAAGAAGTAAAAGGGTCATGTTGGCGAAAAAAAAGAGTTGTCTAATATAGTATCCTCCGCATACGCACGAAGTAAAGTTTCGTTCGTAAGGGTAAATGGAGGTCGAGTTAGTACGGATATTGATTGCCACCGAGGCTCAATATTTCGGTTAACACTAGCTATATTGTATTATATCAAAGTTTGAGATTTAGCAAACAGAAAAAAATTATTAACATTCCCCAATGAGTCACAAAACATGCCTTCTGTGAGATGAGCCAAATCCTATGTGACTCGATGCCAGCAACACCACATGTAATGCAAGGTATCATGTAGGCAGAACCCGCCACAGGGTGTACTCGTACTGCGCTAGGGACTAAGTCCCTCCCAGCCCGGCGACCTTACTGTATGCTAGTGCACTGTACTCCATATTGACAGAATGGAAAAAAAAATCTTGAATACTAACTTCGCCTGTACAGTGCTCTAGGTACCCTAACCGCTGCCCCACCAGGCCACCCCCGACCCCAAAGTGATTGGCCACAGCCATGGTGGGTAGGAAAAAAAAAACAAGCATCGCCCCTCAGTCGTCTTTTTTTTCTCTCTCCTCTCTCCCACCTTCACTGCATATATCATCACGACTTTTTTTTCCTAGGTTCCTTCTGCTCTCGTATATATCGAGAGTGTACGAATCTAGTCGACAACTTTTCAGTTTATCAAACGTTCCCAGCCTTCTCTCGAGAGAAGTCTGTTGTTTTCTTGTCGCTACCACCCCGCCTACTTTTTCTTCAACTATTCTAGGTCGAGCTGTGCTTGATCTAGATTTTTTTCTTCAACCGCAATCATGGCTGACAAAGGACTCGAGGATGTCCCCGAGGGTGAGTTGGACTGCAAAATCTCCATCATATAGCTGGCGGATTGTGATGTCGGAGTCTTCCGGAGGCCTTGCTTGTGCGCGCAAACGCTCGCAGACTCTTTTTGACTTACGACCCCACGATACCCAACCTTGCGATCCCCATGGCCGCCCCGCCCTACTTCTTGACAATTTTTGCTAACGACGGTTGCGTTACAGGACAGATCGAGTCTAACTACGACGAGACCGTCGACTCCTTTGATGACATGAACCTCAAGTCTGAGCTCCTCCGAGGTGGTGAGTGCTATCCCTCTTCCACTCCCGCACGAAGCGACTTTCCTACAAAAAGGGGCCAAAATCTAACAGGGGCCTAGTCTACGCCTACGGTTTCGAGCGTCCCTCTGCTATCCAGCAGCGTGCTATCATGCCTGTTATCAAGGGCCACGACGTCATTGCTCAGGCCCAGTCCGGTACTGGAAAGACTGCCACTTTCTCCATCTCCGTTCTCCAGAAGATCGACCCCGCCGTCAAGCAGTGCCAGGCTCTGATCCTTGCCCCCACTCGTGAGCTGGCCCAGCAGATCCAGAAGGTCGTTGTCGCTATTGGCGACTTCATGAACGTTGAGTGCCACGCCTGCATTGGTGGTACCAGCGTCCGTGAGGACATGAAGGCCCTCCAGGACGGCCCCCAGGTCGTCGTCGGTACCCCCGGCCGTGTCCACGACATGATCCAGCGTCGTTTCCTCAAGACCGACGCCATGAAGATGTTCGTCCTCGACGAGGCCGATGAGATGCTTTCTGTAAGAAATCTTGGAAATATACTTCTCGGCTAACGGATACGGCTTTGCTAACATTTACTGCCTCTTCCAGCGTGGTTTCACCGACCAAATCTACGACATCTTCCAGCTCCTTCCTCAGTCCACCCAGGTTGTCCTGCTCTCCGCTACCATGCCCCAGGACGTCCTTGAGGTCACCACCCGATTCATGCGTGACCCCGTCCGTATCCTCGTCAAGAAGGACGAGCTTACCCTGGAAGGTATCAAGCAGTTCTACATTGCTGTCGAGAAGGAGGAGTGGAAGCTCGACACCCTGTCCGATCTGTACGAGACCGTGACCATTACCCAGGCCGTCATCTTCTGCAACACCCGCAGAAAGGTCGACTGGCTGACTGACAAGCTGACTGCCCGTGACTTCACCGTCTCTGCCATGCACGGTGACATGGACCAGGCTCAGCGTGACCTGATTATGAAGGAGTTCCGATCCGGCTCCTCTCGTGTCCTGATCGCTACTGACCTGCTGGCCCGTGGTATCGATGTCCAGCAGGTTTCCCTGGTCATCAACTACGATCTCCCCGCCAACCGGGAGAACTACATCCACCGTATCGGTCGTGGTGGTCGTTTCGGCCGAAAGGGTGTTGCCATCAACTTTGTCACCGCCGACGATGTCCGCATGATGCGTGAGATTGAACAGTTCTACAGCACCCAGATTGAGGAAATGCCCATGAACGTTGCCGATCTCATCTAAAGAAAGATTGCCACCGCGTCTTATTTTTCACCCGCTCCGGGCTACCATCTTTTTTTGATATCGCGTAGCCCTGTTTATGATAGTTGGGGACCATTTGTGGGAAGAGGCATCGTTCCAGTATTTGACGGTAGCTGCTGATAGATTCAAACGTTTCTAGAGAGGGGGGCATCCGGGACCGCATTTTTGAAAAAGCCGGTCTCGAGGGGGCGACTTGCAAGGAAAAAGGGGGGCAGGATTGGCTGCGTGACGAAGGCTCAGGAAGTCCTTTGCACCTTAATGACATGAAGGTGTGGCGGGCAACCAAAAGTAATGCAATGATTCTCTTTTTTTTAGTACCCTGTTCCTGTCGCCTCTGAGTGTCTGTATCTAGGAGTCGCTATCATGATATGTGTCTTTGTTCAAAAAAGTTTAGTACTACTTCAATCTTGCCTGCTCTGTGTCAACGTGAAATCATGTCATAAACTGTAGTCTCTCTGCTCTTTCGTGTACTTTATATTGGCATTACTAAGTCACCAGCCCATTCCTCACGTTATAAATAGCTCATACATAATTTCCCAAGTATGAGAGCAAGAACACATTTGCAAACGAGCAAAACCTATATTTCACACAAAAACAAAAAGAGAAACGGTCATTACGTGATCAATGTACTGTCAATTAGAAAAGTTGTCACAGATATACAGGTACATAGTATATATATGTCCATAGAGTACTGTCGAATCCAGTTACGACATGAGATTTCCAATCATTTGCCTGCCCTCTCCAACAAAATAATAAACAAAATAGCAAAAAGTAAAAAACGCCCCAAGTGGTATATGTTGTATGGTAATTAACATCCTTGACCTCCCTTCTCTCACCCATAAAAATAACTCGAGGAAATAATCATCCTGTTCCCCAGGGGAGGTTTTTAATCTCGCATCATCAAAAAGTAGTAAACAAAAGAAAGTAAAGAAGAGTAAAAAATATCGTCATCACAATTTTGAAGAGTTTTTGTTTTTGTTATTTTCCTTTTTTCGTGTTGTTGGTCATATCTTACATTGCCTGGCCAAAGGTATTGGGAGGAGCACCGCTGTATGCGCCGGGGATGGGCACAGCGTCGTATGTTGGCTCATCTGCGGCTACAGGAGCGTGCTCGTGCAGAGTCTCAGACTGAGGCGGCTCCGGAGACAGAGGGCTCTGAGCCTTGGGCGTGGCAGAGGGAGCCTTTGTAGGAGGAGCCTGGAGCTTAAAGGGAAGCTGAGGCTTGGAGAATTGAGAAGGAGGCTCAGCAACGACCTGAACGCTTGGAGTGAAGGTGCTCTTCTCGTCGATGCCGCCGAGGCTGCCAAAGTTGGCCGGGGCGTGGCGAGGCGACAAGGCGTACTGGCTAAGGGCGGGCGACTTGGGCGGGAACATGCTGGGCGTCATGGGGACACCTCCCATACCAGGGGATCGTGGGAAACCAGGGGTGTTGGGAGCAGACTGCGAGCGAAGCTGTGCAAGGTAGAGATCTGAGCGGGCGCGGTCACGAACATCCATGGACTTGTGCAGGCGGCGCTTGGAGTAGTAGCGGTAGAAGATGACGCTGTAGAGAAGGATGCTGATGACCTCGAGCACGACTTCGATGATGATGCAGATGAGGGTCCAGTTCTGCAGGCGGCACACCAGGGCGTACTTGACCTTGTCGGAGAAGACCTCAGATCGGGTGTTTTGCACGCAGGACCATCCCCACATGTCTTTGTTGTTGCCGTTGCTTTTAGAGTTGGAGAAGACGGCGGCGGCGAGAACCCAGAGGATAAGACTGACGATGAACTAGACATGAGGTGTTAGTCTGGATACAAGCCCAAATATGGATATAAAACCCAGTATATACGTACCCAACCAATAGCGAAAATCGTATAATAAGTGCCAACCTTCTCAGCGCGACGATGTCCTCCGCGGCAGTATGCGACAAAGACCAGGACCGAGATAGCGAGAGACACGCAGGCCATGGCGAGGACGAGCTTCTGGGCCCAGGGGTTGGTTCCGTTAGCCCACGAGGGCATCTTGCTCTGCTGAGGGAGAGACTTTGTGGCGTTGAAGATGGCAAAGGACGACGAGAGCATGGCGAGGATGATAAGCGAGCAGCTGAAGTGGACACTTCGGAGGGCGAACTTGGCCATGCGTACGCGGACCTTGATTTTCTGGAGTGGGAGTCATGTTAGCCGTCATTCGTTTTTCTTGTTTAGATATTCAGATTGATCTCGGATAGACCTACCAGATCTCTGGCCTGCTCCTTTTCCGTCTGCTGCTCCCGCTTCTCCAGAATGTCCTCCTCGCGGAACGTGGGGCTCATGAGGTTGAGTGTCCTAGCAGGGGTTCCAGGCACCCTCATGGCGCTCTTTAGGGGTGACTTTGGCATGCGGATAGACTCGCGATCACTGCCCGAGTTGCTGATGTAGCCAAAGCCGACATCACCAGGCTGAGAGTCGGAGGCTTGAGCGTTGGGCGGGTCGGCAAAGGGTGAAGCGCCGTTCTCGACGGGCGAGTGGACAGACGTTGCCTCGGCGAAGCGAGGAGTCCGCGGTACCTTGAGCGAGCTTTCTGATGAAGAACTTGACGAGGTGCCGGTTCGGGCGTGTGTGAGGTTGAGAGCGGCGGGCCGCTTCTTCTCGCCAAAGTTGAAGCCTGTGGGCGTGGGCGTGTCAATGACAGCTGCGTCTTGCTGCGCTGAAGACGGCTTCGTCTCCTGCGTCAGTGATGACGAACCTTGGTTGTCCATTTTGGACTTTTAGATATTTTGTTTTTTCTTTTATTTGGGGAGGTTTGAGGGGAAATCAAATATGTTGCAGTGTGTGTTGATCGTGTAAGTCGAGACAGGACAGTACACTCGAGAACCCAAACTCTCTCGACCCAGTCGATGTGGTAGGCCTCGTAGCAGAAGAAAAAAAGAGAGTAAGGGAATACACCAAAAAAAAAAGCAACAGTACAGTAATCACGATTGAAGAAAGTGTGGCGAGTCCAGCTATCGAGGAGCAAGAAGGAGAAAAAGGGAGGACTCCAAAAGGCGTGGCGGGAGCGCAAGAGTTTTGAGGACAACGGCGACGACACAGATGCGACGAGCTCATTCGACAAGAAGGACGAGGCGCCGGCCAAAAAAAGAAACCCGGCGAGTATTAGATGGTCGATGCAAGCTCTCTTTTTCCTTCGCTTCTGCGGAGCCGAGACCGGTTACTACTCTTTTCTTACTCGCCTTTCTGGCTGGGTTGAGGGGCGTGTTCGATGGCAAGGGCCCCCAATACAGCTCATACGACGATATTGGATGGGATGGCGGGCGATCTGATAGGCGACTGGAGGGTGTGATGCGCCCAGAGGCGTGCGCGGCTAGCCGCCGAACTGGCCACGGCGAGATGCAGATTGGCTCTGGAGGGTCTGATTGTGCAGATTGGGCGCTTTGAGGGCGGGTCTGAATGCGTGTGCCTGTCCTGTCTGTCTATTGCTGGCAGCTGCGTATATTCACGAGTACGAGCAATTTGCGTGGTGAGATGGAGTGAGACGATACGGCAGGTATAGAACAGAAAAGAGGAGGAGAGACAAGTCGGTAAGGTAACAGACAATGGTAAAAGACAAGAATCACGCAAGGCTACGGCTGCACTATTATCTCACCCAGCTTTAAACTCCGGGGGCCAACGTCCATCAACTTTGACTCTGCCGTGTGTGCCATACGAGCACACGCACTTGACGAGTAATATTGAGCCCGGCACGTCTTTTTCCTTTCCTTCTTTTTTTCCCTTGCTGGCGGGCGCGGACCCGGAAGTGGCTGGCAAACCTCGTGGTTGGTCGTTCTGTCAAAAGAAACGAGTACGCAGCCATACTAACTCAACTTGTAAGCCGGCAACGCCTCCCCCCCTTGCTAGTTTTTTTTTCTCTCTCTCGCCTCGATTGTCTTTTGCCTCTCCTCTCTCTCTGGCTTCACTTCCAGCAAGCAATCAAAAAGCAGCGGCTGCTCTTTCTCCGCTCGACGCGCTGCAGCTGCCGCCGGGGTCCCGAATTTCCAGTGAGACGACGCCCCCAGCTCGGCATCCTGATTGGCCCAGCCCCAGAGGCACCCGCGGGCCCTTTTTAGGGCCTTTGCAGGGGCTCCAAGTGCTAATGTCTCTGTGCCCGCACGCTCTCGGGCCAATCAGGGAGCCAGACGCCTGTGATGGGCGCAAGCCACTGCAGTCTCTCGGCGGCAATCAGCGATATGGGATTTGCTGCTGCCAGGGCCCGTCTGTTCGCGCCCGGATTTTTTTCATCTCAAGACAACCCGTCCATGGTCGGAATTGAAATCCATGTGTCCATCAAGCTGGTGTTGCTATTTTAAACAACACCCACCGATGTGCTTCAGCAGCCGCCCACCAAAACTTGATTTTGATTTTGTCTCAATTCCATCTAATCAACTGATTCATTCATGCAGTCCATTCTCTCCTTCTTATTCTTCTTCGTTTTTCCATCGTTGGCACTAAGGCAGCCCGTGGCGTGAGAGCCCGACCAAGCCCGTCAGCAGACGCTGACCATCCCCCACAACAAAGTTCGTCTACGCCTTTTCCATACTACAGCTCCGGCTCTATCGCCATCCGGGGGTGGGCGGTCAACGGGTTTGCCCGTGGGCCGTGTTGCAGCTCTTCTCTTATGTCTGCTACGGAGCAGAGTTGTCGTCGACCCGGAGAGCCGCATGTGTTATTTGTAATACTGAGATATACCAAATGCACAGGCGGTGCTACAGAGTACGGCAGCAACAACACGGCCTGTTCATGTTGGTGATGGAGGCGCTTTCGTGCAGGGTGATTTCGCGTGTGGACCCTGCCTTGTACGACGAGCATCTCCATTGTCGGTTCATGGTATGGGTGCATGCATGTCATGAGCTACAAAGTGCCCGTGCTACCATTGCTTCCACCACTTGGCTATATACGAGTACTGTAGTAGGTGCACACACACAGTTTCAAAACACATCAGTGTGATAGTGGTAGTAGCATGAAGCTCGTCGAGATACCGTCCGTCTCCACACCAAGGGCCAAGCATCTGCACGGTTGCATCTCTCATCACCAACAGATACAAGTGCCCTCATCGTATGTGCGGATTTTTATCCATGGCCCCCATCAACCCCAAAGCAGAGCAACATTTCTTCAATTCTTCTGCTTTGCATCGCCCCCAACACTCGTTTCTTCCCCATACGGCCTGTCATCACTTTACTTGCATGACAACCCCATCTACCGGGAAATCACCAAAACGCCCAGGCACGTCATCGGGTCAGCATTTAGCACACTGCTAGAGGTGAAATCGAGTGGCGAGTAACTTGCCATTTGCCATGTGAAGTTTTGTAGAGCTCCCGGAAATAAATCGGCCGCCACAAGCATTTACCTGGAACTGCTAAACTACCTAGCAGGACTTTTATCTATGCGAGCTCGACCGTTGCTTGCGGGCACAGACCGGTTGATGTCGTTTATCGAATTATCCCGGCCAATGACCAGACGACCAGTCTCTGCTTTGGTGAACTACTGGTAATAATCTTCCGCCGGATAGACAGGACGTAAGAATTAAATGCCTTTTCAGCCAACTCATGCATCCTGATCGGCCCTTCGTCTCTTTCGAAGGACAGCGTCGTCATGCTAGTAGTTTCTCCCCTGGGTGGCGTGGAAGCTCTCTCTTCAGAGCTAGGTTAGCTGCTGGCTCTCACCAAAGCCACAAAGTAATTCCACGTTGAGCCTAGGAATAGCGCGGCTTCAGCTCTTGTATTCAAACGAGATTTTTTGAATACATATAAAATTTTCTAGATTGCTGTAAGTCATCTGCTCAGTACATGTACTTAGTAGAACAATGAAGCATCTCTATTTCCTGCTTTCAAGATAAAGAGAGAGTGCCCTCAGATACGAGAGCGCACAGCTTCTCCGCTTAGCATCCTGCTGCCACTTTGAGTCATCGTTTTACTTTTCGTCTAAAAAAACACATATATAGCTCTACCCATACATAAGGTATCAGGATTGTCGCTGCTTTTTGTACAAGTAACTCGGTGGGCCGTCTGCATACTAAGATTGCTACAACGAGATAGAAAAGAACACTTAGGTCCAATAGCTTTAATCTAGGTTAGTACTCTTTACCTACCTACGCAGCGTCATTGGTATGTGTGCCGCTTACGGTTTGGTGTTTGTTCGTGCGTACCGTACAATGCCTGTAACAAAAGACTCCAGCTCACTGTCTGGGTGGTCGGGAACATTGAGTATCTTCCTAGCTAGTGTTGGCGTGGTACGTAGTTCTTCACATATCGGCTACTATCGCTACCCTCTTTACTATCTGCTACTATTTCTATCTTCTCTACTATCAAATACTACGGTAAATAATCTCCTAGTATATTTTACTATTATCTAGTATGAGGTACATTAGTGTATAATTGCTCTTCTTGTGCCTGTCATTGTACTATGTGGCTAACTTGGAGCTGTGGCTATCAATTCTCAAGCTTTAGCGCTCAAACTTTTAGCCTTTGGCTGAGAATCTTCGTTAATTTTAACTTTTTTTTTTTTATTCCTGTAACATTACTTTTGCCGTTACCATGACTCGAATCTTTTGATATTTGGATTAAATGTCTACTGTTCTGCCTAATTCATTGCCATAATCAATTCCATGAAGCTCCATAGAGGGGCTTGCTGAATTCTGGCCGTGGAGGGGCAAGAATCCTTATCAGTTTATCGCGCCAAACCCGGTTTAGCGTAAGAGTCATCATGCTGCACACGATGAATTTTGACTCGACGGTGAAATGGCTGCTTGTGCAAACCTCCGCAATTTTATAGCAACCAAAACCTTGGAGGCGCCTGCATTTCCCTATTAAACTTGGTTGTTTTGCACGTGAGCTCCCTCGCTTCCCTCAAACTGTCGAAGCTCTCCAATTCTTAAAATCCTTCGCAGAATACCTTCTCTCGACCTCCCAAGCATCAACTGCCCCGCCCACGTCCACGTCCCGTCACAATGTCCGACGACCCCAAATACGACGATATCCAGTCCGACTCGGACTCTGGAGAGTCCATCGACGCCCAGGATAACGTCGAATCCCTCGAAGACAAGGCCCTCAAGCCGGCGCTGAAGAAGTCCAACCCCGTCATCCCCAACCAGGCGGCAGTAAAACCTCCGCTGCCCCCACAGACCGATCCTAAAGATCTCGATGTTTCCGTCTTGACGCCCCTCACCCCCGAGATTATTGCTCGCCAGGCGACCATCAACATCGGCACCATTGGCCACGTCGCTCACGGAAAGTCCACCGTCGTCAAGGCCATTTCTGGCGTTCAGACCGTTCGATTCAAGAACGAGCTGATCCGTAACATCACCATCAAGCTCGGATACGCCAACGCCAAGATCTACCAGTGTGACAACGCCGCCTGCCCTCGTCCAGGATGCTACCGAAGCTACGGTAGTGAGAAGGAGGTTGACCCTCCTTGCGAGAGAGATGGCTGTGGTGGTACATACCGACTACTAAGACACGTCTCGTACGTATTAACTTCTCCCCTCGACCCTACTTACCCAAAGGATGGTAATATAAGACTTGTATATCTCAATACCTAACCTCTTCCAGCTTTGTCGACTGCCCTGGTCACGATATTCTCATGAGCACCATGTTGTCAGGAGCCGCTGTCATGGACGCCGCCCTTCTTCTCATTGCAGGCAACGAATCCTGCCCTCAGCCCCAGACGTCAGAACATTTGGCCGCCATTGAGATTATGAAGTTGGAGAACATCATTATCCTTCAGAACAAGGTCGATCTGATGAGAGAGGAGGTTACCCAGCAGCACTATGAGTCAATCCTCAAGTTCATCCGTGGAACTGTTGCCGAAAAGTCCCCCGTCGTCCCTATCTCTGCCCAGCTCAAGGTCAACGTTGATGCTGTTCTCGACGCCATCGTCCACACCATCCCCGTGCCCGTCAGAGACCTCTCTCTGGAGCCCCGCATGATCGTCATCCGTTCCTTCGACGTCAACAAGCCCGGTGCTGAAATCGACGACCTCAAGGGTGGTGTTGCCGGTGGCAGTATCCTGCACGGTGTCCTCAAGCTTGGTGACGAGATTGAGATCCGTCCCGGTATTGTCTCACGCGACAACAGCGGTGCTCTCAAGTGCACTCCCCTCTTCAGCAAGGTCATCTCTCTCAACTCGGAGGGCAATGACCTCAAGTACGCTGTGCCCGGTGGTCTGATCGGTGTCGGTACCCAGATCGACCCTACCCTTTGCCGTGCTGATCGTCTGGTCGGTTTCGTCCTCGGTCTCAAGGGCAAGCTGCCCGACATCTACAGCGAAATCGAAATCAACTTCTACCTCCTCCGACGTCTGCTGGGTGTCAAGACCGCAGATGGCAAGCAAGCCAAGGTCGCCAAGCTGGCTAAGAACGAAGTCATCATGGTCAACATTGGTTCCACATCAACCGGTGCCAAGGTTGCCGCCATCAAGAACGATGCTGCCAAGCTGGTCCTGACCAGCCCCGTCTGCACAGACATCGGTGAGAAGGTTGCCCTCAGCCGACGTATCGACAAGCACTGGCGTCTTATTGGATGGGCTACTATTGCTGCGTAAGTCTTTTGCCCACATCTCATTTCCTGAATATCCCTTCTATCAGGCCTTGAAGCTAACATGCATTGTTCAGTGGTGTTACTCTGGAGCCCAGCTCCGCATAAGCGTAGAGCCGGAAAGAAAAACTTGTCTAGGTATATAGCGATTTATTATGGAATTTTGGGCTGGAAGCTACGCCTAAGGGTATCTCTTTAATAGGGTTAAGGCAGCTTTTTTATTCTATAGTCAAAAAAAATTTCAAATTATCCCAATTCGATTATCAGAAAATAACAGCACGTAAGATTAGGAGGTACTGGGAATCAGGGGCACGATCAGAGTATCTAGATCAGTATCGAAGTAGCAGTTTTCCATTGAGGGACAATGAAAAAAAAAATAGCATTTTCTATCTAGCCACCATCCCAACGGATTCATCTATAACTTCCGCTACCCTCTTCTAGTATCTGCTACTATCGCCGCCTTCATCTAGTATCTACTACTATCACTACCCACATCTACTCGCTGATATTACCAGGTCACTTATATATGTAGCCGAGAATAGCTGGTCAAACAAGATAACCTTGCCAAAGAGGCGAGGATAACGAGCTTCAGCGCGGTCAGTTGATATGTCTACCAATCCAACTAACAAGGACTGGAACTTCAAAGAGAATCAACTTGCCATACGGAGATGGACAGGAAGAATGGGACAAGATACAAAAGCACAAACCGCTACCGAATCAATTGCTTTAGAAATTGGGACAATTCATAGTATTTACTATATATGATGCAAATCTACTTGCGTACTTTTCGGGCATGTGCTACCAGATTTTCTATAACACCTTCAAATGCCTCGCGATCCCCGATTTTCTCATCTGTCCGTTTTGTCCAGTAATCCAGCACCTCTTTAGCTGCCCCCTGCATGGCCTCTAATTTGGCCACATGCTGTGTTAATTCTTGATCCGTCATGCCGTCTAGTGCTTCATCCGTCGTCTGGCAAAGATGCTTCGCTACCACCAGGTCTAGTTCCGGCTGAGGTGGCGGCCCCTTCCTCCTCTTGGAAGTTGACGGCTTCCCCTGAGAGTCTATTGATGTGGATGAAGCATTTCCGTCGCCTTGTTTTAGTCTTGTCGCTGATCGCAAGTCGCTTGAGCCTCTAGGTGAAGATGCAGGGATGTTGAGTGACGGCAGCACAAGCTTCTTCTGCTTGGAGGCTGGGAGGATTTCATCTAAATCTACGGGAACTCCGAGAGAGACGAGAAATAGACGGCGCGTCCGTGAACGAATCCAATCGGGTGGCGCGAGGGGCGGGGGAGCGACGAGCTGAGACCATAGGGAGGCGGAACGTGGCGTAAGGAAAATAGATGAACCTTTTGATAATTGCGGAAAGGGTTGGAAGTCGAGCTCTTCGGGAGGGAAGAGATTCGGTAAATTCGGTTCTACTGCGGAGATGACTTCATCCAGGCTCAGCCCATCGAAGTCGGGTATCGACTGCAAGAATGTTAGCGTTGAAAGGCAAGAAGCAAGGATTAGGATTGTCAGCTTCATATTTGACGAAGAAATCATGTACATACAAATGGTAATGATTGTTGTTGGAGAATTGGCGGAGGCGCTGATGCTGTGGTTGTGGTTGTGGGCTGGGCATGTTGAAACCCATCCTCGAAGTCATCAAAGTCATCGTCGTGACCGCCCTCCTCGAAGTCATCGAAATCGTCCCCGAAATCGTCGACCTCGTCTTCCTCTTCAGCTGCCACCTCTTCATCTGCTTCTTGATTTTGCGTAGCTAAAACTGTTGGTTGGGAAGATGTGTGAGAGTCCCTCCTGGAGCGACCTGAAGAGGACGTGGGTGAAAGAGGAGCTTCTTCAGCTCAGTCAGTTAGTGTCATACTTTAAGTGTTGGAGGCTCTTCAAGTATCCATACCTGAGATGGCATCTTCATTGCCACTCCTTATCTCGCCATTTGGGCTCAATATTATATCGGGGGTAGCATCTGCCTTGTGCTTCTCTTGCTCCTGTGGGTCGTGTTGGCCAGGATAATCGCCTGTAGATTCTTCGACGACTGTGACGGGAACAGCGACAGGTTCCTGAGGAGTAGAAGGTGAGGACTCGTTGTCTTTCACGGGTATCATGGCAATCTCATCAGGCTCGGCATCTTGCTCCCTCTTCTTGTATGCCTCGGTCCCAGGCACTTCTCCATATGACGGTTCATCGTCAACCTTTTCTACTCTTGTCTTGGGGAGCGGCGAGCTGACGCCTGGACTCGTGGGCGCAGACTGTGCGTCTGTAAATTGGTCTTCCGAATCTGAAGCCTCAGCTATTATAAAATGTCAGCAAGGCCTGGGCATGACATGCATCGTCCAATATCCAGAACAAAGACATACCCAGCTGATGGGCCCCCGGGTCCTCGACGTGGGTCTGTGGCGGGGGTTCAAGTTCCCGGGAGTCCGCCATTGCTTCGTGCTGGCACTCTATAAAGCTAAACAACTATTGGCAAATCGGTTCAGGGGTGTATCCAGATCCAGGGTTCGATTCGTGGAGGCGAATATCGGGTATATAGTTAATAGCGATGGGGGCGTGGTCCTATGTCGGCGTCGAGCCCAGGTACACCAGCGTCTTCAGGACATGCCGTTTGCACAGTGGTTCAACCGTATATGTCCAGACTCGCCCGAGCTTGAAAGGGGGAAAGGGCGCAATGTCTAGCCAGGAAATGAAGGTGTCTGAGTCGTTGGTAAGTTGACTATCATACAAGTAGCATGGAGCTCTTGGCTGGAGGCGTGCTCGCGCTATCGTCACGTGGAGAAGGCCACTAGTACCTGGTACTTTCTGTACAATGGAGGCTGTGGCTGGTAACGATCTCTGTGGCTGGAGTTTCGTGAAGAGGCTCTCCCCAGCCACAGCACGGCTGCGCGCTCTGGGCCTAAGCTTCTAAGAAAACAGAACCGCGAAAAAAGCACCTAGCCAACCATCAGCCTTGGGGCCGCTCAGTAGTTTTGTTTTCATTTTCTTCTCTCTCGAATCCGAACCATCCCAGGGTGAGCTGTCGGCAATCCCACACGGCCTCCAATTCTCCGTCTTCATCTTGGTTGAGCTTTGGGATATTATGAAAGCCTACTGAATCTCCTGATTTACAAAATAGCTGCCTCGCGCGCATCACGACCGCCGACGATTCAAACAAGCACCAGATAATCCACCCCAATCGCCATGGCTTTCAGCTTTGGAACTCCGAGCACTTCGGGCGCCGCGCCCAATAGCACAACCAGCACAGCGCCAGCCGCAGGTGGTCTATTTGGCACTGCTCCTGCTGCTTCTGGAACTCCTGGTTTTTCTTTCGGAAAATCGACGACTCCAGCCACCAACCCTCCGGGGGGTTTGTTTGGAGGCCAGGGCAACACCGCTGCGCAGAAGCCAGCTGCTGGCGGGCTTTTTGGAGGAAATGCCGCTTCTTCAGCTTCTGCTACTCCTACCACTTCGGGAGGAAACCTGTTTGGTGGAGGATCCTCGACGACTCCGGCGACAGGTGGTCTCTTTGGCGGCGCGGCCACTGGAGCATCTACCACATCGGGCGGCTTGTTTGGCAGCGCGACAACTAGCACAGCACCATCCACTGGTGGTCTGTTTGGCAACAATGCATCTACCACTCCGTCCACGGGTGGCTTATTCGGAAACAATGCCGGCAAGACTGCCAATGCACAGACAACTCCAACTCCTGCTCCAGCCGCCGGGAATCTGTTTGGAACCGCCAACCCTTCACTCTTTGGGGCCAAAACACCAGCCTCTGGCTCCCAAGCTCCTACTCCGGCTACTGCCAGCACCGCCGCTACTGCAACTCCCGCCAAGCCCTTGTTCTCTATGCCATCGACGACGCCGGCCGGTGTACCGCCAGCCAAACCTGCAAGCACAGGCTTGTTTGGAAACACTGGGACTGCTGCTCCATCGAGTGGTTTGTTTGGCAACGCTGGGGCAAAGCCTACTGCTACTTCAACCTCAGCCTTGACTGAGAAGCCCGCGGCTGCTGCCACATCAGGATCAGGGCTGTTCAGCGGTGGAACTCAGTCATCTACAAGTGGCCTGTTCGGCGCCAAACCTGCCGCCACCACGGCTGCCACAGGCCTCTTTGGCAATACCGCAACTACCACTGCTGCACCGGCATCATCCACAACTGCTGCGGCGCCGACCACCGCTGGAACAACTAGCTCTCTGTTTGGAGCTAAGCCAGCTGCTACCACGACCCCAGCGGCGGCATCTGCGGGAGGTCTCTTTGGAACTGCCCCTGCTGCGACCACTACCTCTGCAGCTTCTGGATCTACCGCAGCTCCCGCCGCCGCTTCCGGTTTGTTTGGATTAAAGTCAGCTGCCGCCACTACTGCGACTTCATCCTCAGCAGCCCCAACAACAGCCAAACCTGCTACTTCACTGTTTGGTACCACGGCTGCTGCTGCTACTCCTCAGCCTGCTACAGCTGCAGCCACCACCGCAGCCCCGACAACTGCAGCACCAGCGACCACGACGGCCACGAGTGGTGGCTTATTCGGAGCTAAGCTTGCTAGCGATAAAGATGCTGCGAAGCCAGCTGCCACGACTGGTACCACCAACGCTTTGGGAGCCTCCACTACCGGCCCCCCCTCTCAGATGGCCCGGCTAAAGAATAAGACGATGGAGGATATTGTCACGCGGTGGGCTTCAGATCTGTCCAAATACCAGAAGCAATTCAAGGAACAGGCTACCATTGTGTCCAACTGGGACAGAAACTTGGTAGACAATGGCGAAAAGATCCAGAAGCTATATCTGGACACTTTCGAAGCAGAGCGGGCCAGCCATGAGATTGAGCGCCAACTTGCAGCTGTGGAGAGCCAGCAAGAGGAGCTGGAGGCTTGGCTGAACCGTTACGAATCAGAAGTCCAAGATATGTTTGCCAAGCAGATGGGCCCTGGCGAGCAACTTGGAGGACCTGACCAAGAACGTGAACGCACTTATAAGCTGGCGGAGAAACTCACCCAGCAACTCGACGAGAAGTCGCGAGATTTGTCCAAGATGGTCAAGGAGATCAATGACATCTCCGGAACTTTGAGCAAAGGAGCCAAGGCAGAGGACCCCGTAAGTTTTGACGTAAATCTTCAATCTACAAAACAAGTAATTGCTAACGGTACGATGCAGCTGAGCCAAATTGTTCGGGTGTTGAACAGCCATCTTACACAGCTGCAATGGATCGATGCCAACTCCTCAGCTCTGCAAGCCAAGGTCACAGCGGCGCAGAAATCCAGCAGCAACATGGGTAGCCACTACGGAAGCGGAGAGAGCGATGTGGCAGAGAGTTTCTATAGATCTTACATGGGACGGAGGTGAAGCATTTTATTGGACATGGGTGATTGAAATTGGAGTTCCGGGACGGTATCAGGAAAGAATGAATCTAATAAAGGCTTTTTTCACATGCACAATCAATAAGGGACCTGGTGGAACACAGCACCGGGGCAGCTCCTTTTTTTTCCTTTCTTTATATTATTTGTTTTTGTTTTACTTTGGTAAGATGGAGAAGAGTTCATGTAGCTGTACAGTACCTAGGTAGGCGGCAACAGAGAAAATACGCAGCATATGAAAACAATGTATAGCGCAATTCGATCTCCGGAGGAGTTGCTTGTTCCCAAACTTCCAGTCTGAACTGCTCAGTCAATGGCCCGCATAGGCCAACATGAATCGGTTTTGTCTTCTTAGTTCATCTCATTTGTTGTCTTTCCCTCTTTTTAGTTCTGCTCGCCACCCTGTTCCTTGGTGATCTCATCGCTAAGAAGGAGCCCGGTTCATTAGTATTGGGGGCGGGTCAATTGGGGAGGGGTTACGAGGAGGGCTGTTGCGCGTACATGTGCTTGGCAAGGCGGTCGAGGTGCTCTTGCTGCTCGGTGAGCTTCTTCCTGAGCTCGAGGAGCTTTTCCTTCTCGCGCTGGCGGATGGCGTACTCCTCTGAGGCTCTTTCGCGGCGCTGGAAAGCGTCGCTATGACATTGCGCAGCTGGGCGTTAGATGGCGATCTCTTTCTTGTCTGATTTGGCTGCATTGAATTGGGGATGGTCACTTACCCAGGGCCGCCCATCTTGGGGGGAGCACCAGTGTCTCCTTCACTCATGGCGCGGGCAGTGGTGGTGAAAGCGGCGCGCATGGGACGGAAGGCAGCCGTCTTGGTGAGGGTTGTGCGGAGCATCTTTTGAGGGTTGTTGAGCTTTCTGTGGCGGAAAGGAATTCGAGGTGTGTAGGTTGGAGGGTGGGAAATTGAGCGTGGGGGAGGGAAGTGAGGTTATAATGGTTACTTGTCGCAATTGGAGCTTTTTTGGCCTGAGGAGCTGAACCGCAGCAGAGAGCAGCTTGTGCTGCAGACTCGGGAGTGGCCTGAGGGGCTGAGCGTCATAGGCCGGCAATCCAGTGGTTCGATGACCGTCAATCGGGAATAGTGCCCTTGCTGCTATTTCTGGGGGCTTGTGGAGAGATGGCAGATTGTTGGCGAGGCTTCCAGATGGGAATCGAAATCACAATGATGGACGCAAGGCTGCAAGTATGCTTTTTCCAAATAAAAATCCCCCAAAATAATGTGTGTTATCATTACCTATCCTGTCAGATTTGCAGGTGGTGTGTATTGAATTGATCAAGCTAAGTAACTTCCTAATTATGACTTCGAAACTTCAACAAGCAAGTAGCAAAGCACCAGACAGGAGCTTCTATTGGCATTGGCAAGCATTCAACTTGCTTCATCTCACAAAACAATCGTCAATCGTCATGCAGAGACGGTTCAATCCTAGAATCGTACATCACGATACGATCAGATAATATGGTGGACTGATCAGATGCGTTGAGTTAGACTCAAGCGCAAGCAGCTGATGTGGATGCCGGGATATTTCGGTACGGATGGTTACGTACATACATTCTCCATCTACTGGATAGGTACAGAATCGAATAGAACTAGGCCCTAGGTGTAGAAATTTCTCCAATGTTAGACGGTATCTAAGCATGTCACTTCACACATTGAGCTGGTAGCTTATATTTCGTTTGTTGATGTAGGAAGTGATTGGCTTTCCAGTATGCTCTCTTGCTCTATTACAACTTGGAAGATAATCATGGTATATGCAGATGTTGGAAGACGGGTAGCCATACCAGCAGACGGCTGAAAATTCAAGCAGAGAAAAAGCGCCGGTTTGCAAGACAACTAATTATGAATCTACTTGATTGCTGGGCTGTTGCTATTTCATGTTTTCATGTTTCTTTTTGCCATTGCATTTGCTAATAAACATTGTTTCCCGGGTAAGTAATGTAGGACTGCCGGCTCGTCACGGCCAGATCAGGATCGCACTCCTGCTTACTAAGGGTCACGGTTCAACTACAGGAGGTGCGAGTGGAAATTAACACCCAAGGGAGTATGATGTAATGGTAATTTCACCCATCGCATCAACTTGGTGGGATGATCAAAAGGTACTACGCTCTTATTGCCACTGGATACTACCTAGCAGGTACGAGTGTTGCTCCTGATATTATGAACATACCTTATTTGGTTCAGAGAGAGATTAGATTCTCTCCAACGCATCTCAGAGTGGGGATGCGCAAGGAGCTGGATTGCCGTCCAGGATAAAGGGAAATGAATACCCAGTATCTTAGTTTACTGCTGAACATGGGCGTAATTTCTTGCCGACCATTTGACCAGAGCCGCGTGACTGCATTGTCGGAGCCTCATCTTATCAATGATTGGGAGGGTGATGCGAATTGGCTGCAATGCCATCAGGCAGCCACCACGGCGAACAAGAACGTTGAATCGCGATATGCCCTTTGAGAAAAAACTTGAACAAAAAGGCAACCAAGGCACAGGATGATGACGACCCATCACTCGATTTAGGACTAACTCAATAATACGTCAACGCCACCCACTTGGCGCATTAGGTCCCAGTTGGTGCTATTTCTCGTCCTGTAGAAGCAGCATTTGCAGGCTGGGTGCTTCTGCTTCTCTTTTGGTTGGGTGCCCCCATCCTCCCTGTATGTACCGGCAACCTGTACCTTGCCGTGGTACCTGTTCTCAGCACTGTGACGTGATGGAGAGACAGGGTAAGTGTGAGGGAGGGTACCTAGATGTACGAGATTAGCAGGCCTTTCAACTGTTCAAACAGGCGTTGATCAAGTACCCACATGTTCCTGTACATTGCCCACCCGAGCCCTGAAAAGGGTGAGGCTTCTACGGCACGTGAGGCCCGTGAGCAAAAGCGTTCGACAACCGCTATTCGCTATTAGGACGCTTGAATCAATGCGTTGGCTAACTGGGACCCGACCTCAGCAACAGCTTAAATCTTGCAAGTTCCATTTCCTTTTCTTCTCTCTCAACGAAGCATCAACCCCCCTTTTTCCCCCAGAACCGCGTCTCATCGCACGTACGTATCTCTCCCGCTCTATGCATCCTGCCGAACTTTTCCATCACTCTCCTTTGCCCACGACAGCAGCCCATCCTCTCCCGCCCTGATAGCATTCCCGCCTCGCTATGTGAGCGCCTTATGGCATGGCGCGCGCCCCTCCTCGCTGTCGTCATGGCCTGGCAACCCCCCGGGCACGCAAGAGGCAGCGCTTCCAGAGCCGTCAATCGCGTTGGGACCGAGCAGCTGCTTGCGACTCTATCAGCGCTATTGGGCACTGGAATCGCCTTCGTTCCCGTCGCTCGGAGGCCTGCGTGTCTGTCGCGGTAGCTGGCGCATTCGCTGTTAAACCCCTTTGGTGGGGTTTAAGGAGCGGGGGAGCAAGCCTCACTTGGGCCTTGTCGTAAAGTCAGCCCTGCGGCACTTGTTCCTGCCACGGTGCTTTCGCGCAGGATTTACTTGTTCATCTCGATGAGGCTGTGGCTGCTGCCTTGCTCCCCTTGCACTGATTTTTTTCCTTCTTCGTTTTAAATTCTCCCCATTCCCCTTTGTCAAACCCTAAACACTCGCCTTTGTGCCTGATCCAACTCTCTTACTTTCTGCGTTACGCCATCTCGGACGCGTGCAACCTGCTGACTGATTGAGACCAGCTGCCATAAAACTCCAAAAAATCTCAAAAACCAACCGTCAAAATGGGTCACGAAGATGCTGTTTATCTGGCCAAGCTCGCCGAGCAGGCCGAGCGATATGAGGGTTCGTTGATCGCTTTTCTCTCCCCCCGATCGACCGCGCTGACCGAAGTTTCCCAACAGAGATGGTCGAGAACATGAAGATCGTCGCCTCCGAGGACCGCGACCTGACCGTCGAGGAGCGCAACCTCCTCTCCGTCGCCTACAAGAACGTCATTGGTGCCCGCCGTGCCTCTTGGAGAATAGTCACTTCTATCGAGCAGAAGGAGGAGTCTAAGGGCAACTCTTCCCAGGTTACCCTTATCAAGGAGTACCGCCAGAAGATTGAGGCCGAGCTTGCCAAGATCTGCGATGACATTCTCGATGTTCTTGACAAGCACCTGATTCCTTCTGCCAAGTCTGGAGAGTCCAAGGTCTTCTACCACAAGATGTGCGCATGCCATGTTGCTTCCATTGATTCCAATATGCCGAATTGAGCTAATTTCTTCTTCCCCATCACAGGAAGGGTGACTACCACCGTTACCTTGCCGAGTTCGCCATTGGCGACCGCCGCAAGGACTCCGCCGACAAGTCTCTCGAGGCTTACAAGGCTGCTACCGAGGTTGCCCAGACCGAGCTGCCTCCTACCCACCCTATCCGCCTGGGTCTTGCGCTCAACTTCTCCGTCTTCTACTACGAGATCCTCAACGCCCCTGACCAGGCTTGCCACCTCGCTAAGCAGGCATTTGACGATGCTATTGCTGGTAAGTTTTCTCTTCTGAGATGGGAAAAGAAGCCGATTTCGTTGGCTACTCTAGTTGAATTTCGCTGACACATTCGCCACACAGAGCTCGACACCCTCAGCGAGGAGAGCTACAAGGACTCTACCCTCATCATGCAGCTGCTCCGTGACAACCTGGTTCGCATTTATCCCACCCCCGTGATTGATTGCACATGTTTTGCTAACTCATTCCCAAAGACTCTCTGGACCTCTTCTGAGGCCGAGAACACTTCTGGCCAAGCCGATGCCCCCGCCAAGGAGGAGACCCCAGCCGAGGCTGCCGCCCCCGCTGAGGAGCCCAAGGCTGAGTAAACTCAGTTAGGGGAGCGCAGGATGAATCTCTAGGCTTTGGTCGCTTTGGTATCGGATGGGCTGGTGTCTACGGAGTGGATGGAAGACTTCGTTTTTGATCAAGAGCTTCGGCATCGTTTAGGTAAACACGCAACTTTCGGGGAGAGGACCGATTTGGTCCCCCCCTCAACGGACTGGCAGGGAGGATTGAAGAAGAGCATATTGGAGGTTCTGCTTTTAGACTCTTGATGCGTAGCCGTCTGGACAAATAAAAACTACTAAAATTGCTTTTTAATATTATTTTACTTTTTACCAAGTAATCTCTATATATACTTGTTGATTGCTTGACTCCTAAAAACGCCTTGCTTTAGTCACGCTTCGTCCTTGTCATGAATTTTGTGGCAAATTATACAATGAGGTCAACTCGGTTCCTTTTTATTTGATGTCGACAAATGACTGTCATCTGCTTCATCTACAACGGCAAAGTGAACCTTAAGCCAAAGGCTGCAGTCGTGACAGCCAACCATGAGCACCCCCTCGTGCTCAACCTCTTCCAAATCTGACTCCTGAAAGGAATACCCGCGATCATTGCCACAGCGACAGGATCTATACCAGCGCTCTTCCCCTTCGTCGAACTGCAAATCGTCTAAGTCGACGTTTTCAATGCCTGTCTGAAAACGAGCTTGTGAACCGTCGCCGTTGGCTCTGGTGAGACGCAGGTTGGCGTCGTAGGTGCTGCGCTGGCGAGGCGATGAGAGAATTGTGAAGGCTTGTGTGATTTGGTCTATGGTGTAGAGCTGAGACGGGGATGAGGCTGATAGTGAGACCGATGGAGTAGCAGCAGCAGCCTTGTCGGGATGGTGACGGAGGAGGGCCCTGCGATAGGCCTGCTTTATGAGTGTGGAGGGGTCATGCTGGGAGTTGAGGAGGGTGGGGGTGAGGCCGAGAATCTCGTAGTGAGATGGCGAAGAGAGCGCCATGAGTTGTAAAAAAATTTAAACAGAGTGAAATGCTTAAAAGACTTATGCGTTTCTACATATGGCTTTGGATGCTGTGTTTGAAGATACTGGAGGCGGCAAATTTAGACATGTCAAAATCACGTGATGCTAACGAGCCTTTGCTACCAGAGGCAGTACATGATGGAAAGCTGAATCAAGCACGGTAAAAAGGAAGTAGAGAGAGTCTGAAGTGAATCTGTATATTCGTTTCTCATTGTTGTACATAGAAATACACGGCGCATGTACATACTCGCCGGGATAAAGTGGCTTTTCTCCTGCATCATTTCGTTTATTTCGGGAACTTGGTCCAGTTTCTCTTCCCGATCTGTTGTGCGTTTTCAAGTCAGCTATGCTTCGTGTTTTGTGGAAAATTAGTGAGAAAAATAAAGAGATTCTTACACTTTTCCAGGCCCGGATGAGTCTTGGCATCTCGAGCATGGCTTTCCTCCTCTGTTCCATCCTGAATGACAGTGTTAGTCTTGAGTGTTCTGACAACACGAAGAAGATGGACAAGAAGGTGGTCGACGTACTTTGCAATCATGTGTCGTTCGTGGATGTGACCCTTGACCTTCTGTCCCACACCCGTACCCTTGACTCTCAGACCATGCTCAACACGATGAGCCAGCTGGTATTCTGTGCCCTTGGTCGTCTCGGGCAGCAGCTCTTCAACGCCGTGGTCCCGCGCAAGCTTGACCAGCTGCGCCTGTCTTCGCTGTGAGTAGACGGGATCCTGCCACCGCCCAGTCACGGGGTGTTTGTAGAATCGAAAGGGATTTGGTCGTTGCTCCTGGAACGGCGTCGGAGGAGTGCCGGGTGCGACGAGCGCCGCGGGCGGCCAGCGTGCAAAGAAGCGCTGCAGCGGCTCTGGGAGGCTCTTTGCGAGCTGGACGAAGCTGGAGGGAGAGGCCATGGGCGCTATGAAGTGCCAGACACTGGCATTGGCCTGGTTCCGGAGGGGAGAGGGCGGGATGACAGGGCTGTTCTGCCGGGTATGACCTGATCGCGGGGAGGCTCTTTTTTAGAGGTTCCTAATTTGAATTCGAATTCGAGATTCCCAAGGCTGAACATCCACTAACAGGGACCCGCTAATACTAGTTGATTTAATTGGACACAGATCTTTGAGTGGGCCTGAAGCTCTCCATAATTCATAGCCTTGTCTGCTTCCTGCTTGCCCAAGTTCAACTTTCGATTTATTTCACGTCAGAAACTAATGCATGCGGACCTTTGATTTCCCTTTTTCTTGTCTACTGAATACAACGTATACCACAAACCCGAAATGCCCCTCGACATAGAAGAGATCCTTCGGAAAAAGAAGGCAGCTGATGCTGCTGCGGCTAAACCCAGATTTATCCCCAAGGCAGAACGCGAACGGCTAGCAGCCGAGAAAGCGAAGCAAGAGGAAGAAGAGAAGAAGCGCAAGGCGGCGGATGAATCACAACGGCGACGGGAGGAAGAGAGAAGATGGGAAACCCGCGCAAATGGTCTAACAGCCTCTAATGGCGCTCCCAACGGCGCTCCCAACGGCATCGCGCCACCCACAGGTCCGAGGGCGATGAATCAACCGGCTGGAGGGAGCGGCAGCGGTAGAGGCCGAGATGGCCGAGATGGCCGAGATGGTCGAGATAGTCGAGACGGACGAGACGGACGAGACGGGCGAGATGGAAGAGATGGAAAGAAAAACTCAAAGACTGAAGGCGTCAAGCGATCGGCGGCGGAGATTGAGGACTCACTGCTGCGCTCGCGGTACCTTGGCCCAGAAGTCAACCAGCAGTCATCCTTTTCGGCCAAGAAGAAGCGAATGCGAACGACGGAAAAGAAGTTTAACTTTGAGTGGGATGCAGACGAGGACACATCAAGAGACAACGACCCGCTATACATGAGCCAGAGCGTCAACAGAGGCGGCTCCCTGGCTGGCGTTGGTGGCGAGTTCGACAAAGAAGCCGAACAGCGGGCGCGCAAGCGAGCAAAGATGATTGAGCAGCGCGACCTGGAACACGGCAAGGAGAGAGCAATAGGAATCATGGAAGACTTTTACAGGGCTCGCGAAAGGGCAAAGGAGAGGGCTGAGAGGACGGGCCTGGGACGGCACTGGTCGGACAAGGACCTCAACGAGATGCGCGAGCGAGATTGGCGCATCTTCAAGGAAGACTTTGGCATTTCGACTAAGGGAGGCGCCATTCCCAATCCAATGCGCAACTGGGAGGAATCCGGGCTGCCGCGACGGCTGCTTGACATTGTGGACAATGTTGGCTACAAAGAACCCTCTGCTATTCAGCGAGCAGCCATCCCGATTGCCTTGCAGGCCCGTGATCTTATCGGCGTTGCCGTCACAGGTTCCGGTAAAACTGCTGCTTTCTTACTGCCCCTTTTGGTGTACATCTCCGACCTGCCGCCCCTCACAGAGGCCAACAAGAACGATGGCCCGTACGCGCTCATCATCGCGCCAACTCGTGAACTGGTGCAGCAGATTGAGACGGAGGCGAAGAAGTTCGCTGAGCCGCTGGGCTTCAGGTGTGTCAGCATCGTTGGTGGACATTCGTTGGAAGAACAGGCCTTTGCTCTGCGCAATGGTGCTGAGATTATCGTCGCTACGCCCGGTCGTCTCGTCGACTGCATAGAGCGAAGACTTCTTGTCTTGGTGCAGTGCTGCTACATCATCATGGACGAGGCTGATCGAATGATCGACCTTGGTTTCGAGGATTCGGTCAACAAGATCCTCGATGCTCTACCGGTGTCCAACGAGAAGCCGGATACAGACGACGCTGAAAACGCCCAGCTCATGAAGCGTTACGTGGGGGGCAAAGACCGATATCGTCAAACCATGATGTACACGGCCACCATGCCTCCGCTGGTTGAAAAGATTGCCAAAAAGTACCTCCGCCGTCCCGCCATCGTCACCATCGGTAATGCAGGCGAGGCCGTCGACACCATCGAACAGCGCGTGGAGTTTGTTTCCGGCGAGGACCGTCGCAAGAAGCGGCTGCAGGAGATCCTCTCCTCGAACGCCTTTGCGCCCCCCATCATCGTCTTCGTCAACATCAAGCGCAACTGCGACGCTGTCGCTCGCGACATCAAGTCCATGGGATGGTCCGTCGTTACGCTGCACGGATCGAAGACGCAAGAGCAGCGAGAAGCCGCTCTCGCATCCGTCCGCTCAGGCCAGACGCAGGTCCTCGTCGCCACCGATCTTGCCGGTCGTGGTATCGATGTGCCGGACGTCTCGCTCGTCATCAACTTCAACATGGCTACCAATATCGAGAGCTACACGCATCGTATCGGTCGTACTGGTCGTGCTGGAAAGAGTGGTGTGGCTATTACTTTCCTGGGCAACGAGGATGCGGATGTCCTGTATGACCTTAAACAGATCTTGAGCAAGAGCTCCATCTCAAAGGTACCAGACGAGCTCAAGAGACACGAGGCGGCGCAGTCGAGGCCGGTTCGCGGCGGAGCCAGCAAGAAGGATGAGGCTGCTGCTTCTGAAGGAGGAAAAGGAGGCGGCGGCAAAGGAACTTGGTAACTTGATTACGTTGGCCAATTTATATAATGTTTTATGCAAAAAGACGGAGTTTAGGTTCATTACTCAAATCAGATGCCAAAGAGATACTGGCCATCCTTGTTTACTACTTTTTCTACTTTAGAAGAAATCTTGATTCTCTTAGCAACTTTTTTATTTTTGTTTTACTTCTCTGTCGTGTACTCTAGGGATTTTACTCCTTTTCCATCTACATGAGAATGCAACCCTTTAGATCTCAGGCTACTCTTTTTGCATACAGTCTATGCTCTCTACTCCAACTTGAGCTGCTCAAACTGCTTAATCGTCTCCTCCAAGCTGTGCTTCTCCTGCTTGGCATCGGCCAATCTCTTGAGGTCTCCCTCCTGGACGGCCGCCGACACCTTCTCCTTGTATCCAGGATCTGCGAGGAGCTTCTCCTGCTTCTGGATGTTGGTGGTCGTCTTCTCGAGCTTCTTCTGTGCCTTTGTAATCTCGGCATCCATGTCCACTCGGCCCTTGACGTGCAAGAAGACGGAGGCAGCGGTAGAAACGGGGTAAGCAACGCTGCCCAGAGGTCGAGGAGCGTCGGGGCCGACGACCTCCATGGTCTTGACGCTCTTGCCGCTGAGCGACTTGATCGAAGACACTTCGTTCTTGCAAGTCTTGAGAGACTCTGGGTTGTACGCCTGGATGATGACTATTTTGGATGTCATGTTAGATAATGGAGCAGGCCGATTTGTTATAGGAATCTACTTACTCTCAGCATCCTCCTTGATGGCATACTCTGACATGAGCGATCGGGAAGCCTTGGTGCAGTCGAGCACAAGCTCATAAGCGGCCTCTGACGCCGGGTCGTCAAGAACAGCATCGTAGGTAGGGTACTTGGCAACCATGATGGACTTTGTCTCATCGCTGGGTCTTCGGGGCATTCTCTGCCACATCTCCTCGGTGATGAAAGGCATATAAGGGTGGATCATGGTGAGAGCTCCCTCCAGAGCAGTGTACAAAGTCTGGATAGCCGAGTTGCGCTCCTCTTCAGTGCCATCGCGGATAATGGCCTTTGAGTTTTCAATGTATACGTCACAGAGCTCGTTGTACCAGTAACGGTAAACAATGATTGAGGACTTTGAGAACTCTCGGTCGGCAAGGGCGATGTTGATCTCCTTGGCGGCCTGGTTCATCTTGTGGAGAATCCATCTCTCGGCCAGAGTCTTACCAGGAACGGCACCAAGTTTTGAGGGAACAAAGTCCTGGGGCAGACTTCCCAAGACGTACTTGGTTGCTTGGAACTAATGCTGATGTTAGCCGCAAAAGAAAGAAATCAAAAGATGGTGGATTTTTCGTGACATACAATCTTGTTGCAGAATTTTCGGTAGCCGTGGATACTAATGACGATGTCAGCGGTGTCGGGAGGAATCAATGTTGAGATTCGCTTACATCTTGACCTCCAAGTTAATGTCACCACCACCGGTTGTGGCATTGATCATGGTGAAGCGGAGTGCGTCAGCTCCGCACTCAGGAATGCCATCGGGGAAGGCAGTCTTCTGGTACTTGGTGGCCTTCTGGACCTCGCTGGGGTGCAGATTACCCTGAAGAAGCTTCGCGTGCAAATCTTCCAGTTTGATACCGGCAATGACATCGAGCGGGTCAACGACATTACCCAGACTCTTGCTCATTTTCCGGCCCTCTGAATCTCTGACGAGACTGTGGCAGTAGACCTCCTTGAAGGGAACCTGTCCTGTTAGCTTCAAGCTGAGCATGATCATTCTGGCAATCCAGAAGAAGAGAATATCCCAGCCAGTCTCAAGAACGCTCGTAGGGAACAGCTTCTCAAAGTCAAGTGTCTTCTCAGGCCAGCCCAAAGTGCTGAACGGCCACAGACCAGATGAGAACCAGGCTATACTAGTGTTAGTGCCAAAGTAGTAAACAGATGTATGCCGTATATAAACTCACTATCAAGGACATCTTCATCCTGCTCAAGAGTGAAATTCTTGCCAGGGAAAGCCGCCTGGGCTTTCTTCTCTGCTTCCTCTCTGGTTCTTCCGGTAAACCAGAGCTTGTCTTCGGGGATGCCCTCAGAGCCACCATCAATCTTGGCAAAGTATGCAGGGCATCTGTGACCCCACCACAGCTGTCGGCTGATACACCAGTCATTAATGTCCTCCAGCCAGCGGAAATAGCTCTTTTCAGCGCTCTCGGGTTGAATCTTAATCTTGCCATCTCGAACGGCCTGAAGAGCGGGCGCAGCGAGCTCCTTCATTCTAACCCACCACTGGGGCTTCATGATGGGCTCGATGATGTCCTTGGACTTTTCACACAGAGGAACTTTCATGGGGTTGTCCTTCTTGTCCACATACAGCCCCTTCTCCTTCAGAGCATCCTGGATAGAGTATCTGACATCGAAGCGCTTCTGGCCCTTGTATGGCCCAGCATTCTCGTTCATCAGTCCATCGTCAGTGAGAATGTTGATGAATTCCAGCTTGTGCTTCTGGCCAAGTGTGAAATCGTTGGGGTCGTGGGCCGGAGTCAGCTTGACGGCTCCGGTTCCGAATTCCATGTCGACATACTCGTCGGCGATGATGGGCAGCTTGCGACCCGGGATGAATGGGTGGACGGCGTTCTTGCCAATCAGATGCGTGTATCTCGCGTCCTTGGGGTGAACAGCAATACCAGTATCACCCAGCATGGTTTCAATACGGGTAGTGGCAACCTCGACAGTCTCGTCGCTACCCTCGATAGGGTACTTGAAGTGAACAATGACACCGAATTCGACCTTCTTATCGTAACCGGGGACATCGAGGAGCGTCCTTCCAGCGAGCTCCTTGTTCTGGACCTCGAGGTTCGAAAGAGCTGTGTTAAGCTTTGTGCACCAGTTGACAAGCCTGTTGGCACGGTAAATGATGCCCTCCTCGTGAAGCTGAACAAAAGTTTCGACGACGGCCTTTGTCAAGTTGGGATCCATGGTGAAAGCTGCATATTGTTAGCCATAAAGAAACAGAACTCCAAACCCTCGTTTGAATTGATAATACACACCTTCCCGGCTCCAGTCAAAAGAGCTACCCAAGCTAGTCAAAGCCTTGTTGATACGCTTGTGGTAATCCTCCTTCCACTCCCAGACGGTCTCAACGAACTTCTCTCGGCCGAGATCATGTCTGGTCTGCTGTTTCCGTCTCCAGAGCATGTTCTCAACAACACTCTGAGTAGAGATACCGGCATGGTCGCAACCAGGAAGCCACAAAGTAGTCTTGCCTTGCATCCTGTTCCATCGGATCATGAGATCCTGAAGCGAGTCGCCCAGGGCGTGTCCCATGTGCAGGTTACCAGTGACATTGGGAGGCGGGTGGACAATGACGAAGCTACCTTCGTCCTTGACGTTTCCGTCTGCAGTGAACTCGGGCTTGAAAAACCCCTCCTTCTCCCACCAAGTATACCATGCGGACTCGACGGCAATGGGGTTGTATGCCTTGAAGTGAGGGTCGTCGAACGATCGGATGCGCTTCTTCTCTCCAACGGGGGTATCTTCGACGTACTCGGGTAGCGGCTCCTCCTCTACCTTCTCCTTCTTTGCCTTTTTCTCCTTGACGGGAGCAGCGGCGGCGGCAGCAGCCTTTGCCTTTTTCGCTTCGAGTTTGGCGGCCTTTTCAGCCTTCTTGCGCTCCTTCTCCACTGAAAGGATAAGTCAGATAGCAGCTCCTGGGAGATTTAGATTGGACGTGGAGAAATTGGAATTCCTTACACTCCTTTTCAGACTTTACTTTCGCAGGCCCCTCAGGAGCAGGGACAACGCCGGCATCTTGACCAGAAGCGTGCTCTCCAGGAGCAGCAGATTGGGTCGAGTTGGCAATCTCTTGCTTGACCTCGCCGGAGACCTTGGGAGGCGCAGTGTTGGTTTCCTGGATACCCTCAGTCGCCGCGACTATGGACCGCCCCTATTAGTGACAATCTTCAACAGCCTTGTTCTAACAGTAACGTACTGGGATTTCCTCGTCCAGAGTTGGTCGCCATGATTGCACGTGTGGTGGTAAAAGATCTTGCAGGATAAACTGGCCGCACTCGAAGTGCTCGAGCCACGAATCTGAACGTCGTGCTGGATGTTCTTCGGGGAAGCCCTAGAGTGAATTGGCCTCCTCGTCAATCCTAAGCGTCAAAAGTTCACTTTGGAAAAGACCGGCTCTGATTGCGCTATCGGGATCCAGAGTCAAAGTTTCTTGGTCTGAAATTTGAGTCGCTGCCCTTATCAGGTGGGATGTTGAGGGGTGTGGCGGTGCCGCGGGGTTCAGATCGTAATTTGGGTTCCAGTTAGCAATCAAGCCACAATGAGCGCCACATACGCTCTTACATGGGCAAACCGACTTGACTAAGGAATTCCATGTAAACCGACGTTCTTCAGCATCATCATCGTTCCATGAAAACTTCTTCATTTGGGGTTTTTTTTTATAATTCAGTAATGACGCATTCATTATAAAGAATTACTTGAGAATCTGCCTTAAAAGAAATTTAGCCGGCATAAACTTGGCGCATGTTTAGCCTGGCCTCTTGTTTAAAATGATCATCCGGCTATCCCAACAGGCTGCGAGAGGCTTGCTTTCACGGAGAGGCTCATCAATTTTGCGAAGAGCCTATTCAAGCTCCTCTGGTAACAGTCAAACCAGATTTACGTATGCTCTGAAAGCGGATGAGAAGGTAAGAGATGCTTTTAAATCTTGTGGATATCAATTCGTTAATGCTTCTTAGATCAACTATGGAGAGCTCTTTGAGAAACTGAGAAGCAAAAAAACTTTGGAAAATGCCAATGGCCACAACGCCGCAGTTCTTCTTGCAACGCCCAGCTTTGCCAAAGACCTAGAAGATGCAAATTTCATGAGAGATTTTGCCAGACTGATGGCTGGTTCTGCGGATGTGGGGAGATTCCATGTGTTAAGCGCTGTGGTCGACCATCTAGCAGCCCCGATAGGTTCACTGAGGCCTCTCCAGGGAGTGTCAGTCCTACGAGGCCATTTGGATGATATGTTGCCGCACCTGTGGCAACAGAATCCTCCAAAGTCCAAAGATGATACAGATTCAGTGTCTGCTCTCACCTTTAGCCTGGGAGATCCCTCATTAACGCTGCCGCTGGCCAGAACTACATTCCACAACAATAGAGCGTCTACACTTTTGTTATCCGAGTTTGATATGACACACACTCCTCCTCAACTCGCTAGCCAAACAGAAAAGCACTCACAATTTGTGAAAGTCTTACTGGATAATGACCTCAAATCTTTAGCCCACCTCGACACGTGGACGCCCTTGATGCCGTTGACGCAGCCCCGAACAGTGACCGAGAGCTTCGGTAATATCATTCGAGGAATTGAAGTTGACGGAACCACTATTCCCGCGTCGACTGAGCTGGAAGACATTGTAAATGCACTTCATAAACAGAATGCCCAATCTGGAGTTTTATCCGGGCCTGTTGGAGTCTGGGCAATGGTTACTCCCAACCCAGAGACGTCAGGCGCATTGGAAGAATGGCTTGAAGAAGCCCCCGAGCCAATATCGGCCCTGCCAGATGTTGATGATATCAGAGATACTGTAAAAGCCACCGCCCAACATCTCAAACTGCTTTATAGTCATGGCGGCCGTCTGTACAAGATATGTAAGTGTGAAGCTCGCAAAGATAACATGTTTCTCAAGGCAAAATGTGAGCTGATGATATGAATTAGTGAGCGGCGGCGGCGGCTGGGGAGCCAAGAAGGGATTACTATCCCTTGATCCTCAACGAACGCATTTTTCCCTGTCAGAAGAGGAAGAGATGCAGAACTTTATACAGTCAATGAACGGCGGTGGCTTCACTCCTGAGGGCTCACAGATCCAGTTCTTCATGTCAGCACCGGCCCTTCCAGACATTACGGAACCCTTTGTCCCTGGCGTTGCGTTTGGCGTTGCTGGAGATGTTGCAGTTCCCAGAGAGCCTGAGCCAATCGATGGCTTCATCGGACAGCATTTTGGCGCTCTTTCGAACTCGGCTGTCTATCTCTCTGGCCAGGGCCTGCCCGGCGGCAAAGAAACGAAACTCAGTGTCCCACACTCACGAGTATATGGGAGGGAGCCCGAAGGGGAGATGGGTGTTTGGGGAAACTTGACGTATGAGTTGGCGGATGTTGGAACAATTGTGTTGGCAGGATTGAAGCACTAACAAGGCCATTCTATTTAATAGCTGTATATATCACCTATCATCATCAACTATATACTATCCAAATAATCGCAACTGTCTACTCTGTCTTCTTCTTCTTCATCTCCAGTCCCTCCGCCATCACCGTTGCAACATCATCCAAGCTAGTCCCTCTCTTCCTCTTCCCAATCTTCTCCTGCCCAAGAACCCCATCTTCGGCAACCGCCTTGTAAACCCCAGCAATGCCCTCAAACACCGTCCTATCCCAACCGCCCTCCTCATGGAAGGTCTTGGAAATCTCCTCCATCTCCCTCACCCATCGATAGGCCTTTGGCGGCATCCCCGGCACGCCCTTTTCCGCTCTGGTTAGCATCGCAGGCACCATCTGGTTGAGCTCCAACTTTAACTCATCCACCACACCAAGCCGATGCGCTGTCGTAAAAGACTGCGTCACCAACGCTGTGAATCCCTTTGTGATGGACGCAAAACACATCTTGAGACCGCTCGCCGCACCAATCTCCTCCGAAATGGATCGCAGCTGCAGCACAGACGCGAGCTTCTCACCGTCCGGCAACGACGCCAACGAATGAGGCCCCGAAATGGGAATACTCGGCTGATCCCACACAGATTCTTCGCCCTCTTGGCTGGGCCTCTTGAGACTTGGGGGTCCGCCCAGGATGCAGGCGTCGATGAACTTGACAGGCACCCTCGCTTTTTCAAAGAGCGCCACGATGCTCTTACACGTTGATGGGGCAACGGCATTCAGATCGACATAGTAAAGCGTCTCTTTCCTCGAACCACCCGACGAGGCATCAACAATTCGCTGAGCCGTGGCCTCGGCATCGCGAGGTGGGACGACTGAGAAGATGACATTACACTGCTGGACGAGCTCTAAATCAGACGAGAGAAGCTCGACACCGGCATTGCGGGCTCTCTCAAGTGTGTCTTCACTAGAGACGAGCTTTTAGTTTACAAGTTCTATGTAGATTTGGTTTAGGTTCCTCAGTATTCCTACTTACCTTCGTCCTTGACCGTTCGTAGAGACGGGGAAGCCATGCGCAATTAAGAGCCTGGCGATGCCAGCGCCCATATCACCCAACGACAAAATGCCGACTTTTGTTGGCACACTGTTACTCGCCATTTTGATAGGTGATATCTATGCGGTAGATGTTTTTTATTGAGAGAGGAGGGGTAGATAAGAGCGATGTGCCTACTAAATTGCAATTTATGAGTTGCAGCAATGGCGTATTAAAGATCTTAGCTGACGAAATAGTGTACACCAAGTTATATCCGGGCCGCGATATCATCTGGTTGATATGGCGCTTGTCAATGGTGGATCTGCCCGGCTAATGGCTATGAATACCCAGTGAGACTCCAAACAGCTAAGTTGAAGGGTATCCTTGCTATGGACCCTGCATATCAAGATAATAGTTGTCGTCATTGTCGAGTGCGAGGCATCGCTAACCCATATCTCTCAGAAATACGCCCATCTCTTTGATACGCTTAAATGCGGCCTGGGTCTACGAACTTGGGAAGTCACAGTCAATGGTGAAGCAACATGTCATAACTTGACCCGAAAAGCAAAACATTCGTAATGACAACACACCCTGCTTAATTATATATATGCACCGTCCTCCCATGCTTCAGATGGCATTTTCTGTAAAACGAGTCCAATACTCCAATACCCTCATAAAACATATTCCCCTTTACCAAAACAGAATGATCCAGGTTACTCAATCATGTCAATGTCATCAGCGTTAGCGGGTGCAGCAGCCTCTCCGCTGGGTGCAGCAGCAGCTTCCGCAGCAGGCTCCGGGGCACCGCCGTTGGCGTTGAAGTAGTCCTCCATCTCGGCGTCCAGTTCCTCCTGGGTCTTCTTGAGTCGCGGTGTGTTTGTTCGTGCAGCACGGTCACTTCCTCCGTTTCCTCCGTTTCCTCGGCCTCCCCGGCCGCCACGAGCAGCATCCTGATCCCTTCCACCACCCTCTCGTCGGGCACCAGGGCGGCGCCCTCCACCTCCACCTCCACCTCCACGGCGAGGCGGCATGGGGCTTCGGGAGCGACCTCCGCCTGGAACATATCGATCAATGCCCCTGCGAGCGGCATCTTCTTCATCGTATCGGCGAGGGGAGAGTGATCGAGATCTGCCACCAGGAGCAGAAATGCGTTCGGACAAAGGCTTGCCTGGCATCACAGCAGTATCAAACGGGTTTCGAGAAGGCCCACTTGACATGATGCTCAAACGAATTGGCTGGCCTATACAATCTTGTCAGTAACAAAAAACTAGACAGCGAGTTCGTTTAGAGAGACGTACCGTTCGCATTGGCACCATCGAATTGTCTCACAGCCTCTGCGGCATCGTCTTTGCTTTCATACGTTACGAAAGCTACGCCTTCGGACCGTCCAGACCGATCATAACGCAGTTGCAGCTTTGTGATGGGGCCAATTCTTCGGAAAAGTTCCTGTCGTCATGTCAGCTGTGGCTTCAGGGTGTCTTTCATCCCCAAAGTGACATACATCGAGATCCTCCTCGGTGAGATCGTAGTGGATATTTTCGACTCGGAGTCGTGCGCCGCGGGCATCTCCCCTATCAAAGAGAGTTAGCAAAAAGGGGAGACTTTGAAGCATGTATTTTCTGCTTTATGAGTAGGCTTACCCGCTGGGAGACTCGCGCCTGCGACGCGGTGCAGGGCCTCTGTTTCGATACGCTGGAAATTATGAGTTGGGTTCAATGGAGAGGAATTGGTTTAATAGAGGCAGGATGTGACTATACTGTTCTCTTCGTATCGATCATGTACCCATTCGCTGCACCAATGCCATCAGTATGTATTCGGTTGTTTGTAATATATGGCTTCTCAGGACCAACCTATCCAAGTTTCGAGGCTCGTTACGGAGAGACTGCGCGGTCGACCAAAGAGCTGGTTAGCGAGGAAATCATAGCGTAAGATCCAGTCACGGATCGGCAAAAAACTCCGAAAAATCGATTGACCGAAGGAGTGCGCAGAGCAATTGACGAAGTCGAGTGCCAGACGATTCAGAGGAAGGAGAGGAAGGGCTCAGTTTCAACCTTTGACCGAGTGGCGAGTCAGCCTCGCGTACCAGCTGGAAGCCTGCAAAGGGGACGACAACACGTACCTTTTTCACCCCGTCACGGGGATAGTCTTGACGGTCACGACGGCGGTCGCCACCGCGTCGGGTTCGAGATCCATTGCTGCGCTGATGAACGAGTTAGCCATGGTCTTGCGACTTTGGGGGAAGACGAGGCTGGCGGTATAGAAATGGGATGCGTGCACCAACCTTGTCTGCAATGATTTCGTCGAGGCCGCGGTCCATCTTATCAGAAGCCATTGCGAAGATGGAGGTAAGAGATGCTGCAGATAGATGTATACTCGCGCGGCTCTGGCCTAAGGACTCAACAGTAGAGGATGCTTGGGAGAAAAGAAACGTTTTGAGTCGTGACAACTGAAGGCGGAATTGTACCTGCTAGAAATGCACCGACGACTACTAGCGATGGAAGCCGGGAGCGGTACCACTCAGGCACATGCGCAGAGCAGGGGGGTTTCGGAGTGCCCAGTGCACTCTTAGTCTGTCGCTACAGGTATTACTACAGGCGTTGGGGGACTGGATGGATCTTTTTTTGGCTCCCATCTACTTTTGTCAGGCACACACCGCATTGACCATTTACGACATTGAAGCGATTCACTCCATTCTTGGGGATAATTTTCAGATTGATCCAGAGCAGAGAGTTGCATTGACTTTTGGCAGTACCGCCTTGAGTACATGCAAATGGTCAGAACTGTCCGTAGTATGCGCTGGTGTTATCAATTGATCCATCGAGAAATTTTATACCTACGATAGGCCTAGCCTGACATAATCGGAGACCCCTGATTTAGAGGCAATTGCTCGTATTTTTGACTCTGTCCTTTTCCCCAAGTACCACTTGGTACTAGCGAGGGCGTACAGTACCAGAGCACGAGCAGTTTGCTCTGCCTTCTTTCGCAACTCCTGCACAGACGACCAATCCTCAACGTCCATGCCCTGACGCTCGTTTTTGCTGGACGCATCAGTGTCTTTTTCTTCTTCTTCTCATCTATCCCTCCTATACAAGCGCCGCGCTGCCCTCCGGTCGAATTGATCGCGATAACGAAACGAAACCAAGCCTCTACATCATCACCACCGCCCGCCAAAATCAGGCTCCATGGCTCGTCCCATGGGGTCAGTCCGCCTCAAGAAGGCCAATTCCTCGACGTTGATCCTGGGAGCGGTGCTTTGCATTTTCATCATCATCTTCCTCGTCTCGCCCTCGAGCCCCGCCTCCACCGGCCGCCTGTCTACCATCGTCTCGGCCCAGCATCACCTATCGCCCCCTACCTCGCCGTACCAGAGCCCGCGGTCAGGTGCTGTCCAAGGCCCTCCGCCGGTTACGCGATACAATCTCAACAAGGTCACAGTCACGTCCGATCCCGTTAGGAACCAGGAGCACATCCTGATCCTGACGCCTATGGCCAGGTTCTACCAACAATACTGGGACAATCTCTTGCACCTCAGCTACCCCCATGAGCTGATTACTCTGGGCTTCATCCTGCCCAAGACCAAAGAGGGAAACCAGGCGACATCCCTTCTGCAGCAGCAGATCCAAAAGACGCAGCATGGCCCAGAGAAGGACCGCTTCAAAAGCATCATCATCCTGCGCCAAGACTTTGACCCTGCCGTGGCGTCCCAGGACGAAAGCGAGCGCCACAAGCTGGGCAACCAAAAGGCCCGCCGTGAGGTCATGGCCAAGGCACGCAACTCGCTACTCTTCACGACACTGGGCCCGTCCACCTCATGGGTGCTGTGGCTCGACGCCGACATCGTCGAGACTGAGCCCACGCTGATCCAAGATCTTGCGGCCTTCGACAAGCCCATCATCGTTGCCAACTGCTTCCAGAAATACTACGACCCCGAGACCAAGAAAATGGCTGAGCGGCCGTACGACTTCAACAGCTGGCAGGACAGCGAGAATGCGCTGAAGATGGCGGAGCAGATGGGGCCGGATGACATCCTGCTCGAGGGCTACGCTGAACTCGCAACCTACAGAACTCTTCTTGCGTACATGAGCACTCCCGGTGGCAAGCAGGACCTGGTGGTGCCCCTCGACGGAGTTGGCGGCACCGCATTGCTGGTCAAGGCTGACGTGCACCGTGACGGAGCCATGTTCCCTGCCTTTTCTTTCTACCACCTGATTGAGAGCGAGGGTTTCGCCAAGATGGCCAAGCGATTAGGATGGCAACCGTATGGGCTTCCCAACTACAAAGTAAGCCACCAACCTCTTTATTTCAAGTTTCAAGCACGTCTTATCTGACATTAACGTCTCTAGGTCTACCATTATAATGAGTAAATTAGCATTTACATCCAATTTTTTTCTCATTTGGCAGTTCTCTCCTGTCGTTTTATTTCATTACGGTTACGGCTGTTGGGCTTAGCGTCGATGGCATTGGAGGCGGGTCGTAAGAAGAGGTGTAAGGGATCAAATGCCCACGTTGCATGATACATTCTTCTCTCTTCACAACTCTTTGGAATCGATTTTTTCAAAACAAAAATGATGCTCGGGGTGTCTTGGGTAGGAAGTCAGGGCAGGGTCAGGCACGGCGCGGCGCGACGCGGGCGTTTTCTCGTTGAAAGCATCTAACCTCTCAACCTCTGGCATGTTGAAATTTATATAGAAAAAATCCCCCTTCCCCCTTTCTTTTATATATCTTTTTCAGTCACTACTGTCGGATCGCAGGCATCAGCAGGGAGGAGGGGAAACAGACAAACCCAAAAAAAGGGGGAGGAGGAGGAGGAGGAGGCCATTTTTCAGTCTTTTTTTCAGCCACACCCTTGCCTGGTCTCTTGTCATGGTGGATGGTCTGGAACTGCTGATTTTGTCGAAAAAAGGGGAGAGGAGGTAATCAATGTTGTTTCTCAGGGGATGCTCGATGCGTTACTTTATCATATTGTCTTTTTAGTTTATGTTACTCGGGAAGGGGGTGGGCGGCAGTACAGTAGAGCCATGTTTTTACGCGAGTTGGAATAGAATCAATCAATGAATGCAATGCGCAAAAGACGTATTTTCTTTCTTTCAGCATTTTGCATTGTCCATGAAGCTCGATCCACAGCCAAGTCCCTTTGTAACCTCCGTGCTCGTAGCATTTCGTCCAGCCCATCCCTAGATATCCAAACCATTCAATATCACCACCTACCCATGTCTTCTAACAATTACAACGTTCGTACATATAAATCATCAAATATCCGAATCCAAAAATAAAACCAAGTCTTCCCGCACCCCCTTACGGGCCATCATATCTCCCCTCCGGCTCCGAGCACCAATATTGCACCAGCTTTCGCGTACCCAAAACATCGCCTCCTCTAAGCAGCGCCGCGACATCAACGTTGAGCGGGCTGTCCGTCTCGGGATAGCTCAGCAGCATGCGCACGGCGCGCACGCACTGCAGCACGCTGTACGTCGGCGTCCACTTGTCCTTGAGCAGGTCGAGGCAGATCTCGCCCGACTGAAGCGCAATGTTGGGGTGCACAATGGTCGTCACGAAGCGCATCTTGGGCGGCTGCAAGGGATACTGCGCGGGGATTTGGATGTGTATGAGCCAGCGGCCCTCTATTCCAATCAAAACGAATTAGCAAAAAGAATAGGAGAAAAAAAAAAAAAAGAAATAACAAGGAAGAAGGGCATCGAGGAAAACACAGGGACTCACCATCGTAGCCCGATCCAATCTCCCTTCCGTTGATGACGGCCTCCCATTCGAATAAATCGTCCTCATTGATCGGGCCCAGCCTCTCCACGCCCTTTTCGTCCTTGCGCTCCTTGCGCCAGCTCTCAAGCTCCTTGATGAGTCGCTTCGCTCCGCTTCTTGCGCTCATTGTAAATGTTGCGTCGCTGTGCTTGTCGCTACGTTTGGTGGTGTGAGTATAGACAAAAGGGGGTATCGCGTAGTGCTGGAAGAGTATCGCTTCGCTGTAGATGCAAAATAAAAATGGACGCGAACGAGAAACGCTCCTATGTAAAATACTATTAGGTATTACGGATATGGAAATGGAAACAATAACAAATAACAAGCTGCGAGGCTGGAGCTGGAGCTGATGGCAGGGATACGATGTCACCCGCAGCCGCGGTACAGTGTTAGTCATCAAGCCGAGGGTGGGTATGGCGGGAAATCTCCCGTTTCAGCTGCTTTTAGAGGCCGCTCATTTGTTTACTCTGTGCTTTATAGATAGGGATCATAAAAGGGTACTGCTATTCTAGTACGGGATAGAGCCAGGATTTGATTGTTCCATTGTAGTAACAAGAAAGGAGGATGAATCAATGGACAAATAGGTAGCATGATAATCGCTTGTAATCTTCATGTGCCGGCAACATTCGCACGTATGGTAATGGGTATCCTGACACAAGTATATATTCATCATAATAATGCGAGCCTATTAAATCAAACTTTTCGCAGGCGGAAACAACCAGACCGAATCAACGCGCCTCGCCCTCTCTCCTCTTCCTTCGCACTCCCGTAGAAGTCCCTGATCCCGTAGTCGTCCTGCTCGATGTGGTCCTCCTGGTTGGCGCCGGCTCAATCCTCTTTCTTGTTGTTGAACGCGTGCGAGACGAGGCTTTTTCACGCCCAGGAGGAGACTCGGGTTCCACCTCGACCACTATCTCTTCTCTACCCTTGACAATTTGACTCGGGCTCTCGTCCGCCAGAGCTAGCTCTTCGCTGGTCTCCTCGGAACTTTGCCGCCTTGACGATCCTTGCTGGCTCCAGCCAGAGGTTGACCCGGGTCTGCCACGGCGTGACATGGAACTCAGGTCAGACTGACCAGAGCCATGGCGCTTGGGAGCATGTGAAGCACGAGGCCCAGCTGTTTGATACTGGAAGGGGTCTTTTGATACGTCCTCATGGATGCTGGATGGTCGAGATGTAGAAATGCCAGACTTTGGCCGAGGGCGCGAGCTGGAGGGAGGGGGAAAGTAACCCATCTGAGGAGAGGCCTCGTCTTCTTCAAGTGCGTCGCTCCCGGAAGGCTGTCTTGACAGGGAGCCGGAGCCGGAAGCTTGGCGTGAAACTGACAGTCGAGCCATTGACTCAAACTGAGCAAGCGGTATAGCCACACGTTCCTGACGCCGCCTGCGGTTTCTTCGCTCCTCCTCCTCCATGCGCCGCTGCCTCCGCTCGAGGGCCGCAACCTCTTCCTTGCTCAGTCGTACGTCAGTCCGGCCCTTGGCTTGGGCCTTTTCGATCCGATAGAGCGCCTTTTGCACCAAAGCCTCTTCCTTGTCATCCTCGTCTTGCTCGCCATCATCCGAGTAGTCCTCGTCGTAGCTATCACCAGATGAACTACCCTCTTCGTCTTCCGTGTCATACCGCCGGTGCTTGCGGCGTACCATGCCATTTTCTCTATTCCCTTCCATACCATCATCGTCCGACACCAACTCTTCAACCCTGCCTCCGTATTGCGCAGCATCCCCACTTGTTTCCCTCCGCCCGCGCCGCGATGGTCTTCCCCATTGGGGCGCAAATTTGGGAGCTCGCGGCCGACCATTTAGACCGCCTCCCCGGAAAAAGCCTCATCGATAGGCTTGTCCATGAAACTTGCGTGACCCTAGATCCAATTAGCATGTCGGGGTCGCTAAATAAGGTTCTCGTATTGTCACTTACAAGAATACTTGCGCCGCTAGCTCCAATGAGCCACAGCAAGGTTGAGAATGGAGAGGCAATGAGACCAATGGGAATGCTGACAACCAGCAATCCAGTCCAAAGCTGGGAAGTAGTCGCCTTGAAGGTTCCAATCTCGAGGTCTCGGCCGTCGAGCTTGCTGATCAAAAACATGCCTCCAATCACAAAGATGATGTCGAAGAGCAGAAGCCAGTTGGTCAGCAGAGCGTAGATGCTGAGCATGAGGAAGAGGACGGCATAGTTGCTCGAGAAGTGGCCCAGGTTGTAGTTGACGCGGGACTGCACCTCAGCAAAGTTGGCCGGCTTGGACAGGCGCTTGAAGTCGAAGAACTCGGAGATTGGGCGCAGATTGGAGAAGCGGCCGCTCAGAGGTCCCGCGCGGAGGCCCTGGAAGCGCTCTCCAAGGTTGAGGCGGGACGTGATGAGATCGAGGGGAATCTGGATGCGAGACATGTTGGATGGATGTTTGCTGTTCTTGTCCTTGTCTAGACACCGAAATTGTCTGTATATATAATCTGCGCGTGGGTGCGAGGAGCGATCAGGCAACAGCAACTGTTGATGCCACGGTAATCCGATATTTGATGATGCAAGGAGCTTGGATATGCGGCTAGAGAAAAGAGGACCCCAGTTAGCGAACGGTACTTGGTAATATCGCAAGGCTTGCGTGGCCGGGTACCGAATCCAAAAGACGGTTGCGTCAAGGCGGTGATGCCGCTATCAATTGAATTGCAGAAGCCTAGATCCCCGTGCTAAAGAAGAACAGTAAATACATACCAGAGCTGAAAGGCGCAGGTCCCTTGAAGCTGGTCGAGAACGCGGCTGGTGTATGTTTCCTTTTGGTTTAAAAGGAGTAAAAAAATGTCGATCTCTAGTATTTTTTTTTTAGAGTTCGGAGGTTCCTGAATGCCAGGGGGTGCGAATACGTGGCAAATGGAAGCCAGAGATACGAGTGCTAGTACGTACTGCCTCAGCCACCCAAAATATCTGTTTTGGGCAAAGCCGGGCTATTCTAGGAATCACATGTGAGTTAGAGCCGCACTCTGAAGGAGCCATTGAGGTCAAGACAGAAGAGAGGAAGAATGTGTCCAAAGGGATTCCAATGCGCCTGAATCCAATTCTTTTTTAGGGCTTTCAGGCTTCATTTTGTTTTTTCGAGTCACCGACCAGCAAGACAAGACGCGAGATTCAGTCATTACGGCACAAAGTCGCATGTACGTACCTAGAGTGTCCCCGCAACCCCTCCTCAGGAAGCGCAGACCGCCACCTGATGGATTCGTCGTCTTCTATTTTCCTCCTCAGGCTGAGAAAGGAAAGACGAAGAAGAGGAATGGAGAAGACAAAAAGAAAGAAGAGAAAGGAAGGGGAAGAGAGAGAAAAAGAAGAGAAGAAAAAGAGGAGGGGAGAAGCGACGTGACAGAATGGATCCGTGGGCAATCGGGCAGCTACAGGCTACAGACCGGACTCTTACCAGCAAATGTTACATGTACTGCACTGCTACACTCTTATCCACCCCGGTGCAGCAACAGGTCACCGCTCTCTGGCTCCCGGTCAGCGAATGGGGTTGCAGACCAGCGGTCTCGCAGAAGAGACTAAAAGCAGGCCATGTCTTATATTGTTTAGCACTTGAACCTGTAAGATGGTGTTGTAATGGCAACATATCCGGGGGCCTACCTACCTGTAGTGCTCTAGTAGCAAGATCTCGGGTACCACTAGGATATTTCTAGCGCCTCTAGTTCTTGATCCGACTTCTGCGACAATGCGGTGAACACCGGTTACCTCGTATGCTAAACTAGTAGATCTTGATGAATTTTTCTTTCTAGATGATTCTTCTATCCCCGAGTATCCGAACGTCGAGGTTTGAGACGCAATGCCCCATCACGCATGTCTGTCTGATGCGAACGAGCCCACATGCCATGAATGCAATGGTGGGAGCATGAACCCAGCTTGGGCACCCATTAAAGCATGAGTACCTAATGAAGAGCATGCAATCCTCATTTGTCTGCTGCACTCTTAGATTGCAGTAGCAATGCTTTTATATAGGATACTGACGCACCTGGTCACATTGGATATGGTGTCAGAGAGCTTGCTTCCCTATGAAACTGGTGTATCCTCTGCACGGACCTTTTCGTCCATCCACGCATATTGCCTCTCGTGGCCCAACGGAAGGAACGATTCGGCCCAGCAGATGACTGTGACGTCTTCCTCCCTTCTGCCACACGCTCTCGTAGATTTGTACCTGTGTGTAGTAGAGACTTCTGAACAGCTTCAATTACACCTCAGAGGAGGATCATCGACTAGCCCTCCAAGTACCCAGTACGAACCTGAGCAGGTAGCCATCCTCATCACGTAGCATCAGCATAAAGTCGCCGAAAGCAAGCAAGAATACACTCCCTGTCGCTCCAACTCTAACCTCCACACCCAAACCGACACACAGACCCCCTTTCTAAAACATCAGGATACAGGAACCAGATGCATGGTTGGGACCGTACCGTGACGGCCACCATGAGGATCTGCCTAGAGACGCACCGCCGCAGTCTGTATCGTTATTAAGATCCCTTAAAAACACTCTTGCTTTCTCGGGGCCGATATGAAGATCAAGTGTTTCGGCTAGTATTATACACTGCGCATATTATTCATAGATACACAAAGTAGAAAAAAAAGGCGTGGACCCAACGCACAACCAGTTGATGCTCTCACTATGCCAGACCTGCCGTTCAAAGATGGGGTATATCGCAAACAAAAAGAAACAAAAAGCGACTGAGATGAACAAAGAAGAAAAGAACATCGTTAAAAGAGAGAGCTGAACAGATTAGACCTCATAAAAGTAGTCCTCATCGAGCCCCTCTCGGCTTGGCACGATCCCACCTCCAACAGGGGCTTCATCCATCCTCACGTTGAGTAGCCGAATCTTCAGTCCATATCCGCCCACCAGATTGACCAGTTTGCTCGTCTCGGCCGTGATTGGAGCCTGATTCAGTATCATCAACATGCCATCCAGCCACTCCGAGGCCACGCTATGGCTGGTGGGCCAGAGAGCCAAGATTGGTTGTTCCTTTGCATCCGCATTGCCAGTCACAGCATCGGCAGGGTTTACGAAGCTGTAGATGGTAATCTTGGTTGTCGACTTCTCTCCACCGCTGGTGATGTTTTGGATGGTCGCCCCGCTAGCCGTTGTCTTGGAGTCGTCGGTAGACGCAGAGACATTGGATACGACAGAGCTTATAGTGGTGAGATCAATCTTCTCCTGCAGGCTATTTAGGCCAGGATCTTGCGCCATCTGCTTCTCAAAATCGGTGTAGTGCAAATATCGGCGGTTATGCGACAGCTTGGCGAACCTCCACGGCTTCTTCTCTCCTGTCTCATCCCTCTGCGAAGCAGGGCGATGGAACCAAGCACCCTGGAGCAGGCACCGAACCCTCTGCTCCTTGACAAACTGCAGGGCCTCCTGCTTCAAGACATCTCGCACTTGGTAGAGATGCTTGCCCCACGTTTCCTCAAATGACATCTCAAGCAGCTCCATCTGGAGCTCCCGCAGTCTAGCTATGTCGTATTCTTGTAACTCGTCCTCCACTTCCATAACATCGCTCGTCCGGGGAGATTGGCCAGCAACCCGCTCTATCAGGATACGCACCAGCTCTGCCACCTTTTCAAAGTCTTCCAGTACGGCACCAGTAGCTTTCCAGACACGAAAGAAGGCATGCAGCCCGGCAATATGTAGTCGGGGCCACTGCAGCAGTAGTGGTCGAAACACCCTGTCATAGTCCTTGGTATCGACTCCCTGGTATCCCTTCATGTCCTCCATATCAGCCTTGTCCACGTCAAAATGCTCATAGAGCATCATCGTCACGGCCAAGCTCGCACGGGCAATTGGACAGCGCTCATGCAATGGCTTTGTGGCCTGTTCCAACAGCAGCTTTTGAAATCGGTCCTCATTCTTGCGCACGTAGTCGGTCAGATCCATCATGCCGAGATATCCAGTCACGTCAAAGTCTTGGGCAGGGCTCTCCGTCTCGAAACCCAATCTCCTCCATTTCTCTGGGTTGTGCTTCCTCCCATCCTTCCTGGTCGCCGTCGTGTCTCCTGATCCCTCTCTGACATGGCCATTTGCAGTAGATCGGTCCGGTGCACTCGATAGATGAAGACTCTTGAGCGACCGCCTGTGTTCTGGTCGTTCTAGATCCACCCTGACGTCCCTCCACTTTCTGAGCACGACTTTGTTCAAGTTCTGAAACTCTAGTGCAGGGTGTGCGAGATCTTGAAGACCGGAGCCTTGCATCAGCTTGTAAACCGCTTTGATCAAGCCCAGGTCTTGCAACCGCTTCATGAGCTTGGGCCACTCTTCGCCAGCACCCTTTCCATTCCCGCTTGCCATGACGCTCTTAGTCGACAAGGCATCTCGAATCAGGGCGTTGACCAGCATAAGGGCGTTCGCACAAAGGGCATGGTCGGCACTATTGAGCTGCTGCACAACAACGTCGAAAAACTGCGGGTACACGGCCACGGCCGGCTTCAGCGCCCGAAACCCAAAGGCTCCGTGATCTTGAGTCGGCGACTCGGGGCTGCTCGACTGAGAATGTCCGACAAGGGCAACTAGAATCGACATTGCGCCCCTAAGGATGTTAACCAGGGGATTCGTCACAATCAGTTCCACAATGCGCTCCACCAACTCGCTCGCGGTCGGTCCTTCGAAAATGTCCCAGCCCATGTCGACCTCGAGCAGCCTCGTCAGGCTCTGGAGCGAGTAGGCAAGAGTGTTGCCGCCGGAGCCCATGATGAGGCGCCGCAGGATGACGAGACCGCCAGAGGAGATGAAGACGTCGGCGAAGGCGGGATCGTTGATGGACGACTGGAGCTTGAAGACGGCCATCTTACGGGCCGCATCTTCGGGGCTCGCCAAGCGAGAGAGCAGCGCGGGGATGTCTGCTTGATCCATGGTGCCGATTTCGTGAGGATATCTGAGAGAAGAAGAGAGAGGATTAGATTCACCAAACGCACGTGTCTTGGTGATGGTGCGTTGATGATAAAGTCATTGCTCTGTCTGGGAAACAAGGGCGGAACTGGGCAAGAATCAAACGATTGGGACAGCGATTCGTGTACGGTGATTTCGTATGGTGAAGAGTCGAGTCTCCAGTGTCAGGGGATGATTAAAGGCATCGCCCAATTGAGTATAGCACCGTGATAGCTTTCTGCAGGTCCCCAGGTTAGTGCCAATTTCAGGTAGGCGCGTCGGGGCGCGTTTCTGCAGCCCTTCCAAAAGAGTCTCGACTAAAGATTCAGGGCTACACTCTTCCATGCTCCATACCTTATATTACTAGTCTACAGGACTCAACCTGGATATAAGCATCAAATTTGCAGATACAATGGACATGCGAATGTATGTCAAAGCAAGTTTGAAATATTGAATCCTATCTTGAATTATGCTACATCAGATACAAAGCTGTTTGAGGACCTCTCACGGAAGGTTTACGGACTAGACTAGGTACGTTGTTACCGAAGTGTCTAGCGGCTGAGAACGCAGCATTCAAGGGTGTGAACCACATCATCTTAACGTCGCGTGGAGACTGAGTTGACTGCCTCAATGTTCTCAGGTACTCTACATGTAGGTATGCGAAACATTTCGTTCACTCATCATCACCATCCTCCTCGTACTCAGGCTCTCGCCCAGGGAGGTTTCCTTCCGGAATTGCCCTGAAACTGTGATCAGGATCATGTGTGGTCTTTGCTGTCCAATAACACTTGAAGCAGAAGTTGAACTTGACACAACTCTCACATTGCCACCGCACCCCGATTATAGGCTACAACATGTGTCAGTATAAATCTGCTAATCGGTGCGTCTAACTTACAGAGAGGAAGCAGCCATCGCAGTATATACCCCGGTGCACCTGGCCAATCTTCCAGCGTGAGTAGCGGGACTTGATTTTCCCCTCTAACTAGCAGAGCGCAATCCTGCGAGATGCCAAAATAGGCTTCTTCGCTCTCAGCTATAACAAGAGCCTGGAAAGATGTGAGAGATCAACAAAATCCGTCTCCAGCAAGTGAAAATGAAACAAATCACCTGTTTCACGATAGCTCCGCCAAGATCACGCGTTATGAAGGCTATCGGGGTTCTTTGATTCTGCGACATACGTCAACGTTAACGTGTGCCCAATTATGACCTACTATGAGAATTGTCTGACCTTTTCCTTCTCGGATCTTTTGAGCGATAGTTCCTTTAGGAGCACTTCAGAAATTCGAATTAATCTGTTAGTCAAAAGCTAATCAACGCCGTCATTCAATTTGGAATTGAACACCATAACGCGAGCATTGATTTGCATATAGAGATCTTTAAGAGCGGTGTTCTCTTTCTTCTCATTAGTGGTGTCGGTCATCCAAGGTTCACACAGATCTTGTCCCATTCCATCCACTATGACGATGCTACTCCATCTGATTAGATATCGAGAGGCATTTTGGCAAGATATGTAGTAAATGCTGTTCTTACTCAATGTCGGGATAGTCTTTAGCTCCGTGAATGACCTCCAGCCCCCCGGTATGATCCGTAGGCTTATTGTCGCTCGGCATACTGATATTCGGGCCGCATCAGGAATATAATATGTTCTGACAGATGTCACTTAGAATGATCCTTCAAAATTTTAGTGTATGTTAAAGTGAAAGGATAGGGTTGCGAATTTCCGCCGCTCTTGAAAGCCCAGGGGAGGAGGGCCGTGCGGGAAGATACATTCCGCCCGGCGCAATCGAGACGTGTGCAGGACAAAGAGATGTGTAGGACAAAGGTATGTTATTTACATGTAATTACTCTGTATAAAAGATTAAGATGAAGTTTGTGGAGTGTAGTTATTATATGTCTTGCTGGCTGAGATGTGGTCGTACCGAATCCTGGCCCACCCCACGAGGAGGAGTAAGGCAGGTGGCCGAGCAGTTAGGTATCTATATTTCTCTTTTTCTCTCTTCTGTGTGATTTCCATTGGCTCGATTGTGACGTTCAATTTCGCGCAACCAAATACTCGCGAATATGAGTTTCACTGCTTCTGAATATACAATGGTTTCGACAGGAGATGCTGATAGCATTGTCCAGAGCCTCACTACTTAGGACACGACAATCAACGGAACGCACTTAACCTCGGCGGAGGCGTTAAAAAAGTTATTCTCGTCGCAATTGATACCCAACAACGAAAAAGAATTCCTAGAAATCTCTGGCACTGAGGATGACTACATGAATTCCAGTGACGACCAATTTGAAGTTTTTTCCCTGCACAAGACTCTGGTAACCAAATTTCAAGAAATTGTCAAGAATACTAGAATGGACAAAGAAAGATGAAATCAAAGAAATCACCCCACATCATTCACCTGGTGATTCCGATGAGGAGCCTTACAGGACACAAATAGAGATAGGTGTCTTCACGCTGGCAAACTCGTCGTCTGCAAGTTCAATTTCTGAAGATGATGGATGGGGTTGAGGATCGGGCTACATCTCTCAGAATAGAGGAGAAATAACAGAGGCTCAAAGACTTGGAAGAAGAGCTGCTGTTGGTGATACATGAGACAAAACTGGTAATTCAGCAGGTCATACAGGTTGATGAATACAATACCTAAGCTATAAGCCAATCAGGATCCAGTTGTCCAGGTTTCAGATCCAGGAACAAATCACAACTCCACAGCGCTTAAGTCAACTCCATCCTTTGACCGTTTCCAGGTGGATCGAAGCAGTTCCACTCAATTAATCAGCCACACACGTGACTCAGCCTCGTCTATGATTGTGGCGCTCTCATAGCTCCTAAGCCATATTGATTCTTTCCAATCCTCCCATCAAAGCAAATCTCCCGATTGATATCATCCACCAAAAAAAGTCATACATCATCACAGCCTCGTCACATTTTCTCCATTCCACACAATAATCCACAATGGCCAATTTCCTCGCCTCCATCTTCGGCACCGAGCTCGACAAGGTCAACTGCTCCTTCTACTTCAAAATCGGCGCCTGTCGCCACGGCGATCGCTGCTCGCGAAAACACGTCAAGCCCTCGTACAGCCAGACCATCCTCATGCCGAACCTGTACCAGAACCCCGCCTACGACCCCAAGAACAGGATGAACCCTTCGCAGCTGCAGAATCACTTTGACGCCTTTTACGAGGACATCTGGTGCGAGCTCTGCAAGTACGGCGAGCTGGAGGAACTCGTCGTCTGCGACAACAACAATGATCGTATGTTTTCTCTTTTCCCCCAACCCTTCTTCCATTCTATATGACCCTCCTCCCATTGCTAACATCTCTCTCTCTACAAGACCTCATTGGAAACGTATACGCCCGCTTCAAATACGAAGACTCCGCCTCCGCCGCCTGCGAACAGCTAAACAGCCGCTGGTACGCCGCGCGCCCCATATACTGCGAACTCAGCCCCGTCACCGACTTCCGCGAGGCCTGCTGCCGCCTCAATTCGGGCGAGGGCTGCGTCCGCGGCGGCTTCTGCAACTTCATCCATCGCAAGAACCCCAGCGACGAGCTCGACCGGGAACTCACTCTCAGCACCAAGAAGTGGCTCAAGATGCGCGGCCGGGACGAGCGGAGTGTGAGCCGGTCACCCACGCCGGAGCCCACCAGACGGAGGTTTTAAGAAGGGGGCATACAAGTACGCGCAATCATTGGGATCTGTTTTGGGAATCAAGGATAATTAGGGATACATGTACTCTTGCGCTCAAGGTCTGGCGTTCCGGTGGGCATCTTCTCAAGCAAAGTTAATAAGGGATCAAGAGAGTTTACGATTGTTAGCAACGTATCGAGCACATGAATCAAAGTTGATATAGTTGATATATTTGCCAACCCTCCCAACGCTGCCGTCCCATCGCATGCCCGTGTTAAGACCCAAAGACCTGCTCCCTGCCAACACTGAAAATTAAGCACAAATGCATCACGGTGCGCGCCCATTTATATCGTAGCCTAGCCCGATGTTGTTTGCGCCGTTATTCTGTCAAGGTATTTCCTAGCCGCCTAGCCAATGATTACTCCCAAGATTTTTCATTCCCCACACAAGATCTTCGA